GATATAGGCTCTTCGACTAGAGGCTCTAGTACCTACTTATTGGCGTAATAGTTACGCGGGGCCTTATTGCCTTAGCGGCCGCGTTCTTGCTAACCCTAGGTATCGCGTATATTATTTCGCGCGCCCGTATCTTATCGTCTTCTACGATTAGTATTTCGGTTTCCGCCGCGTACTTCGTAGCCTCGATTATTATTACGTAGCTCTACCCGATTATTACGGTTAGACGCGTACTCTTTTTAGCGTCCCTCCCCTACTAGGGCTTACCTATCGTTTCCTTAATCTCGGCGCTAATACTAGTTTTAATTAGTATAGCTACTATTTCTAGGGCGCTTATTTCCGTAGCCGCCGGCGTAACTACGACCTAAATTGTCGCGATATCCGCGTACTACTACGGCGTACCGATTATCGAACCTACTAGCGTAACTACGATCTAAAGTATCGCGATATACGCCTAAGGAATCGGCGTATCGGTCGTTATTGCGAGCGTTTCGATACTGCGACTTACCGTTATACCTATTACGGCCTCGGGTAGTGCCGTAGCTATCGGACTATATATATCTGCAGTACTATACTTTATACTTGTCTTTAACAGCTCGCGTAAAAGTGTAAATCGTATCGCTTAGTAAAGGCTTATCGAGTTTATTCTATAGGCGGGGCTCGAATCGTAACTATACCTAGTAGAGAAGAGCGTATAGTCTATTAGGGTCTGTCTCGAGACCTGCCTCGCGTACGTAGCGGATACAGTTTATAATAAACTGCTAGGGTGCTCTACGGTTGCGTATATCCTATACTATATAAGATTCGGCGTATAGCTTATCCTAGGCCTCGATAATAGATCTGCTAAACATGTCCCTTAGGGCTTTATACTAGCGCTCGATGCCTTCTCCTCCGCGAATTGTATTACGATTATTGCTTGTAAGCTCGTAAATAAACTATTGCTATACGGCCCTACGGAGGCACTTCGTAAGCTAGGTACGCACTATACGGGCGTAATTAACTACCGCGTAATCGCAAGCGGCGTCTAGAAAGAGATATACCGAAGTAAAGGTAACCTTATTGCCGTACGTATAGATATCCTAGCTATTAGAGTCTACGTATAGTGCGTCTAGATAGAAGTATCTAATATCTATAGGGTTAAATCTCTCTAAGCGCTAGGAACGCTATAGGCTATAATAGGGCGAACGGATAAAGCGGAACTTATCTATATAGTAAGGGTTAAAACCGTAACCTCGTAGGCTAAAGTTCCTACTATAGGTACTAGAGTCGCTAGGGCTCGGGCTTAGAGGCCCTCCGCTAGCAGCGCCGCCTTAGCTATAGCGGCGTTGTCTAGCCTCGGCGTTATATTGCACGTTACGCTATAACTAATAAGGCTAGGCTTCGACTAGGTTAGGCAGTAGGGCTAATAGAACCTGCTCCTACGGGACCTATTTATATAGACCTGCCCGCGCGAGGCGTTTAGCTCGTCTAGTATCTAGCCTGTCTTATACTAAGCTCGAAGGGATGCTTTAGCGTAACTAGTCGATCTCGTCCCGGATTTTATCCCTAAGTTGCTAGGTTTAAATAACTTGTTAATTTAATAGTTGTCTAAATAGCTAGCGTATCTTATTACGTAAAACGGCTAGGTTAGCGGCATTTAGGATTTCGCCGTTAGCGTCTTTAGCGGCTGCGTTAGCGCTAGCGGCGTTCTAGTTCTCGCGTACCGAGACTTTGTATAGTGCGCTCTCTCGTAGGCGTTAAGGCTATAGGTTATCGTAGGCTAGCTACTTACCGTTGCGCTAGTTTTAGGAGGATAGTCCTACGCTAGCGTTACGTACTCGCTAGCGGTCCGCGACTAGGCGTCTAGCCTCCGTACCTAGGAAAGCGTCGACTAATCTATTATAGCGCTACTAGCGAGGAGGCGGGTTACGCTCTATACTAGGCTCTATATATACTAAGTCTATACGCTAGGTATCTAGGTCTATATCTTAAGACATATCGACTATATTCTTAGCCGATATAGGAGGGAGTAGGCGCTCTTACTCTTATCGTCGGGGTCCTCGCTACTAAGTACCTTGTCGCTAAAGCTTAGGAGCTAGTAGAGAGGACTCTAGACTACTTAGGGCTAGGAGCTCCTACTGTTCGGGCTTAGGGCTCTCTCGCTCCGGAGCTTACTACTTAGGACTCTACTGCTCCGTATCCTAGTACTCGGGCTTAGGACTGTATTACTTAGGACCTTGCTATTTAGGGCTCTGCTACTTAGGGCCGACTAAAATCGGTAAGGACAAATTAGGACTAATTATAGGTAATAGCTCTAAGGCACTAAGTTCTCGTAGACCTAGGGGAAAAACAATTAGTAAGGACCTATAGCGTATATACGTAACACGTCGCGTACTAGCTGCTAAAATCGTCCGACGGCGACGTAGCTATAGACTAGTATCCGGACTTGTAGGCACTACTATATCTAGAGAGGGTAGTGCTAGTTCCGGAGTAGGAGCCGCTAAGTCGTTAGGTCCTATCGTATCTAAAACTATAAGTTCGTTATAGAGAGCAAGCAGCGTCTTCGCTACTACCGTAACTAAAGAGCGGTTAACTACCTAATCCTAAGGGAAACCGAGGGTAGTACCGCCTCTAGTATCCGAGAGTTTTCGTAGTATATATTCTTCTAGGGGCTAATAATACGTAGTAATTTTCGTAACGACTACTATAAGCGGGTCTCTTTGCTTCTAGTATACTAACTTAGCGTAACCGGCGTTAGCTAAGAACTCCTTAAAGCAAAAAGCGATATTTAACGAGTAGGCGTCTAAATCGGGGTATGCGGAAGCTAGCGTATTTGTAGAATAAGCGTAGGCTCGGTAATCTTATAAAAATGTAGGATAAGTATAGAGTTAAGGAACTAGACTAGAGTCGGGAAACTGTTAGGGTGCTTATAGGCTCTTGCCTCGACCGGTGCCCGCTTCGGTAGGTACTAGTATAGAGTAAACAAACCTAGATAAGGAAGGCGGGCCGCCTAGTCTAGCGATTAGAGGGCTATAGGGCGCCGTCGATTAGAGGGCTATTAGTATATAGCTATATATATACGGAAGATAATATACGGAATTTAGAGGACTATCGTAATCGTCTCGGTATCGAGCGTAGGTAGTTGTTATAGTTAGGTAGGTAGGTCGGTGCCGCTAGTATAGGACCTCGCGGTCGCGTCTTTTTAGTTTTTTAAGGTACCCGTTCGTCTAGTACTCGGGTACTATTCGAACGGATCTGAATCTAACTAAAGCGAAGCTACTAATTGTTATACGAGGGACGATTAGTAGTTAGGCAATAGTATAGTATTAGGGTAAGTATCTACGGTTCTACGGAAAGTATATACCGGGCTTAGCTAGCGTACCGTCCCTACTATAATAATAGTCGTCTAGAAGAGCCCTTAGTGCGTTTCGCTAGTTAAGCTTATAGTTACGAATATAGTCGTTATATTGCTTCCGACTAGAGCTATTAAATACGGTATAGTCCTTAAGTTTAGTATCCTTCTTCTAGACTAATAATAAGGAAGGTCCTACTATTAGTTTAGTAGTAGTTATTAGGGCTTCCTAAAGGCGACGGAGCTCGAGGAGGTTATCCTTTAGCTACTGTTCTTAACGTAGGGCAGTAAGCCTGTTTTAGGTAGCTTCTTAAAGTCTCGCTACTAGCTAGGGGCTAAAGGCTAGTTAGCTATATCGTCGATTAATAATGTTATTAAGTATATCGTTAATAGGCAACTCTAGGTCGTTACCTAGAACTATAGGTTCTTCGGCAGGCCTAGTAGTAGGCTCTTTAGCAGGTACTTTAGTAGGTACTTTAGTAGGTACTTCGGTAGGCACTATACTACTAGTGTTGTTATTACTAGCGCTACTAGTAGCGCCGCGGTTATTATTTCGTAATAAACCGGCTATTATAAGGGGTAATACTAATAATATATTATAGGCCCCTAAGATACGGATATAGCGGAATTAGTAGATATCGGCCTAATATACTTAACTTAGTATAATAGGCCGTATAGAAGGCCTTGCTTAATAATTAGTACGGTTGTTTCGATAGAATAGTACGTATAGGTCCCGTTCTTCGGGCGCAATATAGTTAGATTAGTCTTGTTCGTAGCTATACCGCTAAAAGCTTGAAATAAGGACTATCTAGCTACTGCCCTTAAAGGGTAGATCGAATACTATATAAGAAGGGTTATATTAGTAGGTAGATAGGGTAGTAGTAGGTATAGGTAGTATTCGATAAGGAACTAGGAGGAGAGGGAGGAAGGCAGGCAAGTTAGCCTATTGCTAAGTGCTAAGCCCTGCCTAAGGTACTAAGACCCTAGCTTTACTCGAGCCCGGTTATATACTAATTACGTATAACCTCTTTAGCCCTAATATATAGCTAGCTATATATAGTACCTCTTAGAGATCGTATATTTCTTACGATCTATACTTCGTATTAGTATAATATATATAGGATAGCTTAGGATTAGTAGGACTATAGTATATATATACTAAACTATAGCATTCTACGCTAGCTAGTAATCTTTTATTTTTATAGAGATAGTACTATAGATATAATATATTTATCCTTAGACTCCTACTAGTATAAGGAGGCTAGTATAGCTAGGTATATAGATATATAGGTCTAGTCGCGTAGTAGTCCGATATAGAATAGTTAGAAGGTAGAAGATAGAAGGTAGAATATAGAATAATTAAAAGATAGAAGGTAGAAGGTAGTAGTTAGAAAGAGCCTACTACCTACTATACTAAAAACCTCCTTACGCCTAAATAGTAAGAGGCTAAAACGGATGTGGGTTGTAAACTCCCTATAAGACTAAGGCTAATTCCGAGAGTTAAATTTTCGATTTCTAGTTTCTCGCTTAGTAAGGTATACTAGACTTATAAATGATTATTAGTGAATATATTAATATCAAAGTTTAAAAATTACCGATATTCTCTAAGAAGGGCCCTTAGTTGCGCGAAGACAGGGGGACTGTTGCAACCGTAGCTAGCGGTACCTTCTTTTCAAAATTCAAATCCGATGCGCTCATCGACAGCAGGCCATCTTGAATACTTGATCCGTCCTTCGCAAATGTCACGAAACAAGGGGGTCACCCTGTATGTGCTCGTATATCTCACGAACTCCCTGCAAGACCGGGAATTTGTCTTGGCGTCCGTACCTTCTTCCCGATCGCCGCCTTAGACCGACGGCGTAGACCGACGGCATAACGGACGGTATACGACGTGTTCTCTATGAATGTGTAAGTAGCTGGGCATCGTCGTGCAAAAGGAGAATCTTGGTGAAATACAGCGTTTGATCGCATCGGAGTGAAAGTGGGTATTCACCAAACCCTTGCTCCTTATGGATTATAGCGAATAGAAACTTGTTATCCAGCGGTCCGACCATAGTCACTTTCACTCCAATGTGGTAAGACGCTATACAACCTGGTCGCCCAGGAACGAGCACGAAATCGTCGTCCAGGAATCCGTACTTTGGAGCAGGGTTCACAGTGGTGAAGAAAGAAGCGCGAGGCTCAGCGCGCGATGTGGTCAAAAGCTTGCTATTTTGGGAGTGCCAAGGAAAAGGTCGAGAGTCGAGACCGGCCTCTTCACAGCCTGCAGCGTCTTTTGTTACTGACTGACTAGTTACACACATTGGCAAGGCTGAGGCCAAGGCCAAGGCTGAGGCGCGGTCACGATGTGCTATAGTTACCTCAACAAATGCAAGTACAACGCTGCCAATCATGGGTCCGACATTAGACTGGGACGTATGTCTATGCTTCGGTGCGCATTCCCCTATGACATCTCGGCCGACCACTGCTGCAACGTACAACGTTTCAGAAAAGCCTTCATCTTCATGCGCAACTTATCGCGGAGCTCTGCAGGTCTGAGAAAGGCTGGAATCCTGCTCTGACTACGCCCTCGAAGTCTTCCTTTGGTCCCCGAACGTCTGTTGTGGCTTGAAGTCGAGTCTCTATGATTCCTGGCGATGCTGTCGGGCTCAGAAGCAGGACAGTAGGCCCTTGAAGCCGGCGTGAACGGACTGGCGCTCGCTGATTCCGCTTGGCTTCTTCAAGACGACTTGGAACCTTGGCTTCTTCGCCCTACAGCTTTCAGCTCGCGCGCGAGCGTCATGCTTTTCCTGTTTCCGTGCCCTATCTCGCTTCATTGATTCTTTCTCTTTTTGCCGCGTGTCCTTCAGGAGCTTACAGTACCTGCATGCGTCGTACGCGGAAAGATATCCATGCTCCATCTCACCGGATCTCAACCTTCTCTTATTCCTGCTCATTACCTTGGCTGCTCTGGTGCCTATTTCCTGCCAGGACCACCGTGAGAGGAGCGACTTCGGTGTCGATGTCGCTTTGGCACACAAGTGCTGCGTATTTCCAGGCAACTTCGGCCGTTCGAACTCCGAGCATCTCATTGAGAAAAATGCTTGCTTCTGCTTTCGATGGACGCTGAGTAATATACCGTTGTACTCGACGAACCACTTGCGCAGCATTATGTCCCGCACTACGTCACTGCAGAGATACGGTCTCATTTGATAGAGTCCACCACCCACTAAGGCACGTTTTGTAGAAATGTTGCGGCCAAGATGCCGCGGGAGCTTGCTATTGCGGATACCTGTCGAGCAACCCGTCCGTGGTGCCGCCAGACACGCCTCTGCCAGTATTATGAATCCTTCGGCATCCCTCTCGAAGGTTCGTACCCAGGTTAGTCTTCTTAACAGTAGGTCTTTATCTGCGAGAACCACATCGCCTCGTTTGGAAAGGTACGTTTCGTCCCATGCATCTTCTAAGGATACGGCGAGGTATCTTAGGAACGTGGAAAATCGCATGAAGATGCGGTAAGAGTCGACTCTGTTGTCCGGGCCAGTGAACTTCGATAGACGTCCCATTTTGATTGTCGCTGTTTCGTGAGCAGCCTTGTAGAAGTCTCAGCCCACTCAAGTCCCTTGATCTGGTCGCGGAGATGCGCACGCTGAGTTCTGGTGATTTATCCGTAATTCGGAGTGTGCAGGCGCACCTCGAATCATGATGGTCAAGCCATTATATACCAGTCGGTGTTGTCCTCAGGTCCAGAGTAAGGCTCCGCGACACCTGCTGCCTGAGACTGAGGACAATCTTGTCGGTCGCTCATGTGCGCTTCTATATCGCTCCCGTGCGCTAAGTTGAACGGTGTTGACGTGAAATGGCCAAGCTCTTGCGGCCGAGCTGTTGGAAAATGCTGAGCAGCTCGGGGGAAGCTCAAATTTCGAACACATTTTGTGTCCCAAACTTTTGCACTGCGAACTGGCAGAAACACCTCCACCAATCGAAGCTTCCGAACACTTCACAACTCGAGAGCACTAGAAATGCTGCAACTCATTTCTACTCCACAAGCTTCAACACCAATACGTCGCCGCTATCAAGGGTGATTTCTTTGGCAAAAGGCCTCCAATGAGTCGTGGGAACCCATTCTGGGCTGCTGAACAGTCTTTCGAGACTGCACGCATATGCGCGAGCCTTTTGAGGTATCAGCTGAATGCGATACTCATGGTCAGCCTCGAGCCGTCGCAATGGGTCTGACAAAGGCCCATCTTGGAGTGTGATGCCCGTTTCATGTGTCCGATGAAAATTGAGCTCGACCACGTCTTGGCGATTGGGAGAGATGCAAGCGGTACATGTTCCAGAGAACGGGTTGGCGTTTACCACAGGCTTGTTCGTATTCGGGTGATCTCATCTATCGTGACTGCTACAATCATCGTTGTCATCTGGCTGCTGCCTGAGTAGACCTTCCGCAGCCTCATGTTCGACCTCTACATCATGATCTTCCATAACGATTTCTTGGCCAGGTAAGTGGCCTAGATGCTTGGACAGCGCTTTCGCCTCCTCTGCGCCTTTCCTGACATCAATGATGTAGACCAATGGGATTGGCAGAGCAATCAAGACCGCTAGAAAGACAAAAGCTGGCCGTATTGTTCCAACAGTATCCACGATCATTCCAACGACAGCAGGTCCCACTGCTGAACTTCCTTTGTCAGTAATGGCATACAGGGCGTAAAACGCAGCCTCCGAACCCGGCGGGATGATCTCTCCGTAAAAAGCTCGACAGTATGACGTAAGGCCTCCCATCACGAACCCATGAATGAAGCCGAGCGGATAGGTCTCCCATGCTTGCTGCAGACCGAGCACGCCCCACGACTTGATGAATGGTATGAATCCCAGCATGCCGTAGAAGGGGATTATTTCCATGATGAACATGCAAGTCACAATCGTTTCTTTCGTCTGGAATCCATAGCGAGCAGAAATTCGTGGCCAAGTAAAAGCACCAGCAAGGCCCGAGCCAATCGACGTGATCGAGAGAAGCGCTATGCCAATCGTATCCATGTGAAGCTCTATCCGAGCAAAAAGAATCGCAGTACCAGAGATCGTGGCGATGGCATCAGACAGCAGGAACCATGCGATCAGGAAGACCCAGGTTTGACGCAGCTTGGCCGCTGTCTTGACTGTCGTCCATACTGAGCTCCAGGCAAAGATGAGATATTGCAATGCCGCTGGGAGCTTCGAGCGCCAAGGCTGTACTACTCGAAGGGGAGGTCCTGGCCGATCTCTCAGCCAGTAAACACCAGGCACCGTGAGAGCAAACCAGAAAATTCCTCCGGCCAAAAGGACAAAACGAAGAGGTGTCGATTCGGCCGCGAAGTTGGCTTTCTTCAGCATCACCAGTAGAAAGATGCTCAGGATCTGCACAGAGACGGCTGCAGCGTAGCCCAGCCCGCCACCTTTAGAGGAGATTTTTGTCGAAAGGCGCAGCTCCGGGGATGTGCCAGGATCGTTGATGAATGTAGCTCCGGGCTTGTGTTTGACGGAAAGATGATTGGCAGCTAGAAGCGGTAAGAAGGCATTCAGCAAGACGAAGGTCGAGCCCAAGCAGACCACGCCTAGGATCACTAGAAGGGATGCAAGTAGGTAGACGGAAGGCGAGACTAGGACCAGACTCATCGTTGCGACGGCTCCGGTGAAAGCAAAGGCCAGGAGAAGCTGTTTCCTGTTCTTTCCATAGTCCGCGACTGGGCTAAATGAGATGAGTACTAGGGCCTGGATAAGGACTGCAGCAGAGAAGGTGTACATGGGGAAGCTAGCTGTCGCCATGTCTCGTCCGAAGGGTCTCACAATGCATTGAGGCTTCTCATTGTCGCCGTCTCGCCTGATTGATCGAATGAAAAATCGTGTAAGATGCGCTGCTGTGCTCCCGGCCTTTGCAGAGATACATGGTGTCACTCCATCCGATCGCAGTACGCCTCGCTCCCGGGCCAGCTGTTCGAGCGTGACTGGAGCAAAGGAGCCTGGCCGTCGTTAGCCGCACTGCTCTACATGATAATCCATCTTGGAGCAACGTACCCACGCCACAGACGGCGAATATTTCTGCTGCAAGACCAGTACAATACCAGCCTCTCAGCTCTCGCTCGGTCGTGGGACTGACATCGTCGCCGTCGAAGCGAGGGGCCCGAGCATCGTTCCTCTCTGCATCCTCCATTCACTGCTAATCACTACTGATTTTGGCTGACAGCCATATTTTCGCTACCACGAGGGCATCATGTGTGAGAACCTTGAACTCCTGACGGTTTCCGGAGATGGCTGCACGCTGTCAGCTGTGTCTTGTCAAATTTTAGTTCACAAAGGCTAAAGCACGCTAAATGTGGGCCCACCTCGGTGAATGTGATTCGCCCCACGCGTCCAAGCGTCTTTGTTTTGCCCCGCTGGCCGCTGCTTCGTTTTCCACGACGCGCTCTTGCAGCGCAATCACATGCTCCATTACTCCTTGCCTCACTCACTCACTCACCTCCATCTTGGTCCAAGCTCAGGCATGAGCCACTTGGAAGTCCCTGATCATGCCGACGACATCGACAGAGCGAAACGACATCCATTGCCAACGCATACTCATCCGAAAATATCCTTTTGAGATATGCCATTCCCATTTGCAGAATTATGCAACTTGCTTTCGCGCCTCGAGGACATTGAGACGCACCATCCACCGCTGCTCCCCAAGGAAAGGCCGCCGCGACGGCGAGATGTGGTCGAGAGATGGTTCAAGTCCCATCTACGACAAGTGAACGAGCTCAGCGTCGAAGGATTGACGGCTCTGCTCTCGGCAGTACTCCCACATTGGCGCAATGAGCGTGTCTACGGCATACAGGCCCCGAGTCTGTGCCGCATCCTTGGCCGTGTTCTACGCTTGAATGTATCCGAGCTTCAGATTTACCAAAAACCAGGCAATGGCGATCTTGCAGAATGTCTCATGCGAGTTCTTGAACGACGCGGTCCTGCTGCCATTCCGCCTGTGACGCTTGAGGAAGTCGATGATATGCTGCAAACTCTCGCAGGCAATTGTCACTGGTCTGATCCGTCTGTGCCGAGATTACCTCCAGGCTCATCAGAGATGCGCGACCAGACAATCGAGCGGATACTTCTTCGCCTCAGTCCTAACGAAGGCAAGTGGCTCGTCCGATTGATTCTCAAAGACCTCCGTCCGATTCACGTGGAAGACAGCCTCCTGCTCAAGAACTTTCACTTTCTTCTGCCGGATCTTCTCCGCTTCCATCAGAACTTCCATGCTGCAGTATCTATGCTTCGGAATGAGCTACGAGAACTGCCTGGTCGACCTGATCCTCGAACTGAACAAGCCTATCGCACAACAGCGGCCGAGAAACTTCGACCTGTTGTAGGCACGAAGATCAGTCGACCACATTTCCACAAGGCCCAAAGCATTGACTATTGCTTGAAAATGCTTGGCGGCAGGGAGTGGGTGGTTGAACGTAAATACGATGGTGAGTATTGTGAGATTCACGTCGATCTTGGAAAATCATCCGATCCAGCCAAATGCATCAAGATCTTCTCCAAGAGCGGCAAAGACTCTACACACGATCGAAAAGGGATCATAGAGACCCTCGTCCAGTCTTTGCGGCTTGGTCGGAAGGACTGCAAAATCAAAAGACAAGCCATTCTGCTCGGAGAACTGGTGGTCTTTTCTGACCAAGAAGATCAAATCATGCCCTTCGACGAGATTCGCAAGCACGTTGCAAGATCTGGCAGATATCTTGGCACCGAACAGGACTCACTTCCGAAAGGCCACGAGCATCTGGCACTTGTATACTTTGACGTGCTATTGTGGGATGACGAGATCGTATTGAGAAGGTCCGTACATGAAAGACGCATGTGGCTGCGCGAGATCTATAAGAAGATCCACGGAAGAGCTATAGGCGCAGAGTGGAAGACCATAGACTTCTCGAGTGATCAAGCAAGACGATGCTTGGCCGAGCAATTCTCTGCAGCGAATGCACGCCGTTGCGAAGGTCTGGTCCTGAAGCCATGTGGTGTTCCTTATTTCTCTTTAGTTATGCAACCGGCAGACTATAGATGCAGCTACATTAAGCTCAAGAAAGACTACATAGCCGGGCTGGGCGATGAAGAAGACATGGCGGTGATAGGTGCGAGTTTCGATGCCCAGCTTGCACACACAGCACCATCCAAAGGCTACATCAAGTGGACGACATTTCACCTTGGCTGCCTCACCAACAAGGCTGAAGTTGAGCAGCATCAAGCCCGTCCGGTCTTCAAACATGTTGGTGCGATCGATCATGAGAAGTGTATACCAAAGGCGGTTTTAGAGACAGCAAATATCCTTGGCAACTTGTCAGCGCAGCCATATTCTACAAATCAAGCCCCCAGAGCGTTCGATCTCGAAGCTGCGCGAGGAACAAAGATGCAGGTTGTGTTCGACCAGCCTTTTGTGTTTGAGGTCTTAGGGTCAGGATATGAGAAGCCGTCAGATTGCAACTTCTTGATGCTCCGGCATCCGAGGGTCAAGAAACTGCATGAAGATCGCACTTGGCTAGATTGCGTCTCCTTCCGGGAATTGCAGGACCATGCCAAGGCTGCTAGAGAGCTGCCACCACATTCTGAATCACAAGAAACGAGAATTTGGCTGGACAAATTGGAGAGTAGTTGCAAACGGAAGTTCGCAAAAGAACGACTAGCCTCGCCTAGGCTGAGTATATCGGCGACTCCGGACAGATCAGTGCTGTCGTCCTCTCCATTAACAAGAGCACGGCCGATAGATGTCATTCCAAGCCCGGCTTTGCTGATACCCACACCCAGACCACACTGCTCTAGAGTGGTCAGCACGTCATTAGTATTGCCTTCCTCAAAACCTCCTTCAAAGAGACAGAATGAGGATCGCGAGCGAGACGCAATTGACACAAGTGCGAAACGACAATGCATGGGCACCGATATTCAGCGCAAAGATCCTGCAACAGCTCGCACAGCCTCATCACCACTAAGCGAGATCACGAACATTGCCAACGTCACAATCCAACCCGATGCTCCTCTCCCGACCAGGCGCTCACGAGCATTATCAGACATAGCCAAGAATCTCATCTCCCTCGTCCATCCCACCCCAATCCCCGAATCCCGACAAAACTCCCAACACCGCCGCTCCACCTCACGCGACCACTGCGAAGCAAGCAAAAAATGCCCCTTCTCCAACACCGTCATCTACCTATCCCCCTGCATCGCAACCACTCCCTACATCACCGAAACCCTCCTCGAAAGCCACGACACCATCCTCATCCCCTCCCTCTCCCACTGGAACCGAAACTCCTTCTCCCACCCACCCCTCACCGAAACCATCTCCGAAAGCCAATCTCACCCGGGCCTGCGAAAACTCGTGCTCGTGGAAAGTCGACGGAGACGGCAGGTTCGAGAAGTTTTACAAAAGATTCAAAATTTGAATCATGGGGGTTTTAAGGAGAGGATTGAGGTTTGGGATTGGAGGGTTCTGGAGGATGTTTGTGAGCATTGTGAGAGGGGAGGGAAGGGGTTGATGATGATGAAGAGGCATTTTATTGGGGCGACGGTTTTTGATGATGCACGAAAATGTGCGGTGTTTGTGAGTGAGAGGGAGGGGGTGTTGTGAGTGCTATGAGGGTTTGAGAGGGAGAGGTTGGAAAGGATTTGGGTAGAAGTTTGTTTTTTTTTTTTTTTTTTTGGTTGATTGATTGGATTATAGATTCAAATATTGTATCGTTGATCATCAGTGCTGCTCGTTTCAATGCTCCCCTGTGAACATTGCGGCCTCATTGGGTCCGGCAACTTTCACTTGTATTCCCACTCTCACTTTCACTGTCGGTTTCGCTTTCGCTCGGATTAGTGGACCCGTCACTGCTGTAGTATATGCATTGGCTTTCGAGATCAGATCCTAATGGGCCTCTGGACCTCAGTGTTGTGTTGAACTCATCTTCGCTCAAAGCCACCATGTCCCGCACGAAATGCTCCCACGGAAGCTTAAGGTTGTCATCATTGCGGAAATTGAACTCATTAACGCCTCCCTGTAGATCCTGTGCTAACTCGACCAAGGCGTTCCAAGTAGCCATGATGTCTGGCTCCGTGAGCATGGTTGGCTGACTCTCGCTGCTTAATTGTATGTTGCGTTCATGGTCACTCTGCTCCTCTGCTGAGGTAGAATCTGAGCTACAACTAGATTCCTCATCCAGAGTCGAGCTCTCGGAGTCAGAAGTAAAGGCCTCGCTGTTGTATCCGTTGGCGACAGAAATTTGATCTCCCTGAACAGGATATGTGTACTGCAACGGCTCTGGTACGTGTCGATCAATGTATGATCTGGGCAGTGGCCGAAAGGGTGGAATATTGGCATTCTGGAAATCCATGGCTAATTTGGTGGTGAGGTGTCAGCGTGGTTCAAATTGCTATGGGCTTAATGATGACCTCGAACGCTCGAGAGTTGCGCTTGAGGTGTCGAGGACGTGCAATGCATTCAGATATGGGCGCTGAGATCGAATTTTGAATAGCAAGCGCGCTCCCACTTACATCACATGGATATCGACAAACTGATTGCTCCACTATCAGGTGAAGCGTACACAAGTTTGTATAGGTATCCGCCAAACTCGGAGCCGTTTGTTACCGTCACGCGTCGCAGTCTCTGATCATCCATTATTTGTTTCAAGCCGCACGGATGAGCACTTGAGTGCGGCAGATTTATACCCGTGGACATCATAATCCTTCAAAGGCATATTCCCATCCAAGTAGATCGGTACCTACAAGAGACGCAATGAAGTCCTCCTCCAATTCCGGCAAACCACTGGATGGCAACTGCTGTGCCGAGGCCTCTTCATTCTCCGCCGCAAGAGTATAGTCAAAGGGCCTCATATCGCGCACTCTCTGACCAAATCTCAACCTCGCCGCCCAAACCGTGTCGTATAGCACATTGCTTGCAGCTCGAGATGTGACGGACATCTTGGTCTTGAAGGACTCATCCTGTCCACCGACGCCGCTCATGTACTCCACAATAGAGCAGATGCGGGAGTACTGGTCATTCTTGCGTTGTGAAGCCTGTCGGTACAGTTCCCAGGCTTGACGAACGGAATTCATGGCCCGGACGTGGTCGATGAGATGTGGCCATACAGCTAGGAGTTTAAGCAAGAAGAAGACTGCGAATGTCGATGCTGTCCTCACATCTGTGGACCATCGAACCACTTCTTCGGAGTATCGGCACGCGACTTGGATCAGTCTTTCGGCAATTCGGGATGCTTCCACGACATAGTATTCTTCTCCTGTCTTCGGTCCATCTGAGTCTTGCTGATGTCGCAGAGCCGTGATACAAACGAAGGCGAATAGATCTAGGTATGCTTTCAGGTAGGCGATTTCGGCAGAGAAGGACCAGTCAGATTCGTGCTTGAAGTTCAGAGCCTTCAGCTCCGCTTCATATAGTCGCACAAAGTCTGCTGGGTCACTAGTCAAGCCTGTGCTCACAGAGCCTTGCTGGCCGAGCGAATGGCAGATCCGGTAATCTACAAGGGCAATCTCCAGATGCTGCTGCAACGACTTGGGCAGGTTGGCATCCTTGAGCGCTGACAGAATGGTATTGTCGGGATGTATGGTGCAAGGCACTCCAAGAAAGGCGCTCAATGTCTGATTGACAATGAAACAGGCCAACCATGTCCTCAATCGGGCCTCGAACGCTTCTCTGCTCAAAGCCTCCCGATAGCGGAAATCTGATGGAAATTGAGGTCGGTGGAAGCCAAATTGCAGTGCGGTGTGGGTAGCCAATCCACAATAGCTCCATGAAGGATTATTGAAATTGCTTTCGAGCGTGAGCGGCCACCAACAGAGTAACAGAAGCGCCTGCACAGTCATCAAAGGGTGATGTAACGATGCCGAGACATCCGTAGCCAGGCGCTGCACGGGCGCTATCAACTGAGTGTGCAAGTTCGTAAACTCTGGTATTCTCTGAGATACGATGGCCATTATGACCCAGAATAGCAGCGGACAGTCATTGTATGAGCGAGCCATGGCCTCCTTGTCGGCCAAGATAGGGAAGCGGTCATGGTAGTGCGTATAGAACTTGTCGAAAAGCTCTGCTATGGCATTGGGCTCGAGTTGTATGCCATCGATTGTCTGTGTTACGAAAGTCCATCCTGATTGTGCAGTGCTGAGTCGAGGCACCTGGAAGGAGAGTGTAATCAGTAGGCGTGGCGGTGCTGTCGAGAGATGTGCTTGGTTCAGCGATTCCCACAACATCATTCACTTACCGGAGGCGGAATCACGGGCGCCCTCTCCTCTGGAGTAGGGACGTGATCATGAATGGATGATTTGGGAGGAGAAATGGCGCTGTCGGCGTTCTCTCTCAACCGTTGCAGCTCCTGTTCTAGCGATGCCACACGTTCGCGCTTGGCCGTCCGCCGAAACGACGGATCGATTGAGCATCGCAGATTCCGCTTTTCGCATCGGGTGCAACTAGCCGGGAATGTGTCGTGAGCATCGCATTTTAGCTTCATTTGCCGACAATGAATGCACGCTGCCAGCTTCGACTTGGGCGGCATCTTGGCGGCGTTTCGTTTGTCGCAGAGAGATGCCGCGTATCGCTCAGTGTGCTCATATTAGAGTGAAGTGTCTTGGTGAAGAAGCGTGAGATGAGCGACAATCGGGGCGGGGAAGCGGAGCGATTTCGGCGTCGGCCGAGTGGTCGAAGCTTGAAAGTGATATGGTCGAAAGAGTATGAGGAACGATCGCCATGCTGACCAGTTGTTTATTAAATCAATTCTGCCATCATCGTCATTGTAGTGCCTGCAATGTCTCCCCACAAGCTCGCTCAAGACAAGCCAGCACAACTACGTCAAATCGTCACGCCGGTTCGCATGCTTGGATATGGCTTTAACGAAGACGAGACTTGAGAAGACTGCTACGGCTTAGTCAAAGATTCCAAGTGTCATTATTGCTTGCCTCTGCTGGTGGCGACGGTAGCGATGAGCATGTTGATGTCTTTCGCGACATCATTCGCGAGCTTGCTGAGGAGCCAGAGCACGCCTCCTGGGACCTGAAGGTGCTTGCAATCTACTCTGCCATTTCCAAGGCGCTGGTTCGGGAAAGACTCGATGCAGGGTTAATATCGGGGTGTGGGCCTGCTGTCCCGGAGCTCACACACGAGATCATCACGGAAACACCACGGATAGTCGCGCAGATGGGCCCGGAGCCATGCCTTGAAGCAATGTTGAAGGTCGCTGCGAAGACTTCCAGACCGACTCAACTCGCTACGAAAGCACCACAGACTCTCATCGACCTTGCCAAAGTAGTGCGCTCAAAGAACGCTGGACCGCACGAGCTCACATTGGATGTGATGTTCGATGACATGGCCACATATCAGAAAGTCAAACAGTCCGGGCTTTTAAGCCCAAAAGTCATGTCTGAAATCTTCAAGATTCCTGAAGAAGACATAATTTGGTGTGGATTCTTCGATGCTGCACTCGCACTCAAAGTCACCATTCCAAGATTAAGGGACGGTATGAAGTGCTGCTCGGGAGGATTTATGGAGAATGATGTCCATGGATCACAGCAATATATTCCGTTGGCAGACTTAAAATTGCCGCAAACGTTGATCGAGAAGTTGTCGACCTCTTTGTTGAGTCTCGGGAAATGGGTTGTGGCAGACTTTGTGTGGTCAGCTCAGTCGTCCTCATCGAGAACTGCGTCGCGTCGCTTTTGCTTGTGTTTCCTGTCGTGTTTCCGCTTCGAGTTAATATCTCTGTGAATCACTTGCAAGTTCCAACCTTTCCCACTTCTCGTTGCGAGCTCTTCGGCAAACGCCACACTCCTGTGCCTGCCCTTCTCGCACGAGACGTCTACGGTCAAGTCTGGAACATTTGTGATCTCCGCCTCGTCGTCTTCGTCGTCATCGTCACTGTCCATTTCGTCCTGTGCGTCATCGTCGCTGTCCAAGCTCTCTAAACCAAGTCCAGGCTCTTCGCCCTCGGCATCTGGCTCTTTTGTCGCAGGACTCTCGTCTGCTATCGATTTCATACTCTCTTCTATGTCCCGAGCCGCTTTCTCTACTAATGCAACGAATGCCGGCTCAGCCAGCATCCACTCCCGCAAACGCTTCGAGGTGCCATTGTATGCATCCCTGATGTGCTTCGGAGGGTTTGGTATCGAGCGTAGGTCGTACCTGAGATCGCCGGGTGGATTTAGAGGCGGATTACGCGCGTGAGATACAATCAGCCGATTTCGCGAGCTCATAATTTGTGTGAAAGCTTGGCTCGCAAGTCCGGCGTGGGTTGCACATTAATGGCAGGTGCAGCATTTGGAGTCACAACGAGGGTCGCTGAAAGTCTTGGCACTTGCATCAAGGTACGCCAAGCAATGAGTAATCTCCAATCTCCAATTCTTGTCTATAGATCGTCATTCACCTGATGTCCTTGTGGAAACAGCTGAGACTCGCATGAGCAACATGTATAAAGTCTTGAAATGGTCAACAACAGTCCTGACACCATTGCCTAATGCAACAGTTCAACCACAGCCTCTACACTTGTCTAACGAACTCCTTCACTTCTTCCTCGATATACCACCTATCACTATCATCGTCCACGACTGCCGCCGTCGTCTTAAACTTTACAGCATCTATGAAACGAATCAAGGGCCCTGTAGTCAGGATAGCACGAGCTACAACGAATTTGGTACGCACCGATTCCATTTTTCTCTGTCCTGGTCACATATCCGGAGATCGCTAACTAAAGTTGAAAGGAGTAGAGGAAGCTTGAGCTCTTTGATCTGGGCAACACGCCAAGTCTCTAGGCTCTCAAGCCAGCGTAGTATGACCTTTCCACCCGTTCATTCCCAAGTGAAGGTGTTATTACGATAGTAGTTCTGGGCCACTATGGTCCTTGTGATACGATTTATGGACATCTGCCGCGGTGCTCGATAATTGCTATCGATGGTGATTGTCGTGTTGTTGGGTAAATCGTAAAGGACGTGTTGGAAAATCATGTCTTGCAGTTCCCTGGGTAATGATTGTAGACGATGCGCGTCCAGAGTCCAAACCTGAGCTCCTGACATCTTGTTGTGCGGCAGAATTGTATTTCGCGCGGAGGAGATCGGGAGAAGTCGTGGTATAGGTGAGTCTCCAAAGCTTGCGAAAATCATGATGTGAGTTCAAGCTCATTGAGCTTTCAACAAATCGTAGGATGATGACTGGCCGAGTGAATGACATCCTTTCGTAGGTGGCCTGGAAGGGAGAGAAGCGTCGATGCATTATTCGCTGTATATGTATTCTATACACGTTTCCACCATGCGCCAATGCTCATCCGAATCTCTTGGTGCACAAACATACACATATTGAAGCAAGAGCTTCAGTTACACCTCACGCTGGTCTCCTCATCGGCCTTTCCGCCCATGTGCTCTCCTCTCGTATGCCTCGGCTCGCTTTTTGAAGTCGTCTTTAATTGCCTTAGCCTTCTGTTCTGGGGTTTGTTCTGTTATTTGTGCTGCCCTCTTCTTGACATCAGCAAACGACTTTGAAGCCTTGTCTCGGAGATTGGTGATCCCATCGAACATTCCCTTCTTCTGCGGCTGGACCATATCGCTCGCTGACTTGTCCACCAAAGTCGCGTCAATCGTCTTTCCGCCTCGCGATTTCTGAATGTCAGGTGCTTGGTAGCTGGCTTGACTAAAGGATGCACTCTTGCCGGCATGCGATGCGGAAGATGCTCTGGCCGCGGCTTTTTCTTGCGCGTTTTTCACGCTGTTGCCCAACATGGCTCCAAACAGTCCGCCTTCGGCCCCTTCTCCTGGGGCTGGTTTGTAGAGCGGTGCCAAATTCCAAAACTTTCTGAAGCCCGGTTGTTGAAGCAGACGTGACTGGATCAATCCCACTGCGCCAGTGCCGCAGAACCACAACGCTATCGCGCCAGGCTGGAATGCCGTGAAGATAAAGATAAGCGCAGGCATACCGTATATCATTAATTTCTTCATGTTAGGAGGCATTTGAGCCGACGTTCCTGCCTCTCCTCCGATTCTTCCAATTACATGGATAACGCCAGCCATTACGGCGGGTAGGATGAGGTATCCGTCGGTCATGGTCAGGTTCGTGATCCACAGGAATCCTCCGTCATGAAGTCCTGGTACCGGTAGTGCCACCATCGCTCTCATCAGTCTGAAGCCGCAAAATCCGAGAACACCTTGAACTGCCATGGGCAAGAATTGAGAACCCACTGATACACCAGCTCTTTTATGTATGACAGCAACCTGCTGCCATGCTTGCATGACCTCCGCAGTATTACCGCTCTTTTTCGCGACGTTCATGCGCTCATAGAATGGCTTCGTGACCGAACCCAAAGCCTGTTGTCTAGCCAAGCTATCACTCATCTTCAGGTATAGTGGAAACATTATGATACGCATCAAGGCGCCAGTCGCGAGTATTGATCCCCACCATGGCAGACCTCCCCAAATGTGGAGGTGTTCTATCACCCATTCAATCGCGCTCGTGGGACCAAACCCAAAGTCAATACCGATCTGCTTGAGGTAGCCAATGCCTTCCGGTATTGCGGATGGGTCGGCATATCCTGGCTGTCCAATATTGTCAAGGTTGATTGTATCGAGGTTCGCAAATGTTGCGGTCGATTCTGGCGGAGGTATTGCTGAGGTCGTGGTCGTGGCTGCGGCTTGTGCTGTTTGTTGCGCGGCAGGAGCTGTCGATGCATATCTGATGGCAGCGATTGAGGGGATGGCGACTGGTATTGATCTCGTCCATGGTGTCGATGTTCGCACTATTTGAATTCGAGCATTCGATGCGGTTCGGGAGTTAGGCCGTGGTGTCGAGGAAAGCTGTTTCTCCATTCAGTACTGCACCATCGAGCACCACATCGAGATCGTTACATTTCGACATTGTGACTGATATATTCTGGGCAATTTGCCTCTAACAATCTGTAACCCTCTACTGGGCATCATCTTGTGCCAATGTCTAAAAAGAAGACGAACGCGTGAAGCTTTTTTTGCGGAGACAGATGCAGCAAGTCACAAGCGAGCTGGTCAGGGATCGCACCTGATGATCCTTGGCGTAGATCCGAGGCATATACAATTGAACACCTGCAATTCAGTGGTCAGGAAATGCGTCTCGACAAAATAGGGCGTAAGAAAGGCATATGGTATCATGCCACTTTTTTGAGCAGAACCTTGACTGCTAGAGCTGTCACGAACTCCTCGGACTGCCTCTTGCGCTCCGCTTCCTTCCCTCTGATCAACGCTTCAAAACAGCCACTATTAGGCATGCCGACCTTCTGGTGACTTTCTATGCCGCTGGAGATGGTCGTCTTTTTCTATGTACAGCAGAGCACTACGTGGAAGTACTCAGTGGAAATCTCTTGTTTATTCAAGCGCGGTGTACATGTCCAATTCCTCGCCGTCTCGCCGCCTTTGCTCAATTGGGTCGTCTCTCACTTCGATACCAGGCCCAATTTTGTGTGATCTGTGTGCTGGAAAGACCTGAATGTCATGTCAGCATTGTTCCTCTCCATCTGACAGCCCACTGGCCCATGCGATCACCGAATCACGCTCAGACATACCTTCGTCTTGCTCCATCCTAGTCTAAATGCCGCCTCATGCGCAAATAACTCTCCAAATCCCAACATTAATCCGTTCACAAATGGTAAGAGGAGATTTATCGCGGCTCCGCGTAATATGCTCCAGAAGGTTGGCGGTGAGTACAGTATCATCGGACTTGATGAGTCCGAAGGCGGCTCATCTGAGGAGTCTTGGTTGCTGTGGTTCGCGTCATAGTTTTCGCTGTCGGAAGGGAACGTGGTTTGCGATTCGGAGAGAGGATGGTGAGAAGACATGCTCGCTGTTGCTATGGAGTTGGACCTCTGCAGGAGATTTCGAGTGCGCAGAGGGTGGGGCGAAGCGTTGGCGCACGATCGCGTGTTCGATCCCGACTAGCTTGTTGGCACATGCAACGATCGGTCGTAGCGGGCGGTAGGTGAATGGTATGTATGGTGGGTGGGTGAAGGTGCCGGAGACGGACTTTCCTTCCGCATCGTGAGTTTGTGGTTGGAGAGTCCGCGGTCCAAGCTCCGTCGTTGTTGCCCCACCCTGACGAACGAGGGAACTTCTTGAGCCGGCCAACCTGCCACGTCAAACACACTCACTTTCTCTGCGTGTTCTTAACCATTTCTGGTCTTAGTACAGAGCAGATCCATTCGCTCAGAGAATATTACTTCGGGATCGCGCAAGTCCAGCAGCATGGACAGCGACCAGCAAGACAAGATCGCCCAGTTCAGCGCTGTCACAGGCGCGAACCCCAGTGCGGTACACATCAGAACTACCTCAACCAGAGTTCAAATCTTTCAACTGACCAATACTTGTAGGCGCAAACCGCTCTCAACGCTGCCAACTGGGACCTCGAACAAGCAGTCGGCCTTTACTTCGCCGCCAACGAAGAGCATGAAGGCGAGGAAGACGACGAGGAAGACGCTGCACCAACGCCAGCAACCCAGCCCACATCGGCACAGTCTGCACCATCAAGCTCGAGTCGGACCACGCGCGGTGGAGGCAACGGATCGAGGATGCGGACATTACGGGACTTGCAGAGTGGTGGAGATGAGGACGATGAGAAGGATGAGAATCAGGACATGTTCGCAGGTGGCGAGAAGAGCGGTTTGGCGGTACAGAACCCGGGTGAGGGTAACCAGCCCATCGACCACTTCCGCAACATCATGAACCAGGCTCGTCAGAACCGTGATCGCCCTCCTGGCGAGGCTGATGAGCAAGAGCAGCCTCGCAGCGCCAACTTCTCAGGCCGTGCGCAAACTCTGGGAGGCGACGATGCACCCAGTAGAGTGGTTGAGGACCCGGAGGCAAGCAGGTCACAGCGCAGGACTCTGCCGCGCGTGACACGCACGCTGCACCTCTGGGCAGACGGAGTCAGTATCGACGATGGACCACTCCTGCGATTTGACGATCCAGCAAACCAGAACATCATGTCAGAGATCAATCAAGGCCGAGCGCCGAAGGCGCTGCTCGATGTCGAGCCTGATCAAGAAGTCGATCTCAACCTAGACCCACACAAGGGCGAGAACTATGTCGCACCGAAGCCGAAGTACAAGCCCTTCGGTGGATCAGGCCAGCGTCTTGGTTCTCCAACGCCTGGCATCGCTTCTTCGTCAACTCATGCTGCAGCACCCAGCAGCTCCGGCGCCGCAACTTCAGCACCTGCCGAAGCTCCGGAGAACACTGTCGATGAGTCGCAACCAACACTACAAATACAAGTCCGCCTCGGTGATGGCACGAGGCTTTCCAGTCGCTTCAACACCACGCAGACTATTGGAGATGTCTACGAATTCGTCACGGCTGCTCAACCAAATGCACGGCCCTGGGTCCTCCAGACTACCTTCCCTCCGCAAGAGCTTACGGACAAAACAAAAGTGCTTGGCGAAATGAACGATTTCAAGAGAGGTGGCGTTGTCGTTCAAAAGTGGAAATAGAAGTCGGCGGCTTGGACACGAGAACAAGGGCATTATGAAGATCATAGAGCGCGCGATGCGCGTCGGGCTGGCTATACCTGAGCATTTTTAAAAAGGCGCTTTGGCTTGGTTGAAGAAGCGCCTAGTCGGCGCTCCTGCATCGCATAGGGAGGTCAAAAGAATAGTCAAACGTATGAAAGTGATCAAAAAGACGAGACAGCCATCATAATTTCAATTTCTCACATATACGGAACTGATGCTTCTTTGCACAGGAGCAAGATACGGAAAAGCGACGAAAAACGCTCGATTGCCAAGCCTTCGCAGCCTCCCTGGCTTGGAACTATATCGAGCGCCGCTGCCTTATGGTGCTCTCCAGACAGCCTCAAAATACATGGTTCAAACAACTCCTTTATATATCCTACTTGAGATGCGGGCATCAAGGTTTGCGACGTGACACTGTAAATCTCCCTACCGTCTGCGGGGCTCTGGCCTCCAGGCTCCTTATCGCGCCTGCGGCCATCGTATCGAGGCAACTTTGTAGAGCATGGCTATACTGTACAAGGCACCGGCCCGAGGGTAAGTCACCACGTTCTGAATGTCTGCTACTTTCAATTCTTCCTGTCTCTTCTTTCACCGGTTACTTTGCTCGAGCCCAAGATGGACGAAAAGACGCAGTTCAAGGATGTGATTGTTGTTGGCGCAGGTGAGTGGTTCAATATCTTTCTTGATATTCGCTTATTGACCAATCACGCAGGCATCGGAGGTCTATGTGCTGCAAAGACATATCTAGAGCTCTCGCCCGAGACTGACTTGACGATTCTGGAAACGAGGACTACTCTGGGCGGTGTTTGGGCGGAACAGAATCTTTATGAAGGTCTATGCACAAACAATCTCTACAGCACTTATGAGTATTCCGACTTTCCCATGTACGCTGAGAAGTATGGCTTGAAGAAGGACATGCACATTTCTGGAGAGGTTATGTATCGATACCTGACCGATTATGCCAATCACTTCGACATATTCCGACGGATTAATTTCTCGACAAAAGTCACAGAACTCGAGAAGGTGGAGAGTGGCTGGAAGATCACGACAAAATCGACGCATGACGACTCTGAAGAGGTTGTACATTATACCCGTAAATTGATCATGTGCAATGGTCTTGCTTCAAATCCGAACCCAATCACGATTCCTGGGCATGAGAAATTCGGCAGGCCGATCTTCAACCATGGCGGCCTCAAGGACAAGGCTGAAGCTCTAGCACGAGATCCGAGTGTGAAGCACGTCACTGTGATTGGCGCTTCCAAGATTGGATACGATGCTGTGTGGCTATTCGCTCATCATGGCAAAAAAGTGGACTGGATCGTACGGAAGTCAGGTGGAGGGGCAGTGTGGATGTCAAAGCCGTACGTGAAGATTGGACCGTGGGCTCGGATGCTCGAGCATGTAGTGTGCACGAGATTCTTTACCTGGTTCTCGCCCTGCATTTGGGGATCATACGATGGTTTTGGCTGGATCAGGAGATTTTTGAATAAGACTCGGATTGGAAGGTGGCTGATAGATGGATGGTGGGAAAACGTGCGGCATGGTACAATCGAGGTTGCTGGCTATCGAAGAGAAGAACGGCTAAAGCATCTGGAGCCGAGTGAAAGGTAGGTCTACGAAGTTGTTCAGAGGTATTTGATGTTCGCTTACCTGTTACAGCCTCCTCTGGACAGCACGAGTTGGCATACATAATTATCCAACCGATGTACACGACTTCGTCCGATCGGGTCAAGTAACAGTCAAGCATCAAGACGTCGATTCACTTTTTTCCGGTGGAACAATTAACTTCGCTGACGGGGCCTCGCAACAAACCGACGTGCTCGTACAGATCACAGGCTGGCAGCTAGTCCCCACTATCAAATGGAAGCCGGGAGGTATCGATGCATCGATCGGCGTGCCAAGTCAATCATACAGTCGTGGCGAGCTTGATTTCTGGTCGGACCTGGACAAACGGGCAGACTCACAAATACTGCGCCAGTTCCCACGACTAGCCGATCCTCCAAAGAACAAGCTGCCATACACACAACCCGTCACCCCATTCCGACTCTACCGTGGAATCGCCCCACCAGGCCTGACAGCTCACGGCGATCGATCTCTGGCTTTCGTGAAAATGGTGCATTGCACAACGAATATCGTCCTAGCCGAAACTCAATCCCTATGGCTGTACGCCTATATGAACAACAAACTGAATATTGACGAACGAGACGTCTACTGGCAAACAGCTTTGAGCAGCAGATTCGGCGCTTTGAGATATCCTTGGGGCTTCTCGAAATGGTGGCCCGAGTTCGTATACGACGCAATACCTTATGCCGATATGTTGTTGACGGATTTGGGGCTGAGGAAGCATAGGAAGTCGAGTTGGGTGAAGGAGATATTTGAAGGCTATACTATACACGATTACAAGGGTATCAACGATGAATGGAGAGTGAAGTATGGGAAGGGAAGGTGAAGAGTTAATGTGAAGAGGAGCAGCGCACTGGTCGTTCCATTACCTAGCAACTTCTTCGAAGTGGGCACGTTTTGGTCTCGTGCCACTCTACAAAGAACCTTCAGTGTATCGGAAGATCAAGGATGTTTAGCCGATTTCGGGGCCTGCGAGGGGCAAAGAAGGCGTGACAAGTCGTACTATTTGTCTCGCGAAGACCCATTCTCCATGACACGCTCAAGAATTAGAGTCATCAGAAATGAACACGTCTATAGCGATGCCAATTAATGTCTTGGGCAGGAAACTTTCACGGAGCTGGTGTGTGTGCCCAAGGCATTGACCGACATCCGATACCGACGCCCACTTGCAGCCAATAGAGCGCACGCGGCAGCCAACGGTCCGCTGTCTTTTGTGGGTCTGTTGTTTCTGCTGCGGGGATAATCTGGGGAAGCCAAGCCCTCTTTCGAAGTCAGTCTCGTGATGTCTTGTCTCGTCTCTGACCACTGACGCCCTGGCTGAGGTACTTAAGACTGGTACCTCCCACTTGTCCTCCTGAAAAACCTCTCCACTCCCACACAGTCCACCTCAAACAACACTTTCACACCACAATCCCGGCAAGATGAGTGCAATCGTTGAAGAACCTGAGAGCTTCGAGCCTCTCAAGGTTCTTATTACGCTTCACGAGGGCATGGTAGGCCTATGACACACACCTCGCCGTCCGCCAATGCTGACAATGGCACTCAGGACTCTCTGGACGCTATCGGACCGCTCGAAGTCTTCGCCTCAGCCCTGCACGACCCGAAGAAGCCAGAGTCGAAGGCCTTCAGGGTCATCTTCGCGGGCCCCACCGAGCACGTGGTCACCGCTCAAGGTGCCTCTTTCCGCGCACACGTCGACTACAGCGAGGCTATGAAGCGTCTCCCTGAGATCGATGTTCTCGTCATCCCAGGTGGCAACCATGAAGGTCCAATCAAGGCCAAGAGCCAGCCATTGGGCATCATTAAGGCCTTCGCTGAGCTCCAGAAGAAGAATCCAAGCCGCGAGCGTTCCCTCATGTCCGTCTGCACTGGATCTCTCTTCTTGGGAGAGACCGGTATCCTTGCAGGCTTGACTGCCACTACCCATCCAGACTACATCACCAAGTTCGAGATCATCTGCTCCAACGCTGCCCAGCGTGACATGACCGATCGCTGTGACGTTGTCGAGGAACGCTACGTCGTCAACAACCTTCGCTTCGACTTGGGCGAGAACGAAGATGAGAACCCATACATCATGAATAGAAAGGAGGTCAAGGAGTACAAGCGCCGCAAGAGCTCTGCGGGCGGTATCAGCCCGATCGAGGAACGCTCCAATGGCTTCCAGAACGGCCGTCGCCCATCCTCAGCCCGTAAGGGAAGCATGAGCTTGAAGATGAGCAACTCTCGCCGCGAGTCTGTCCTTAAGCGTGCCAACTTGCGCTTGGGTGGTCTTCGCGTGCTCACCACCTCTGGTGTCGCCTCTGGCATGGACGGTGCTCTCTACATGGTCGGAGCTTTGGTCTCTGACGAAGCGGCTGATGAGGTCGCTCGCAAGATGTGTTACAACTGGAAGAAGGGTATCGTTGTCGACGGCGTTGATGTTTGAATGGCCATAGCGAGAGGCGCTTGAGGCGTCCACTACTGATTGATGAGATGGAAGAAACAATGTAAGCATAGTAACGAAGATCACAAGCGAACCGAGATGCTACCTCGGAATCAAAGCGAGATGAGAGCCAGAGATAAGCTCGATGAATTGAACTAGCGACGAAATGAACGTAACTCCACCCTCACCGTCTCCTGCCGCCTCAGAGCCAGACTTCCAGGAACGTCTCCAAGTCCATCCTCTTGAAGAACAACTCCCCAAACCGATCCACCAACGACGCAGCAACATCGCAATTGTCCTGCGCAGGATCCACAAACACTCTAAACGGCTTCTCCCTCCTCTCGGCACCGCAGCCAACTTGACCAACTCCTCCGCAACAACAATCGGATCCGCATGCTCAGGCACACAACTCGCCGTCCCCGTCATCGTCTGCTCCGCCAACCCCTTCGTCGGCCCCTCCTCATACTCCCTCACAACACTCTGTATCTCCGGCCTCGCCGCATCAGAAAAATGACTCGTCCCCTTCGTAAAAACCCCCGGACTCACAATCGTACTCTCAATCCCCCAAGCATTCAATTCTTTCGCATAACTCTGCGCCAAAGAATCCATGGCCGCTTTCGCAGCGAAATACGGTGCTAACATGGGAGATTTCGCGCCGTAGACTGACGAGGATGAAATCCAGATTATGTGTCCTGACCTTTTGCCGCGCATGTGAGGGAGGACGAGTTGGTTGAGGCGTTGAGCTCCTACCACGTTGATTTCATACATGCGAGTGTATTGTTCGCATGTGAAGGCTTCGGCGGGCCCGAAGCCCATGTGGCCTGCGTTGTGGATTATTGTGTCGAGGCGGCCGGAGGTTTGGGAGAGGATGGATGAGAGGGCGGAGGTTAGGGATTCTGAGGAGAGGAGGTTGAGGGGGATGGGTTGGAGGTCGGCGGAGTGGAGGTGGGAGAATTGGGCGATTTCTTCTTCGTAGGGAGCCGTGTTGCCGTCGTGGGAGTATTGGCCTGCGAAGACGGTGTGGCCTGCTTTGGAGAGTTCTTGGGCGGCGAGGCGGCCGAAGCCCGTTGATGCTCCTGTGATCAAGATGACTTGTTTGTTGCTGGACATATTGGGTTGAGGATCTTGGTGTGCGTGTGGTATGCTAGAGCTTCGTGATCTTCTGTGCGGTTCTGTGCCTGTGAAATTACCCTGCGATGCAAGGCTGTCTGAAGGAAGAATTTGAAGAGATGCGAGGTCAATGAGATACCACAATCACCCTACCTTAGACGCCTCTTATATCGGTATCCAGCTCTCTGGACGGAGGTAAGATGGCTCGCAGCTCCGCGATCGGGGGAATGGATCATTGCAGCTGGATTCTGCGAATCGTTCGGACATTGACGACTGAATATATACGCGGGTACCCGTACCTTACTCTGTCTCTCAACGTTAGTTATGCCAAGCGGTTCCAAGACAGCTTTGTAGACTGAAGTGCATGATACACAGCCACTACGACAGAACACCTTGGGGCCAAGCATTCTACAGTAGAATATCCGGCCCGGTCCTGCAGCCGCTCTTTCCACCATAGCCGCTCGTCTTCTCCTCCTGGACACCTTCACGCTGCAACTATGTCTACTAACGGCACTCATGCTGGCAGCAAACGCTCATTAAGTCCAGATGAGGAGGAGAACCATTCGACGCCACAAGGCCGCCAGCGCTCCCGAGCCGCATGCACGCCTTGTCGCCAGCGGAAGAGAAAATGGTGAGCTGAGCATCCTCCGTCTTACAGTAACTCTCATTGCGTCATACCAATCGATATATACATGTACCAATCGCGAGAAAATAGTATCATTCAAGGAAATTGCCGAGCAAAGTTCACGTGGAAGAGATGGCGTGTATATGAAAATTCTCATGAGACTGACGACATTGCAGCGATGGAAGGCTTCCATGTGCAACATGTGTGCGTTACGAATACCAATGCGAATATGACCAAAAGGCGAAGCGGGCGTCCATGCCTCAGAATGCAGATGTCGCGCAAGAACCTCCGCCCAAGCAGGAAATGGGACGCACACCTCCAAGCATCATCCAGTTGCAAGCACATCCATTGACAGCGCCGGGAGCTCGTTTCCATCATCGCGGGATTCTCGATCCGGTCAAGACACGATTTGTCAGAGCCAATTCTGCTATTGCCTTTCCTCGTATACTTGGTATGGACCTTGAGTCTGAAAGCATACCTAGACTGCATTCATTCGCCTGGCATCTTGGTATACGACCCGAACCTGCGGAAGAGCGCATCATTATTTCCAAGCACATCTCCTGGATGGAGTTCCAAAATTTAGCGAGCGCATACTTCAAGATGGTCCGCCCAGAGTTTGGATTGATCGATGAAGCAGAGTTCATGGAGGCCATGGCAGCTCGCTTCCTCGACCCTTCCGGACTGAAGGACATTGATTCCGTAGCGTTGGGTATGGCCGCCTTAGGTTCTTTCTTCTCCGCGACGCCTCATCCGAAAGAAGAGGCCATGTTCCTCGATGCGAAGAGAGTACTTATGCAACGCAGCATCGGCAATTCGCCGACTCCAAACCAGATCGCCGGCTGGATCTTACGAACCATTTACCTTCGACTCACCTCTCGGCCTCATGGAGCTTGGATGTCGAGCTGTATCGCAATGCATCAAGTTGAAGCAAGTGGTCTGCACAAGGAGATTCAGACCATCGCGGTTGTCTATCCTCAAGTCCCCACGAACGATCACAAGCTTGCGAAGAATCGTCGAAGGCTGTTCTGGATTGCACGCTCGCTGAACACTATCCTGTCCTTCGAGTACGGAAGAACAAGAGTCAATTTCGATGTTGTCACCACTAAGAAGTTTGCGGCTGAGAGTGGTACCCATGCTCACCAATTCATGGAGTTGGCTGAACTGCTCCCAAACGACTTCGTTGACCGAGACCGTGAACCTGATCCGCCAGCAGCATTGAGTCATGCTCTTTCCAAGATCGAAGCCATGCAGACAGAGTCGCACTTCATCTCGCTGCTCAAAGCAGATCTCGCCTTTGCCATTTATCGTCGGCTCTGGCTCATGAGCTTGACGGATGCGAAAGATCGTGCTGACTTGGTCATATCGATTGGGAAATCTGCTCTTACTGCGGTTCGAAAATGCCTTGCCGACAAGACACCTTGGTGGAATGTCATCTGTACGCCTTTCCAGCTTATCTGCGTGGTGATCTCGGTGGGCTCGCCACGAAGCTTGTCACATATCGAGGAGATCATGGCTCTGATGCATGACGTCGCTACGGTATACGACACACATATGGTGCGGGAAGCGTACAACCAGGCGACCGCTCTGATCGCTATGGCACGGAGACGCAAGCAGAAAGAACTGGATGCCTTGAATGCTATCCCTGAGGCGCCACCTTTCGTAGACCATCCCTCAGCTGGACCAAGCAGCACATTATCCGAAGCTCCAAGTCTCGATTGGGGCGCGATGGATCTGCCTTTCGAATGGGATATGTTTCTCAATCCTGAACTGGTGGTCAACACTCAACAAACAATGCCAATGGTCGATGCCGCCCTTGCTGGCTCATCGCTCGGCCAGTTCAAGTTTCCAATCTCCTAGGCGAGTGACGCAGTACTATCATAGAGAGCCCGTGGTGTCTATCGCAACTCATATATTGCTAGGCTAGACCTGTTGCGCTTACAGGACGGCTCTGACTGTTCAAGAGTGCCGCAAATCGGAGAATAACCAGTTCCGGTATCTTACCCGACTAACTGTACCTCTTGGCGCTTGACATGGCTACAGAGGCATGCAGATCCCAAATACCACTTTGCGCAGTTCGCCGGCCATTTGCGCTTTCAGCGGAGATCGTGCCTTTGCGATCGGCATCTTGGCCTTGGCATTCCTGCAGCTTGACCTTCTAAAACATCACTTGCGCTACCTGGGAGTGTCAGCCTGGAAATAACAAGACAATGATAACTGCTCTATCAGCGCACGTGTCGATAGCCTGCTGGACTATCTCATGCACATTCGGATAATGGTACTACAATTCCAATCAACCTGCCTATTACAGGTCTTGGCCAAGATGTCGGACAGATCACTTGCAATGCTCTTAAGAGAGCTCGAGACGCCTCGAAGATGCTGAAGGACAGCAGACTGACGTTCCTGGACGCTCACGACAACATGGGCTTCACTTCGACTATCGTCGCTCTGGCCGCGGCTACCAGTGCGCTCGCTGCACCTACACACTTTGAGGTTCTCAAGCGAGGAAACTTGCCAACTCCTGTCTCTGCAGCGACCGCAAGATCTTATTTGAGCTCCATAACAACTGCTGCCGAATCGAATAATCCGGCATATAGCCGTGACTATTTCAATCACTGGATCACTATCAACGGAAGCTGCAACACTCGCGAGACTGTTCTCAAGCGTGATGGATCAGATGTGCAGCAGGATGGTGCTTGTGCAGCGACTTCTGGAACCTGGTACTCATATTATGTACGCTGAGCAAGGACTTTTGGACTCGTCGAGCCATTACTAACAGGTGTGTCTAGGATGGTGCCACATGGACGGCGGCTTCGGACGTTGACATTGATCACTTGGTGCCACTGAAGGAAGCATGGATTTCGGGTGCAAAGGATTGGACTGCTGCACGTCGCGAACAATTTGCAAACGAGTACGAGGGGTCTTAAAGTTACTAGCAGAAGCCATGCTAACTTTCCCAGCCTAACTCGACCTCAGCTGCTCGCTGTGACCGACGAAGTGAACCAGCAAAAGAGTGATCGGGATCTCGCGGAGTGGCTGCCATCCCGGACGGCGTACCATTGTACATACGTCAGAGCCTGGGTCCAAGTCAAGTACTACTATGGTCTCACGATGGACAGCGCAGAGAAATCAGCGGCTTCTGACATTCTTTCCGGATGTTAAATAGTATTATCATCAGGCGGAAGTGACTTCATGCCTTCAAAGCTCACATCGACTGCAGTATCTTACACCGTCTCAACATCGCTATATGCTCATCAACCAGAACTCACGCTACCAAAACCAATTCCCAACCCCCTCACCAAACCCCAATTCCATCCTCACAGACATGTCAATCTCACAAGCCCAGCGGATTCTCCCCATTCTGCTCCTTCCCACCAATCCTCTCACCCCCAGGCAACTCCGAATCCGGTTTGTGATTATCGTCATCTGTATACTTTCCCTCCCGCTCGGCCTGCTTTCGTACGGCGAGAAGCGCCTCACCATTCGGATTCCCGATCTTGCCTGTCACTAGGCCGATGGGTTTCGTTACGTAGCTGAGGACTTGGCCGAGAGGGTCTCCGATTACTGTCAAGGGACCTACATGTACTTGTCAGCATGGTGGGTGGGTGGGAGGAAGAGGATGGGTGGACCTTTCTTTTCTGTGCCCAGAGGTCCGTCGGGAGCCATGTTGGGGACTTTGTTGAGGAGGTTGTCCATGTTTTTGGTTTTGGGTTTGTCTTGATTAGAAGTCGAGGTTTGAGGTTGTTGTTCTGGCGGATTGTCTTGGAGTGAGTTCTTCTGTTCCCGAACACTTCTGTCCGATCGTCTCCTCTGTCTGAGCCATGAAGTAGTCCTGGCGGAGAAATTTTCTCTACGATGTCATGAGTGTAACGGACGGAATCAAGAGATGGTGTTCGGTATCTTGACTCTTGAGGTTTGTACGCCCACTTTACATGCTTATGACGGCACATGGTGGCCACGGTACGGGACATGTGAGCTTCGACCGGGGTTGATTTCTTGCATTTTTTGTGCAACGTTGGAGGCGGAGCTGCATGTGTCACTCAGACGGGGGTCTGTAGCTGGGCAGTGTGTATGCATATTCAGCGTGAGGCTGTGCTCGACGTGCAATAAATACCTGGTGTTGTTAGGAGATTTGGATGATGAAATCGAAATGGGAGCGTATGGACAAGATATGGGCGGTCTGGCTTCGGTATTGAATGCATGTACAGTGATAAGCAGATCGACCTTGCGGGTTTGGTTGCATAATGAGCATGCTGCGGATAGTTACAGTCAATATACATGTATATGTGACAATGTCGAGCAGAACGGACGGAGCAGAGGAGAAGGGCGGACCCGCGGACGTGCTTGGCGTCTTGGCAATGATGATGTGTTGTTTTCTGTGACGCGTCAGCTCAATCACATGACAGACACGTGACCTCTTGGCATAAAGAATTTTTACACTGTATTTTAGACTATAGAATAGACGAAGACATAGGCAATTAACGAAGCTAATTCAACCGCCGGCAATATAGTATTACGTAAGTAATCTACTACGCTATACGTAATAGTTATAAGCCCGGATTTAATCCGCGGTATTAGAGACTTCTATAGTAGGAAAGAATTTTCTTCTATTTTACGAGACCTCTAATAATCGAATCGATAGTCTTAATAGTACTACGAAATTAGCTATCTATTTAAGCCTCTACAATCGCTTTAAAGTTAGTATATCCTTAATAGCCCTCTTATTAGCTAGTCGCCTTAGTAGTAGTAAGCTTGTTGTCCTTCGTAGACCTAACGAATAGGATCGGTAGTTTAAGCAAACTAAGACGTATCTAACTAGATGTAGGACCTAGGTCTTTACTAGTCTGTATTCGACTAAGCCTACTAAACTAGTGTAACCCCTTCTTCCTAAGTTCGATATAGAACAACTTGTGACTAACCCCCTATATTAGGCTAGGGCAAAGCTTACTAAGGAACACTTTAATATAAGGAAGGCGGAGTTTAAACGCTTTAGGATAGCTCGTAATAAGACAATTAAATATCTAGCTACAACTATAGACATTCGCTATTACTTGGAGATTACTAATCCTAATATAGACAATATAGCACTAACTATACGGCTTATTCTAACTCGATTAAAGAACAAGCTCGCACCTAATACTTAATAGTAAAGGACTGCCCTTAGTAAGGAGCTTTAACGCCTTGTTAATTCTAAACAGATAAAGGACCCTAAGTACTAGTACGAGGAATAGCTTAACCTTTATAAGACAATAAAACGTATACAATACCCGGAAGTTAACAACTTAGTAACCTACCTATATACTATAGTTACGAATATAGATAAGACCTATAGCAAAGGGCTCTATATAATATACTAGGTAGAGCTATTAGTTAACAACTTCTATTAGCTAATTAGCATAGTACGAGAATATGCCCGCAATATGCTAGGTACTTCTACGAAGAAGGGTTTATCCTTTAGTATTATCTATAAAGAAGGTAAAGCTAGTACTAACGCCGCTTTATAAGCTACGGACGATAACGACAAGCCTAATAAGAATAAGGGCCGCAGTAATAGCGGCAACCGTATACTAAAGACCTATGCTAAGCTTACTAGTATAGGCGAAAAGAAAGCTTATAAAAACCGCGGCAAGTGCACTATAGTAAACTACCGCCTTCGAGAATAGGTTAAAGAGAAAGATAAGGATAATAAGTAGAAAGGAAAACTGAAGTACTTTAAGGCCTACCTGCGTAAGAACAAGGGCTTCTGCTTAAGACAGGCTAAGTTCTTTAAGGACCTACTAGCTATTAAGATTGCTTAGCAATACTATAGACTTTCGGCTAAAGATAGAGACGATACTAGAATAGGGAATAGATTAGACAAAGTCTTACTAGCCTGCTTCTTCAAACCTAACACTCTAGACCTATTAGCCTTCGCCCTAGTCACCCTTGCACTAACTACCTATCTATTAATAGCTATAAGGGGCAAGAAATAGAATCCCTTTATTAGCCTAATATACGATAGTAGATCTAACTGCAATATTGTTAACTACCCTAGTCGCTTCAACTTTTAGGCTATATTTATTCCACTACGAGCTACTATTGCAACTAGTACGGGATATAACAAAGTTATCGCTATCGGAAGGGCATCCTTTACTATTAATTTAGTAATAGGTAAACCCCTAACTATTAAACTAAAGGAATGCCTCTATATCCCTAACTTCTATACTAATATTGTTATAGGGGCAATCTTCTATTACCGTAGGTTTAAGCACAATAAGCTTGATAATATTCTCTACAACCTATAAGGGAAACTACTAGTCCCTCTTGTTAGACCGGACAACTATATACCCTATTTCGATATTACCTATAAAGTAGACGGTAAACCTCCGCTTAAACAGCTAATAGGGGATAAAGGTAAGCTATACCTATATCCTTTCTGACTGTCTCAGTTATTAACTACAACTATAATATTAGCCTACGTAATAGCTCGACGCTCCGTACGCCTACTGCCGCTAAGGAAGCTTACCCTTAAACAAATATATAAGGTGTTTAGATATCTCGGCTCTAAGAGAGCGTAAGAGCTTGCGGATAGAGTTAATAGAATAATAAGAGATTACATACATAACAATAAGGTACTAAGAACACTACTTTGTCCTACGTATATACAAGTAAAGGGCAAGAGGCTTATCTCTAGGAGACTAAGGCACTATAATATGTCGATACTAACTCTATATAGACACCTTGCAGCCGACCTAATACAGCTGGATCCAGCCTATAATAGTAATTAGTACATTTTCTATGTATACGACCTAAATACTAGCCTTTATTTTATATAGACTACTAGCAATCGTTAGGAGTTAACTCTTCTATAATGCTGGAACTAAATAGCTACCTTCGTACGCAGCATTAGCAGAGACATTATATACCTATTATCTAACAATAAGGGAGGTATTTTAGGCCTTCGGTTTCGGTCGTATCTACGCAATAACTATACTATATAGAGGCTAACAGCCCTATATACATTAGAACAGGACCTAGTAGAGCGAGTAGGCCGTACTATTATTAAGGTAGCTCGAGCCTTAATAATACACGCTAGATTTCTATATAACCTATAGCTAGAAGCAGTTTATATAGCAACCTTCCTAGCTAACAGGTTACTAAGATTACGTATAGCCGACCTATCGATGCGTACCCTATATAAGATTAGTACTAGCTATAAGCCAAATGTAGCCTATATCTACTAGTTTGGAGCAAGGGCATATCTAGTAATCTACGGTACAGAGGCAACTAATAGCAAAAGGAAGGCTATACTACTAAACACTATAAAAATAGCCTTACGCACCTATATTAGATACCTATATAGATATAAAGGACACTCTATCTATAGGACATAGGTGCCCTTACGAATAATAGTGCTACGTATAAGGGACGTTATATTTAATGAAACCAAGTTCTATAATAGCTATAATAATGACCTAGGTGTTATTATAACTAATTAAGAGCTTGCAGAAGAATATAGTAATCTCGAAGAGGCACAAGTACCCGCCTCGGAGCATTAGTTTAACGAGCTTCGAGAAGCCTACGACATACCTCTAGACCTTGTTAGGTTTAGAGCTAAGGGGGTAGATATACTAATAGGGCCTAGTCGACTTATAATAGTTAACAGGCTAACAGATAACCCTATTAGACTAGAACTACTACTACCTTAACTACTAGCACTAGCTAAGCTATAGCTTGTATAGGTGCCTATATAGAAACAAGACTTTCTAATTAATCTACGCGAAATACTATAGCCGCGTAATAACGTGCTAAGTGAATTAGTTGAACTAACTATTAATTAGCTAACTATTAATTAGCAACCTTAACAACCTAAGAGCGATGCTAGCACCCACACCCCTACTAACAATACAGACGCACTAGGTTACGCGGATGGTGTAGACATGAGTTTGCTGCGTGTTATCTGCGTACAGAGCTTACCAAGTTACTAATGCTAATTAAAGCAGCTGGTGTGTCTCGTCGTTGCTTGCTAAATGTGGGAGGTCTGTACTATCGTGTTAACAATCCAAACAAGCGACAGCGAGCAGCCGCGATCCGTTACTATATTAACGACCGAGACTAAGCGAGAAACCTCCTTCTATTTAGCAACCTATATATAGCAGCAGAGTACGAAGCTAGGTTAATATATAGTAATAGCGCCGACAATAATCAAGCCGACAGCGATCTACTACTACTACTTCCTCGTAATAAAGACGATCTAACCCTTATACCAAAAGTATTAGACTTGCTAAAGGAGCTACGCAACTAGCGACAGGTACTAAAGAGCAAATTTAAAGAGCATTAGATATATACTATAAGAGTGGAATTTAATAAGGCGTTAGAGACACGTACATTCGAGTAGGTGGATCTAAACATACTAGACAAACCTAACCTCCTACCTCTTACCTAGGTATTTAAATATAAGGGTAATACTAATAGTCGACTGATTAAGTTTAAAGCAAGAGTATATACAAGAGGGGACCTTTAGAAGAACACACACTTAGATACCTATGCCTTAATACTAGCTATACGAGTTTTTAGAGCCCTTATAGCTATCGTAGCTAAGTTTAACCTAGAAGCTAAGTAAATAGATGCAGTCAATGCCTTCCTTAATGCTATATTCCTATATACGCTATACCTTAGGCCGCCTAATAGATTTAAGCAGAAAGGCTGAAGGTGTTAAAACTAATCTAAGCACTCTATAGTCTATAGGAGTTACCTCGGTTATAGTACAACCACTTTACTATAACACTAGAAAACAAACTTAGCATACAACTAGTAGATAATATAGACTGCCTATATACCGACCTAGACAAACAGGTATTTATCTTCTTCTACGTAGACGATATTATACTATTATATTACCGCTAGTATATATAGAAGGCAATAGATCTTAAGTAGAAGTTAATAAAGGAATATGAAATTAGTAACCTAGGAAAGCTCTTATAGTTCCTTAGTATTGAAATTATACGCGATAGGCAGAACAGGAAACTGTAGCTATCTTAGAAGGCATATACCGAGAAGATAGCTTAAAGATACAGTATCGCAATAGCTAGTCGAAGAGCTAAGGCACCCCTACTAACTAGATACGAGCTATATAAGAAACTAACTTCTAGTAAAGATAACTGTGCTCGACTTAATCTAGTAGCGATCCTAGCCTACTAGAGCCGTATAGGGGCACTTAACTTTGTAGCAGTTCAAACTAGGCCGGATATAGCTAAGGCAGTGTCCTTATTGTCTAAGGCTCTATAGAACCCGCGGACAGAAGACATAGCAGCAGCAGACTAGTGCATTAGGTACCTGCTAAATACGAAGGACCTATACTTAGAGTATAACGCAAACGGACTAACAATTACCGCTTATTTAAGCTAACAGCTTTATAAATTCTACAGAGCTTCTAACGCATCCTATAGTAACTATAAGGGTACGAGACAGTCGTTAGAGGGATAGATATTCAGCCTATTTAATAGACTAGTTAATTAGAAGGCAGCACGACAGTTAACTGTTACTAAATCTACGACTAAAGCTAAACTGCTAGCTGCCTTATATATAGGCTTAGAATTGATCTAGTAGAAGCGTTTCTTTAACAACATTAGCCTTACCTTAGATAGCATTCCTATGCTATACTGTAACAATATACAGACTATCCGCATTATTAAAGCTAATGCTAGCAAACTAGATACGAAGCTCCGCTATATAGACATTCACTAATACTAGCTAAGGCAAGAATATAAGGCTAGAAGGATTCAATGTAACTACCTAGCTATATAAGATATACTAGCCGATAGAATAACTAAGCTCTATAGCCCTTAGAACTAAAAGAGGTTCATTAAATAGCTAAGGCTAACTAAACTACCTAACCTAACAACTAACTAAGATATACAGTTATAGGGGTATATAAGGAAGCAACTCTTCCTCTAACAACCTCTTCCTCTTCCGCAATACGAAGACAACTCTATATAATAGGTAGTAGGCGCCCCCTACTTATCTACTAATTGTAACTAAGTCGATTAAACACAACTTCATCGATTAGTACTAACAAAAGTGTCTAATACGATAACGACGACTAATTAGAACAAAGGACTTAACCTTACCTTCTAATATAGACTAAACAATAGTATAGGTAACCTTACCCTACGGGGTACGTTACTATCGCCTATATTATTACTTCGAGCGTTACTTCTACTAACTAATAACAAGTCTATAGCGATTGTATTAGTGCTAGTAATAATAGTGCAGTAGTCTTAGCTAAGGGTAGCGTCCTTAGTTAAGTTACCTATCTTAATTTATTAAATCTATTTAAACAATGTATATCTTATCTAATCCTTTATCTAATCAAATAGACGCTACCTATGCGATTAATATAATAACCGATAGTAATAATGTAACGGGCTTAGTTTAGCTAAACTAACTTTACTAACGATACGAGTTCTTATATAAGGCTTAATAGTGTCGGTCTGTACTTAGACTACGTAGGAAGAAAACAGTTCCTAGTAACAGGGACCGTATATAAAGGTGTATACGCAGTCCGGATTATGTAATGATATCCTTCGGGGTACTCGGGGTATAAAATAAGACTCTCTTATATATAGTATAGATTTAAACCATTTTTTTAGTGTTTTAATAAAGCACTATATAAGGAGTTAAAAGGATTAATTTTCTTTTATTTGTATATAAAGAAGCATTAACTACCTTGCCTAAAACCCTTTTATATAAGCTAAGGGGGTATGTAACGCGTTAGCTTAATTACATAACAGACACGTGACCTCTTAGCATGAAGAATTTTTACACTGTATTTTAGACTATAGAATAGACGAAGATATAGGCAATCAACGAAGCCAATTCAACCGCCGGCAATATAGTATTACGTAAGTAATCCACTGCGCTGTGCGTGATATTTTCGACGCGTCCACCAAATGTTGGCTTTCTCTTGACACAATTGATGTTGTTCACTACTACAATTGATATGTCTCGCGAGAAATCGTAAGGCCAATACAATCGTCGTGGCATCCCGAATCTCCCACGGTACCTCCAAGCTGCGCAACTCTGGTAAAAATATGGCATCTTGACCCATCGAGACGCGTTTCGACTTTCGAGCCACCAAGCACAAGCCGCACGGAGACACAGTCAGGACCTCACAATGCTGCAGTCCTGCTGACCAGTGCGAGAGGCTGCGGTCGACTCGTTGCTGCGATCATGTCTGACGGCCGGACCAACGATCCCCCCACCCCTGGCAGCCCTCATCAACAGATCGGCACACCCTGGTTGCATGCTGTTTGTGGAGCCCCACGGGGAGCAATGGTCTTGATGCTCTGGTTGTCAGTCCGCCGTTTGCCGTGATGGAGCAGCTTCGGCTAGGACTACTCGCGTGACAACTTTGACAAGCATTCGAGAACGTATATGCTTAAAGCGGCGTATCAGCGACACGGGAACGGCAATTGCACTTCGCAGTGAGAATGACCTTCGGCATGGAAATTTTGGCATCTGTATTGACGTGTACGTCTGTTTCATCTTGGCGCTCCATTGATCCGACTGCTGAAAGATGGATGTTGTTCAAAGATCAGGCCCAAAATTGAGCACGCTGTACCCAAACAGCCGGACCTGAGAGGCTCGTTGAACGCGTCGCTCGCAACATGATGGCCTTTGGATGACAAAAAAAAATCGATCCAGAATCCGCTACCTTCGAAGATGTGCCATAAGTCTGGACTGTTCCTCTGACGATGCAAGCCACTCGTTTTCATGCCATGACCAATGCTTGGTCGTTCTCTGGTTGACTCGCACCACGCAACTCTTCATGATGATAGCATTCGAGGGGTAGTGGAGTTGTGGCGGGGCTTGTATGACCACGCTGGGGTTTGCTCGCTCGTTCACAATCCGTTCTGGCTTCAGCAATCGTTGTTTTGCGCTGGCAATTCCAGTCATTCCCGGAGTTTTTGAAGGACTGGAAAGCAGGCCTAACCGAGTGAATAGCCGCATTTGCCGGGCACAGAACTGGTGTCGACCACCCTGCGACTTTCATGGAAATAACAAACTCTTGCACATGCTGTTCGCGATTGCCGAGATCTCACTACGGCCGACGCATATAACGCACAAAATGATACCCTTGCGACATCTGGCTCGAAAATCTGCGGTCGATGTGACTTACAACTCGCTCCTCTACGGTAAGCGATTTCGCCGTTGACCATGCAGAATCACACAAAGTCATTGAGAAACGCACCTGTACAGACATTATTATATTAGCTTGGCCTCGACGATTCTGTTCAATAGAACTTCACCATAGGCGAACTATGAAATTCGGCTAACATGGTGACAATGTTTCCAAAAGTGGTCGGCAAAGACCAGTTTAAGTTATGCCCCGAAGCAATCGCAGCCGGTTCCATGCATAGTTGATGCGGGGCCTACGACTCGATGGCGGGGAAATTACCATGGCGTTTATTAAAGTCGATTGAGCTGCCCACGACGTGTCGGGAATCTGTCTACCTGAACGACCTGGTCGCAGTCATGGCGAACGCACCTCTGTCGACCGGGACAGCAAGCTTAGGCAGCTTTGCCGTGGGAACTGCACTCTACTGGCTGTACTTCAATCGCTACGAGACACATCTTCATGCCTTTACCTACGTTGTCACCTTTCTGGCTTCATACACTGCACTAGCAGTCGTTCTGATCAATACCTACTCTAACACCATTTTGGCATCTGCAGCTTTCACAAATGTGGTCGCTGCTTCATGCCTCATCGGAATATATGGCAACCTACTCTTCTATCGACTATTTCTCAACCCATTGAACAAATTCCCAGGGCCGTACGGCGCAAGAATATCGCAGTTTTGGTGGTCATTCCAGCTGGGCAAAGCAGATGGCTACTACCACCTTTCTGATTGGCACAAAAAATATGGCAAATACGTACGAGTGGGCTCTCATAATCTTTCCATCACCGACCCAGAAATTATGGAGCTTGCCTATGGGTCAAAGTCAAGAGTAGGCAAGGCTATTTGGTACGATAACGACAAGCCCCTGACATCAATGCACACCACTCGAGATCGGGGCCTTCATGACCGGAGAAGACGGGTCTGGGCTCCAGCTTTCTCCGAAAAGGCTCTGCGAGACTATGAGACGGAGATCCAAAGATTGAACGACAAGTTTATCAACCAAATGGTCAACCACGAGGGCAGTCCTGCCAACCTCACGAAATGGTTCAACCTGTTCTCTTTTGATGCTATGGGCCTACTTGCTTTTGGCCGTGACTATGGTATGCTTGACAAGGGAGAGAAGCCACATGAATTAGAGATGCTGGACGAAGGCATGCAACCGCTTGCATATCGAATGCCATCGTGGTTTTTCCGCCTGCTTACGCATATTCCGGCCGCAGCTGCCGGCTATCAAAAGTTCGTGAAATTCTGCATTGATGAGCTTACGTGGCGTGTAAAGAATGCTGGCGAGACCAAACGTGAGTCTGATATCATGGGCTGGTTATTGAAGGCGTACAAGGACGTTCCCCATCCAGAGCGAGACCCTATGCTGCAAGCTGATGCCCGTCTCATCATTGTCGCCGGGTCGGATACCACTGCTGCAACGTTCACCTATCTGTTCTATCATCTTGCTCAACACCCTGAAATTGTTCAGAAGCTACGAGAAGAGCTCGAGCCGTTGATGCAAGGTAACTGGCAAGAAAAGGACATTCGAGGAGCACAATGTCTGAATGGTTGTATCAACGAATCGCTGCGCCTGCACCCTCCAGTCCCATCTGGCGTTGAGCGTGTGACTCCACCCGAGGGCCTACAAGTCGGTGAAACATACATCCCTGGCAACGTGACATTCTTCACACCTATGTATTGCATGGGACGAGGTAAGCATCAACACAGCCATTCTGTCTCGCATTGGAAGCCAGCTGACACAAATCTCCACAGATCCTGACATCTACGCCGAGCCAGAAAAGTTCTTACCCGAACGATGGTACAGCCAAGAGGACAAGGTCAAACACAAGGACGCTTTCGCTCCATTCTCCATGGGTCCATTTGGATGCATCGGCAAGAACTTAGCACTTATGGAATTGCGAACACTCACAGCTCGCATAATTACCACTTTCGACGCCAAGCTAGCGCCTGGTGAAGACGGATCAAGAATTCTAGGCAAGACCAAAGACCACTTCACAGTCGACCTCGGGGATATGGAAGTCGTGTTCTCGCAGCGAACGTAAGCAAAGGCACTTTTCATTGGGAGAATTGGATGAATGGTCGTTGGATATGTATACCGAATCAGGAATTACCTTAGCAAGGCATTGATCAAGCTTCTGTATGAATACGATGAGCCAACAAACACCTTCATGATTACCATCATACAGATCAGACACTTTGCAACCGGCCCTCGCGAGACGCAAGCATTGATTCGTCCCCATCAACCTTCACACCTGAGCAGCAAACATCGTATACGTCGGACAGATGAAACTTCATTAATTCCTCACCGTCCAAATTCCTCCTGACATCAGCACCGCTCTGCCTCTACCACCCATCCTTTTCCAAACTTACCTTAATCCTTCTACATGATCCCCCTTTCCCTAAAGTCTCCTCCTCGGACCCAAAGCACCACCAAACCTCCTTTGTCTTTGTCACCTCACCTGCTCATCAAATGAAACAATCTTTCCTCCCAACCCTCATCCGCGTTACCAGGGAAGTGTGACCTGAAAATCTTTGGAGCATCGGCTAGCTCGAAATTCGAAGAAATTAAAAGGGTTTTTTGGTCCGACAGGAGGAGAGTGGTAATTTAGGATTATTGGCTAGATAAAAAATTTAAGCCTGATAGGTAGGCTGAGATGGACGAAGAAGAAGAGGGTGGGTGCATGCATGCATGTATGTCTGGGTGAAAGGGAGGTGGTATGTACATGTAAGTATGGAAAAGATTTTCTGGAAAAAAAAATGATTTTCTCGATGTCTCTCTTGCCTTGGAGCTTGTGGGCCGAACAAAAAAAATGTATTTGTACTTTACATCCTGCAGCTTACTTCGCGAGGTTCTTGCATCGGGGACTACCTAGTGAGCAACATGAAGCAGACTGCCTTTACTCGATAATAGCCACGTACCGGATATAGGAAATGCTGTTTGTCTCGGGGGGGAAAAAAAGAAAGGCAGTCATTTCCCATCGACACTTTCTCGATGCAGGCAAGTCTTTTGGTTCATCGTCAATTTTTGTGTGTGTTGAAGCTCAGGACCACCTGACAAATAAAGCTGACTGAAAGTGAAAGTGCGGAATTGAGGGCGTGGAAGTGAAGGGCTGAAACTTCCAACATTCCTGTGGGATACATCACTACCCATGCAAGATTTAGCTAATACTTCTCCTCGCAGTACACGGTCGCGCAAAGGCAGACTTCTGCAGAGTACCGTACAATAGCTCCGCCCATTTGTTCCTTACTCACTTGGATATCACACGCAGAAAGAGCACCCAGAAATATTACACGCGCTTCCCATACATCCGGAACCTTAAGCCGATCCTTTAACCCGACAAAGATAATGATGTTGAGGGAGTGATGTTGTATGCCGATACTGGTCGAGCCGGCTCTTCAATGGTGTATTAGGCCAGTAGAGATGTAAGACGACTCATCTTTCATTTGTCGAGGAAATCGTCCCAGAAATCTTTCCAGGCATGTTTGACTGTTGCCGACTAGGCAGCCGTCTGCTGCTCCTCAGCTGTGACGGCATCGCCAACAGCAGCTCGAGCATCGCTCATGTCCACGTCAGGCTTCTCGGCACCGCTCATGCTAGAAGGCATGAGCTCCTTACTTTCCCTGACATCATTGGCTCCATCCAAACCTGGTATGCCGTCGTCTTCTTGGTGTACCAGTTCAGCAAAGACGCTGTCCATCGCACCACCAGCGCTCTGCTGGCTGCCTCCGAACCCAGGACTGTTCAGACCAGCGCTCGTGGTAAAGCCAGCATGGCCAGCGGAAGTCACGTCAGGCTGCTTAGGCGAGTCGAACATTCCAGCTGGCATGCCGCTTGGGATTCCCGAATGAGCTTCTGGACGCGTTGCAGATGGAGTTTGGAACATGTTATCTGGCGAGGTATCTCCAAAAACGTGCGGACCGAATCCAGGAGGTGGTGGTGAGTGTCCTTGAGAGCCATAGCCACGCGAGAAACTCGCAGGAGATCCAAGCCGGGGACCTTGCGCCGTAATCGGATACGGATGGCTTGGTGCGGTTGCGAGAAATGATGGGTCACGATAACCCGAAGTCACCATGGACATGCGCTCCTGATGAGTTTCATAACCGAGGCCAGGAGTGTGCGCTGCTGGGGTAGGAAGTGAATTTATCTTGGCCTTGAACGTCTCCAGATCGGACGTGAAGCTTGTGTCATTCGTGTCTCTGGCGAGCTCAAGAACCGCTCTGACTTTGAGAAGACGATCGCGATTTGCATGCGGCTCTTGCGCCAAGAAGTCGTCCACTATTGGCTCGCCTGCCAAAGGCCCGAGAACTTGCAGTGAGAGTGCTGTAAGATGCTTCTTTCGTGGTTCTGGTGGGGCAGGAGTCATGCCTGAAGGATATGGCCGATGCGAACTCGATGAGCCAGGAGCAACGCCTGGAGTCATGGACCCACCAGGTGACGCGCTGCTCCCTGCCGGCTGAAGAGGCTTGTCGCCGACACCATACGCCTCGGAGGCTTTTCTCTTGGCGATATGAGGCTTGAGCTTGTATTGAGTTGGCAGGTCGTCTGGATTCGTGATACCGAGCTGGGCCATAAGCTTCTGTTGCTTCGTCGGTCTTGGCTTCCGTGTGGATTGCGAGACGTCCATGATAGGAGGCGGCTCCGGAGCGACCTTGGCGAGCCTGTGCAAATGCTGTCGAAGGTAGTTGGTCTCAGGTGCAAGCAAGAGATCAGCACCTTCAATCTTTCGCAAGTAGAAGCGAAGCACGCCCACTTCCTCGGTCGTAGGCTCCATCGCAGGTTCCACGTAAGGCTTGATGAACTCTCGAAATGCTTGTCCATATTCGCAAAGGCTTGCCAAAGTCTTCTCTTCCTCGGGCTGGAAGGGTAAGGTTTCGAGCTCATCCTGCCAGCCTTGCAAATCTTCGAGCTTCGGCCGCGCTGCATCGCGAGGGATTTTGACACGCCAGTCACAGATCGGGCAGGTGTACTTATCATCCTCCTTCACTTTGCCGCGTGCAATCTTGAGACACTTTCCGTGGTACCACTCGTGGCACAGCTCACACTCAATCATCATGCCGGCTTCTGGCTTGCGGCAGATGCAGAAGACATCTCTACTAGAGCTGCTTCCTTCAGTGTGAATCACTCCATCTTCAGGCGTGCCTGCTCTTGACGATGGCTCGACCGGCCCTCTAGGCTTGTCGTCGAGGTCAAAGCAAGACCTATTTCTGTTGTCGACGGCTTGCATGTGCTGGTGAAGGATATGCAAGGGTGCATTGGCTTTGCCAAACAGCTTTTTGCCACGTCGCATCCAGTCCTCGTGTCGCTTCGATTCCTTCTCGAGATCGATAGTTCCAGTCGGCTTGCTCTGCAATTCATCAAGAGCATCCATCACCTCCTTCATCTCTCGGTAGTGGGGTCGGTTGCGGAATTCGGGGTCTTTGCTTCGCTCGACCAGAGATGCTATCTTGTCTTGAATCTCGCGCTGCTTCTTCAGAATTGCGTCAACTTTCGCTAGCGTCTCGGGCGTGACAGGCAAGGTGGAGGCCTGCTTGGACAAAGCATCAAGCTGCTGGTAATGAATCTGGTCCACAGCCATGAGTTCCTGAGTCTTTTGCTCCCACAGCTCACCCTGAGCTTTGTGTGCTCGGAAGAACTCCATGTCTGGGTTTGTATCAGGAACGCCAATCTCGACACCAGAGGCAATGAACTTTTCGATATCGCTCAAAGTCTGTTCCTGCTTGTTCGTCTCGATGTTTGGACGCTTCGCCTTGGCCTCGTCGTTCCAGCGCAGGCGCCTCAGTACCTTTTCCAAGTTCTCCATTTCCGGCATGTCCACATGGAAGTCCTTACCACGATCCAGGAGCTCTTCGAAATCAGAGGTGGCCTTGGCATGAATGTTACTCAGTGCTGCATTCGCATCCTTCTGGAACTCTTCGATGTTCTGCGCCCGCTCACGAAGCGTAGCAATCTCTTGACAATCAAACCCAATTTGTTCTGCAGTAGACAGCAGGTTGTAGATGTTGGAGATCTTGCGCAACTCCTTGTCTCGCTCCTCAAGTTCCGCAGCCTTAGCACCTTTCCGCCAAGGCTTTTCGCTCTTGCGTCGATTTACTTGCTTGCGGGTGATGTAGGAAGTGGCCTCCTCGACCCACTCATTGCACCGCTCCACGAAGCGACGTAGATCAGCCAGCTGAGGCAAATCGTATTGAATCTTCTCTCCCTCAGCGAGTAGGGTTCGGAGATGCTTCAGATTGGGCCTCGCAGTGTCCTCGAGCTCCTTGTCGACCTTTGCAGCCCATGCCTCCGGAATGTTGGCTTTATCGACCACCTTCTGCACAGTTGAGGTGAGCACATCGTCAGTCATTCGATAGTAGAGAACATGCTCGCTATTTTGCCCAGAATAGCGCTCAAAGTCCATCGCATCGCAGCACTCATAGCTACCTGCATGAAGCAGACATAGCACCTTGTTCGTTTTCTTGCAGACAAACCGCGACAGATAGCAATAAGCTTTGCAGAACGTGCAGATGACCTCCTCATCCTCCGTGGAAGTGTCTATGATTTCTGCTTCCTGCTTATAACGTGGACCATTGTAGGGACTCTGTGGCTGATTGTCAGGCTCAGCTTCCGGAGGACTAATGAAGTGCTGCCGTGTGGCAAGCTCATCGTCACGCATCCGCTCTAGTGCTGGCGCCAGCCATTTCGCAGTCTTAATGCTATGATCTCGCGAAGCTGCTGTCAGTAGCATCTCGTCGTGAGAGAAACATGGCTGCTTCCGGTAGTCTCGCAAGCGCTTGACGCCTTCATCGCCAAAGGGCTCCCAGTCGTGCGGTGCAAAATTGACAGCCTCGTTGAAGTTGAAACCATGGTTGAAGCCAGCATGATACGCACGCGGAAAGGTAATGACAAACTCTCCGGCATGCTGATCGATAGCGTAAACGCGGACACCTGCCTTGCGCAACTTCTCCGGCTTCGCGAGCGTGACCAGCTGGAACAAGAGATCGGGCTGAGTCTCGAACAGTTCGGGAACCTCCTGCTTCATGGCATCTTCGAATTTGTAGGAATCTTCACCTGGAATGCCGTACCACGTTTTTGTCTCGCCGAAGTGCTGATAGTTGGCAGAGTATGTGTAATGGTCCTCATTATGCCAGCAGAATGTTGAAAAGATCATGCCGACGTACAGCCATGGGACAGTCATGCCGGATACATCTGATTTGATGTGGCGGAAGAGCGATTCTTTGTCCAGTGGCAAGATATTCAAGTTCCAGGGATCGGTCGAGTACGGATCGCGGGGATGCTTTTCAATTGTAGGGAAGCCGCTTCCGTGAGTGGTCGAATGAATGTCTGCGCCGTACTCCACCTCTGTCGTATCCGACATGTCCTCTACCAAACGCCAGAACTCGCGCTCAACATCCTCTTCTTCCAGATGATGTTTCTGTTCATTGAAAGGACTGTACTGCCGAGGCATGGTGTTGAAGTGGTGATTCTTGAACTCGTTCGCTTTTCGTTGGAAGCCCGAAAGCGAGTAGACATCACCTTCTTCGAAACCATATTCGTTGGTTCCGACCAGACATCGCGGACAATGCCATTCATGATCCGGTGGCTGCTTGAGCGGAGGCTCAAGACAGTACATGTGATAGACATTTTCGCAACTCTCGCACTGGAGCCACTTGTGCGGTTCATCGGGCCTGAGACAGTTTTCGCAAACTTCGCCAGGCCTGTAGTTGCCTCGATCGCGCGCTTCGTGGTAGCGGCCTGCGGACATTCGCGAGTGGTGCATGTTGCTACCTACGACAGTCGGAACATCTTTACGCAAGCGCTTGCTACGTCGATTCATAAGCTCTACTTCCTCGGGAGTAAGCTCTGAGTGCTGCCGCTTCAATGCTGCAACGCCGTTCGGATGCGGGGCGATGAATTGGCTGCCCATGTTCGATGGCGTTCCTTCCGTCGATCGTAAGGGTGTGCCATTATTCGAAGGCGGGGCGCCATTCATGCCGTTTACCGATGTGAATGACGGTGTTGGAGCGGGTTGTGGTGGCGGTGGGTGGGCATTGACGGGAGTAAATCCGCCAGCGTTCACTGGTGTGAAGCCACCAGTAGAAGGCGGAGGCACTTGCGGCTGCGGTGTATGCTGCGGTGTCTCTTGCCGGAAGGGAGTGAGTTGTGGTAGCTGGGGACTATGGCCATTCATCGTCGCATGCAAGGCAGCTGAGGCTTGCACGGTGGGCGCATGGTCCTGAGGCGATGCGCCGAATGGTTTCTTAGCAGGCGACGGTCCCGGCGAGGGCGTATATGGTCCACCATTCATCATCTCCAAGTGTTGCTGCACGCCAGGTTTTGCCATTCGCAAATACTCCTCGTATGGCAAGAGCCATTTCTGATATGAGTTCTTGAGCGACGTTGACAACGATGACATGATTTTGCCGCTGTATCCCAAATCCCTCCCGACCTCAGCCCATCTCTTCCCCTTGCACACCTGCTCAAATCCGCCCTTGCGCTCGACGGTCTTCTTGAGGCGATATAAATCTAGCGGTCGCTTGTCTACGCTAGGGAAGCGATTGAGGTTGTGGCCATTCTGCTTATGGAATTTGGCAAGCTGATCAAGGTAGTCGTTGTTGATTCGATTGCCGCCTTCGACGGAATTGAGCTCTTGACGTCGAGTCCGGAAGTGAAAACGCTACAACGTCACGTTAGTTGTCGTGGTCGGTCGGTGAAATGAGTTTTGACATGAATATCAAGCACATACCTCAGTGTTGATAGCAAAGGTTGGATTCCAGCTATCGGGTGGGACGACTTTGATGATGCCGTACTTGCTGCCCTCGGGTGCGATCTTACGCATATATTCCATGGGGTCGCGGAACTCCTCATCGGTGGGGCGGTAGATGGGCGCATTGGGAATGTCGAACAAGCGAGGCTTCCTAGGCCTCTCCGGTCGCATGGTCGGTTGCCCTCTGCGTTCCACCGTGGACAGATCGAGCGGCTCAGCTCGACGAGCGCTGAGTGGAATGGCATGATTGTTGCCGGATGGTGGCCCATGAAGCGTGCCGGGCGCAGACGGTGCCACCAGCTTCGCCTTCATCGACTTTCCAGACTGTGTATCGCTCGACGCTCCCGGCGTGGGTGAGGGCGGAGGGAAATGCTGCATTTGCAGGACTGCGGTGGCCGGCCCTCCGCCCGTGCTGGGAGGCACCACCATGTTGACAGATTAGAGCCGCGATGGCGGCTGATTCGTGTGTATACCAGCCAGGGGTGATTGGAATATGGATATCAGGTTCGGTGGTGGAATGTTGTAGTGTATGTGGCATGTATCGCAAGAGCCGATATCTGATACGCTGCCGTGAGTGTAGATGTACAGAGCGGCACACCGTTGCCGACCGGTAGACGAAGCACGCGATATGGCCGTCGATATCCGGCACCACTGTATCTCGATGGAGGGGCAGTTGTGGGAGTGGGTGAGGATGGAGTAATGGTGGTGGAGGTTAGCAGGTGGAAGTGGAAGTGGAAGTGGAAGTGGAAGATCTGCCTTTCTGCTCTGCCTCTGCCTCTGCCTCTGCGCTGCGTTCCTCCGCCTCGTGCCTCGCTGCGATTTGACTTTGACACTCAAAGCCTAAAGAGACAGCAGGGGCCCGTGCTCCCGTACCCCTTCACAGCGGCACTCAGAACTCCATCCCACTTTGCTTGATATCGCGGCCAAAATGCTCCAGGGACCAGATATGCAGCTTCCCACACCGACCGTGTTACTCGCAATTGCATGCAAGTGCCGCACAAGGTTCGCTGGAGATGTCGTCAATATTCCAGAGAGAGACACCTGAAGTTCACCGAGCCAAACCTTGTATGATATCCCTCCAACCCTAATCGCATCGCACATCGCTGCACTTCACCTCCGATCGTTCTGAGCTAACACGCGACACATTCGTCGAGCGTGCGTCGCGTGGCATGATGGAGAAGGGCGTATCACCGATCCCAGCTTTCTACGCGTGCTATCTGCTTCGATCAATTGCGCGCCATTCTTCAACGTACATCGGCAGCACGCCGAACCCGCCAAGACGTCTCCGACAACACAATGGCGAATCAAAGGGCGGCGCAGTGCGAACATCTAGAGATTCCCTTCGACCATGGGAGATGACATGTCTGGTCACTGGCTTTCCAAGCAAGATCGCCGCCCTGCAATTCGAGTAAGTGATGCACCAGAGAAGTCGTGTATCGACGCCCTGTTTACTCCATGCATTTCCTCCTTCCCCCCCACACCATTCGTCGTATCTTTTACTTCCTCATCTTGCTGCAGCAACTGATCAGAGCGCGAGCTAGATGGGCATGGCAAAATCCCAACATGACAAGACACATAGAAGCCTCCTCACGAATCTCCCAATCTCGAATCACAACAAGAATCTCACCCAAAACAGGCAAGACCAGAAAACGCGCCAAGCGACCTCGCCAATCCCTTTCCGGACATCTGGCCAACCTCCATCTTCTCCTGCGATCAAACAGCTTTTCAAGATGGCCTTTACGACTGACATTCTACGCCGAAGACATGCATCGCGTGTGGCAGAAAGTCTCGACGCAAACAACCGAGAAACTCCGACCAGGAATTCTAACCGGCATAGACGACCTCCCTCGAGATGATGCAAAAGTCTCCAAACCCCTAGATCCAACCATCCCACCGGAAAACATCGCTATCCAACTCCTGGACGTAGGGTACGAAACTTTGAAACCCCAACTCTCCAAAACCCAATCTCTATTCAGCAGCGACACTGTGCATAAATGTTCCATCTGCCATGGACCAACCGCAGCAGATGGAGCAGCGACTCTGATCTGTCCTCGAGAGACGTGCAGCAGTATCTCGCATCTTCACTGCCTATCGACGAAATTCCTGAACGAAGAATCTGAATCCGGCACGGGAAACTCGCAAGCTATGATTCCAACAAGTGGCCACTGCCCAACCTGCAATTCTCAAAACCTCTGGGTCGATCTGGTCAAGGAGCTGAGTTTGAGGATGCGAGGGGGAAAGGAGATGAAAGCGCTGTTCAGGCTGAAACGAGCGAAGAAAAAGACGAAGAATGCAGCAGTGGAGGAAAGTTCTGCGGATGATGAAGAAGAAGAAGACGATGATGATGATGATCCGTTGGACATGGTGCTTGATTGTGAAGAGGAGCATTGGCATGAATTGGGATCGAGCAGTGATGATGAAGATCATCGAGCTGCTGATAAGGGCTTGCGAAGCGATCCTTCTCCGGTTCATAGGAGAAAGCGGCCGAAAGAGCCGAGCACGCCGCATTCGGAACCTGTTATACAGGAGAGTGATTGGGAAGGGGTAGAGCTGTTGACTTGAGGCTTCCAAATGTATCTGCATAGCATCGAGAGAGATCGCTCCCAGTGGCAGAGTCCCCCATACGCTCACTCCTTGATCATCTCAGGCATCACATCCTCGTCAGCCTCTTTCAATTTCTCCCTTCCATCATCCAACACACGAAAAGAATTGGGATTCTTCTTCGCCTCGCCCGGTCCCTCAGACTTATACTGATACCCTCTCACCCTACATCAGAAATCATCAGCCATCATGAGTTTTTTAGCATGACCCATGTAACTATACCTAGGTCCCTGACCCGTCTTCGCCGGTAATTTGCTCTCGTACTTTCGCTCGAAAGCCTGGACGTCGTGATCGAACGTGTCATTCACGATGCTGTCTCGGATAGAAGCGAAGAAGAGGTCCATGATGTGGTGATTGTGAATTTGGAGGAGGATCCAGCCTAGCATTTCTTTTGCCGAGAGGAGATGTTGGATGTAGGCTCTGTGATGATTTGTGCAGGCGTAGCAGGAGCAAGCACGCGTCAATGGGGAAAGGTTGGTAGCGTGAGTTGCCGGCCACATGTCGATGCCTAGCGGAAGAGGATCTGCTGTCTCATCGCCATTGACAATGGACGTAGTTCGGCTGCCGAATTCGAAATCTAGCGCTATTCCAGCGTCTGTGGCTGCGCCAACGAAGGGTATTACGAGGACATCCAGACCGCGACGGACCTGGTAGAGGATGTGATGTGGTGTCTTGGGCTCCGTGAAACCTAGCCTAGGCAAGAAATCCAACTCTTTCGGAAGATCTTCTAAGGAATCCAGACTGTAGATTGATAGCCCCGAAATGTGTTGTTCCGCAAATCTTGCAGCAACCTCGTCCACGAAATACCGCTGTTTCGCGCACGTTACAGGTAGCAATGAAGCGAACAGCTTTGTTTGCGGCGGTTTGGGCATGGCATTTCGTATTGAAATGTGATTGTCCAGCCATTGTATATTCCGATCCGTAGCCTTCTCGATCCTCTTATTCCCCAAAGCTTTCCCATACGGTATGTCTCCTGAAGCGACCAGAATATCGGGCCTCAGCCTCTCTGTCTCTTCGGCATAGCTATCGGCATCAAGATACCTGAAGCCTACAGACGTGCACACAGCTACTGCAGAATTCGTATTGGAAGTCGCATCGGGTGCGACTACCGGTGCCGCTCGTCTCGCTCCAAGAATCAGTATGGGATCTTGAGGTAGCGCAATAAAGCGCCGTAATGGTGAGGATTCGCCATGGAGTGCTTGAAATTTGTATATCGGTGGAGTGGCTTGGGGTATCTTCTCAATGACTACATTTCAACGCACTGTAAGTGAGCGTGTCAGCAGATGGAGGGGTGGCTGCTTCGGACAGACTCACAATCTTCGAGTGCTACGTAGACGGCACTGATGTCGGTATCTCGGGTGAAGGTGTCCTGGGAGATATGCGGTACAACGCCACGTGCAGTGTTGGCGAGGTAATGCGGTGTTGCGACGATCCTCTTGTTCGGCAATGCGAGTCTTGCCAAGCGAGGAGCATTTTGACCGGCGCTTTTGATGATATTGAACATTTCTGGAGGCAGCTGATGCAGCTTGGCATGGCCATTGCCGTTCGAGTGGCCATTCATGTCGTTGTTGTTTGCATGTCAAAGTCGGAGGTTGTCTTCATTGACCTGGTCTTGGCAACGCAATTCAAGCAAAGTCAGAGTGACGCGCCAAGTGCTACGCGTCTTCCAGCAGGCATAGAGTGCTTTCTCTCACAACGATCTCGATCTAGATGTTAAGACCCGAAACCATAAGAAATATAGCGGCATACAGACACGCAGACACACTCTCGTCGCGGAAAAGACGTCAACATGACAGGCACAGACACAGGCACATCCTCAGAGATCCCGCGTGGCCACCTCATCGTCTTCGAAGGCCTCGATCGCTCAGGCAAATCCACCCAATGCGCCCGCTTAGCACAACATCTCCAATCTCGGGCTCATAAAGTCCACGCTCATCGCTTTCCCGACCGTACTACTTCCATAGGCCAAATGATCAACTCCTACCTCTCCGGCTCCTCCTCCCAAGAAGACCATGCCATCCATCTGCTCTTTTCGGCAAATCGATGGGAGGCGGCAGAACGCATAAAGGAACTAATCAACTCTGGCACAACGGTTGTTATCGATCGGTACTATTATTCAGGCTGTGTTTATTCAGCCGCCAAGCAGAACCCAACTATGGACCTGGCTTGGTGTAGACATATGGAAGTAGGACTGCCGAGACCCGATTTGTGCTTGTTCTTGGACATTAGCACCGAGCTTGCCGCAAAGAGAGGTGGATTTGGGACAGAGCGTTATGAAAAGCAGGAAATGCAGGATCGCGTAAGGGAATTATTCCGAGAGATGCAAACGCACGAAGACGAGAAGGAGGATATTGTGAGAATCGATGCAGGTGCATCTATGGAAGAGGTGGAGAAAATGATACAGAAGACAGTGCAAGAGAAATTGGGAAGCAAGAGTCAGCTTGGACCATTGAGGTACATTCGACCTTGGTGAATATTGAAGACCATGAGGTCTCTGCAATATTTTTTGGTCATCGGATATTACAGCACATTTTGCACTCTGCGCTTCGGCCGGTGTCTCGCGTGCCTCCGCTTGGACCTCGCAGCATAATGCCAATGAAGACTGGTCTGAACTCCGGTACGTGGCTCCGCAACATCCGCCTAGAGGTCTGCGACGCCCTCAAGATCGTCGGCATTCAGAAGTGCAACACCGGCCGCGTACAGCAGCTCATGAACCGCGTTGCGGTTATACACCGGCCAATTCGGCTGATCCCAATACCTAGCACCGATGCCCTTTTCTCTCGCGGTCTCGATCTGGCTGCTCAGGGTGGCTGCTTGTGTCGAGTTGAGAGTTCCGTTCTTTACAGCCCCGAACTGCGCCGAGAAAGCCGTGCTCGCGATTGGACTCACGTCAGCGGTGATGTTGCTAAATGTCGAACCCAAAAGAGCAAGCGGCGCATCGTAGAAGTAGTCTCTCGGTGAGACGCCTTGCACTTGGTTGAGGGGAGTATTTCCAGTGCCTTCAGGCAAGGTCAGCAACGACTTGCAAAAGTGCCTGTGGCAGTACTTGGCTCACCAATTACAGTGACAGGCCCACTCGTAACTCCCGTCCCATTATACGTCGTCAAGTATCCCGCCTCCCTCAATGGTTCCAATGCCTTCACCACATGCGGCCAAGCCTCCGTCCCATTCGTCTTCACATCGACGAAAAGATAGAGCGTCTGTCCCGAACTGGTGTCGTACACACCATTCTTTGTCATCGTAGTTCCAACAAAGCTGGAATTCGGGTTCTGTGCTTTCAGGACACTCAGAATTGGTTCAATATACAAGCGATCAAACGTCCGCTCTTTCTTCAAAGCCGAGACTTCATGGCCGACATATAACGTCTCATCGTACAACCAGACATCTGCTTCGACCGAGATGGCACCGATCGAGAGAGCGGAGTAGAAGGGAATCGGTCGCCAGTAGTCGTTATGGGAGTGTATCGGGTTCGGGAGAATGCCTTGGGTCAGGTCGGTAGGATAAGTGTATAAAGGTCCGCTTTGAGCATTTTTCGAGATGGATTGCAGGGGTTGTGAGAGCAGGATATCGGATTGCGCGTAGGTGAGAGCAGCTGTGGTCAGGAGGAAAGAGAGGATAGAGAAATGCATGCTGGGCAGGGAAATTGTAGGAGATGGATGGAAGGTGACCTCACTGGATTTGCCTACATGATCGATGTTGTATGGTTGGAAAGACGGACGAAGAGCCGCAAGAAGTCAAGTGCATCGCTCCGTTCCTTCGGGAATCGACAATGACACCACGTCGTGCTTTGGGAAGTCGCCAGTATTGCGCACTCCAATTGAAGTAGCTGAATTAAGAAGGGTACGGGTGGGTCAAAAGCTACGCCTTGGCAAGCCACTCACATGCAAAGAATTGAAGCTGACCTTTCATACCAGTCATGCCTGCGGATTTTCTTTTCTTTGCGCTTGCGCCAGTGTCCAAATCCTTCAAAATTTCGACATCCCTCTCGTATCAATGCAAAGTGCAACATCATTGCAAGCGAGCAAAATGGATCATCCGAATCGAGCCAGTCTCCTCGGCCTTCCGGCTGAGCTGCGTCTGCAGATCTACCATCACGTCTGGCCTCCGTTGACCAACCTTCCACGGGAAGCGTTAGTAGGGCATCACGAAATTTACGTCAGCCAGTTCAACTTCAAGACTCGCGCCGCGCTGCTACAAGTCAACCAGCTCATTCGCAATGAAGCTCAAGATCCATTTTATACCAACAACAGCTTTTTCGCCGTGATCAACGCAAATCGCTGCGATAAATTCCTGCGCTTTCTGCGTGCGATCGGACCCGAAAACGTTGCCGCGATCACCGATATTTTTCTCCAATTCAGAATCCCGCACAGCGCGGTGCAGATCTACGAACAAAAGAACCGTCAGTTCGAGGCCACAATCCGTCGGTTCTGGACGTCAACAGCCGAGTCAGGAATGTGTCCAAAGACGAATCTCTTGAAGCGACATGCGCGGGATTTGTGCTGCGAACTCCCCAGGCTGGAAGAGAGGTTCACGAGGGAAAATGAGCGCGCCCTCGTCGATTTCGCGAAAGCTTTGCCTGTCGAGCTCGGCCGGTATAGCATTCGAGGCAATTTACAGGAGCATAGCCATATCAAGGCTTCATGGTTTCTTCGCCGATTCGGATTTGCACACTTCAAGCTCGGTGTCTCGGAGCGTGTCGTTCGTTTGTTCGAGCAGGAGCTTGCAAAGCAGGGTTTCGACTTCTTTAGGAACTGTGAGATTCTGAGAGATGGCGAACGGGCTGCGGCTCCGGCGAATTTGAAGCTGTGGAAGGAGAAGCGTCCGTGGAGCTGGGGAGACAATAGTACGTTCATGCGTGAGTGGGAATGCAGGACAAGAAGGCTACTTGTAGAGAAGAGCGTGTACATGTACGTGGGTGAATTCGAATGTGAATTCGACGAAGACGCTGGAGCATAGGTTTGTCCCCGAGAGGACGAAATGGAGCCGAGCATAAGCAGGGAGTTTAGGCAGTTCTTGAAGTGTATGTCTGCATGGAGGGAGATGCGCTAGCTTCTTCTATATCCTCCAAAAGTCGCACGAGAGTGGCAGGATCAAACAGGACCTTCAGAATGCACACTATGACTCTCTGTAGCATCCACTTCCGACACGGCAGTCCTTACCGCATCACTACTCAATCCACTCACAGGCGGCTAGCTTCTTGGCGGACTTCTTGGCGGAGAGTAAGCCGGAGCGTGGTGCGTAGACACAGCCTGATCGGCCAGAGCCTGCATGTAGCAAGGCACGGTACCTGGTGGGACAGGTTCCCAGGTGACTGCTCCAGGACCATAGTAGCAATTCTGTGCGATGCTGAGGGTGGCAAATGCGATTACCAAGGTAGTCGGTCTTCGACAACCACATCTTGTTAGACACCGAAATGATTCATGAAACGCAATACTTTTGGCGAAGAAAAAAAAAGGCCGAGAGCAGTTTGAGCGCGTTGCGCATGCCTATGCCTAATCGCAGTACCATTCCACCGTTCCATTCTAGCCTTGAGCTCCCTCCATTGCTACGCATGCCCACGCCACCGGTCATTGCTCACTTCACTTCCACCTCCCCGCTCTCCTGCACCGCAGCATCCACCTCATCGTGCTACAGACCCAAAAATTCAGCAGTCGAGTATGCGCGCTTGCAGAACATCTGCCAAACGGTCCCTTGGAATACGCCACATGTATGAGCGCCGCCATCACCACCACCGTCGGCTGGGGCGTCGGTCGGGGGGTCGGTCGGGGGGTCAGTCGGGGGGTCAGTCGGGGGGTCAGTCAGGGTGTCAGTCGGGGGGTCAGTCGGAGGCGATCCGCCACCACTGGTTGGTGGATAGTAGTCTTGCTTATAATAACCGCAATAGGGCGGAGTGTCGTTACAACCAGGGTAAGGGTTGTCGGTAGGAGCAGGAGCAGGACCAGGAGCAGGACCCGGAGCAGGACCTTTGGGAGACTTGAAAGACGGGGCCTTGGGCGGAGCGAAGCCCTTGCCCTTGCCGCCACCGCCGCCGCCGGTTGGAGCGCCGGGGCCGCCGCCCCAACTCTTCGTAATACCCTTTGGATCTGATGTGATGGAATTCTTGAAACCCTGGACGACTGCAAAGTCGTGTGCAGTTTGCCTTCGCTCTCGATCCTGCCGCCGGCAGAGCCCAAGACTGTTGAACAACAAGAGTGATGTGGTCAGGTATACAATGATTGGCGCCATTTTGAGGTAGGAACTTCCTGATTAGCGAGCGTGAGTCGAGCTCGTATAGATCTCGGTGGAACGGGTAAGAGTCTCCCTGCGGTTCTCCTTCGTGTATTATATATAACAATTGCTGCAAGGCCGGTTAGGAGTATTCTACTCTAGGTAAGTGCACAGATATCCGGCAATTCCATGGGACGGGGGGATCCTAGGTGAGTTTGATGATTGTTTACTTTATACGGGGAAACGAAAACCCTGTTGGATACCGGCAGCCTGATACAATTGTTGGTTCGATCGTGGAGCGACGAATAAGCTGGGGAATCTCGAATCTGCTATACTGCCATAGCGTGCACTTCAGGCATAGCAATGCAGAACCACGTGCTATAAGCACTATCAAGCTCGTAGACCTAAAGGTGCGTCTATACCCCCTTTCAAGAGCCGAGGGAATATAGGGTTGCTGGACTGACCGATCGAGTGGTAGATTGTACTGTGGATATGTCGTTACAAGCATTCGACAGGCCGACTAACCAATGACTCCGCTCAATTCTAGTAACTCGGGCGCAAGACAGGCTCGAGAATCTAGAACAGCGTTCTTCGAAATCTTGTTAGGGGGTGTACTTGCATGGATCGGTAATTACTTCCTCCCAAACCGTCAATCTACCGACGAGCAAGTAGACGCTCTCTCAACGAATATGGTGAGTGAATGACTAAATGAATCACATGGTCACAGGCCGCTGCAGCATATGCCAACCGTTGGCACATGCACGCACGCCCAAACCAGCAGCCAGCATGTGAAACTCCCGAGCGCAGCCTGGCCGGTAATGGCTTGTTGCCTTGGTCGTTCTTGTGTTAGACACTTTTGCTAGTGACGTTCTTCAAACAGTGCGGCAATCGACTCTCAACTCGTGGTGTATCTTCCGCCTAATATCTCATCCTGCTACGTCAATACGTGCACAATCTACGCCTAAACGCCCAAGAAATCTGGGCGGGAGGGCGGGTTCTTGCGCGTCGTTGCAGTGGTATTTGAATGAAAGAGGGGCCGTTTCAACCGATGCAGAGACCCTTGTCATGGACCATTTCTAAGACTCCAGGCGGATAACCAACCTTTGGCATCAGAAGAGCCTCGAGAGCCTCTTCACCCAACCAGCTGTCCATTACCTAAACGAAGCCCGTGGTTAAGTCCGTAGAACTGCTGCATAAGATCTGGGAGATCTAGTTAGTCGAATCCGCTTTGCATAAGTTGGCACAGACGTGTTTTGTGTAAGAACTCCACCAGAATCCTAGTTCTGCCGACGAACCCCGCGAGGCAACGAGTTTTGATAGGGGATAAGAAAGGGTAGCTTTGTTGAGAATCCGGATGGACCAACATTGCTAGCCAGGGGCGATACGATGCTGTTTTTGGCATCGGGCATGGTCCAGCCCAGCTCGACTACGCCTGATCCTGGTAGAAGTCTTTCTGATGCTTCGACATGCATCCCGTTGGTGATCTCGTTGCTTGAGCAGCGACGCAGCGTTCGTCGGCCAGACTAGGATTGTGGTCCATTTCTCATACAAATTCTGTCGGTGCGTCCTTATGCAAAGCGGATCTGACCAGCTGCTCAGAGCTTATTCAGCAGTTCTTCAGGCTGAACCATGGAGGCAATTAATGGGACACACGTGGCAGATGCTGGATCTCGCGGCGATTCTCGCCAACGCACTGCCAGGCTTGCAGACGTGTTTCAAATTTGAAAGTTTTTGTGTGTAGTAATTTGGCGCACTGTACTCCGTGCTGGTAGGCTGGTACCGCGCTAGCTCTTTGTGTCTCTCGGCACGTTGCATGTGATCTTGAGTTTTCTAATCATGCCGAAAGAGCTCATCTCGGTCAGTCTCGAAAAGTCCGATTAGAAGAAGTGGCCAGTTCTCTCCCCAAGGCAGTGGTTCGAAGCTGAAGAGCTGATATCGAAGTACCGACGAGTAACTTGTCTCGGCTTGTTGAAAGGGGTAAGCCAAGGTGTGCGACCTATTCACTGCATTGGCTTCAGCCTACCCGGAGGCGACCGCACCCCAAGATCAGACATCTTCCCCGAGGCATCCACGGCGCGGCTGAGTCGAGGTCGGTGATTGATTGCTGTAGGCAGGCAGGCAGCAGCCAACAGCGTGGTAGTGACGATTGTGGCATATAAGAAGCGCTGAGTAGACTGAGCGTAACAATACAGTATTGCGAGGTGGGACGGCAGAACTCGGCCTCCGAGAATCGACAGCCTCAGGCACCGACGACTAGCGAACCCGCGACGACAACGATAGCGCGGCGACAGTTGCCTCCCGTCCCTTGCTACGACCGAACCGAACAAGAGGAGGACATGGAGCACAGGCAATCGCGATGGCGAAGGACTCCAGGTTACTCATGTCAGAAGCGAGTGAGGGGTCGACAAGACACCTCTTCGCCGCTGTCGGAGCTTGAGCACGTCGGCCAGTGTCGCCAGACTCAAGATGTTTAAATGAACGCCATTCTCAAACGATAGCGTTTCCCTTCTCACTTGACTTGCAGAAATGGCGACAACAAATGCTGCCGACCACGCCAATGGAAATACAGCAACACCGGAGATTCCTGTGACCAAAGCGTTGGCGCAATTCGTGGCAACGGCCAAGCCTGAACAGCTTACTCAAGAGCTCCGGACGAAGGTCAAAGAAGTCTTGATAGATTACATTGGAGTTGCCGTGGGCGGCATTTTCAATGCACATTCCACAGAACCCATCTGTAACGCCATAAAGGCCTTCCAAGGGCCTGGCATAGGAACGTGCACTGCCATCGCTGGAGGTCCGCCATGTATGCTTCCACAGTATGCAGGGCTGCTGAACGCTGCATTCGCGCATTCGCTGGACTTTGATGACACTTATGCAGAGGGAGTAAGTTTGATTCGAAATAGAGATGTCGCGCAGGAACTGAGATGTGACCGTAGACGCTCCATGCGGGCGTCACAGCACTGTCGGCGGCCATGACACAGTCAGAGCTGCTAGGGAACGAAGCTCCCATTGACGATTTCATCCTTGCGGTGTGCATTGGGTACGAGATCAATTGTCGGCTAGGTCGAGAGCTGGGCTTTGAATCGTACCACCGAGGATTCCACAACACCAGCACAGCAGGAATATTCGGTGCAGTCGGTGCGATTGCCGTGCTGAAGCATTTACCAGTGGACAAGGTAGAGATGGCATTCGGTCTTGCAGGCAGCAAGGCGGGAGGCTCGATGCAGTACCTCGATAATGGAAGCTGGAACAAGCGTTTGCATCCAGGCTTCGCGGTCCACGACGCATTCATGTGTGTCAGTCTCGCTGAAGCAGGTGTCGTGGGAGCTACTCGTATCTTTGAAGGCCAGCATGGATTTCTACAAGCCTACAGCCCGAAGGCAGACAAGGACCTTCGACGGCTGGTCAGCGGCCTTGGTTCTGAATGGATATGGCTCAACTCCAGTCTGAAGCCCTTCCCGGCGTGCAGGATGACACATACCTTTATAGAAATGGCCGGTAATATTGGCGCTACGAGAAAAGTCAGCTCTGGAGACATCAAGGCCATCAAAATCAAGCTGCCGCCAACGAACCTTTTACTTGTTGGAGACGCGACGCCGAACAAGATTCACCCCACGAACCATATCGATGCGCAATTCTCGGTCTACTTCCAAGTCGCAAACGCCCTCCTATATGGATCCAATACGGGCATCCAAGCCTACCAGAAGCTCGAAGACTCCGAGATCATGGCATTGTGCTCCAAGACGACAGTCACCACTGATCCTGCACTGACTGTCTTCGCAGGGTGGCTGCAAATTGAGTGGTGCGATGGCCATATCGACGAGGCCCAGATGCAAGATGCTCTTGGTGAAGTCCAGCATCCATTTACAAGAGACAGAGTAGATGAGAAATTTTTGTCGCTTCTCGAACCGAGCTTTGGGGTCACAAGAGCTCAGAAGGTGATATCGATGATTGACAGCTTGGAGAAGCACTCAGTGGGCGCCTTATTCAGCCTGCTCCAGTAGCTTCAGACTCGTTCATCTCTGCCTTTAGCTTTTCCCGATGAGCCCTGAACTGTGCGGGCACAATATCCGGGGCATATTCATCACTGATTTTGTGTACAAGTATTTCTGCTGCTCCTCTGCGGCGTGATATTGTCCAGGTGCCTTCTCCGGTTATTTGTTGCTTCAGAAAATCCAGAAAGGCTGCTGTGAAATTGATGCAAATGTTGCCATCCCAGCTTTGCATCCCTTGACGCTTGACGAAATTTGGTATCTGGAGTGTCTTCCATTCCTCGAGGCGTTCGAGAAGGCCATCGGCGCTGCGGAATCCAATGATGATCTTGGGAACGCCAAGCAAAAAAGATTGTGCCCAAAATCGGCACATCTTTCGTTCAAACTTCTGAGCAGACTTGACATCGCCACTGCGAAAGTTCTCGGTAGTCTTCAGCTCCACGTACGGAATGGGCTCACTCGGATCATCAGGCTTGCAGCCTTCGACAGCGTCTACTTCCCCTCCGATGACGATCGTGTGACGACCAATTCCAGTTCGTACGATGGAGCAATACTGGGCATTGTTGTTGACAATTTCGGCCTCTCGTCCTTCGATCTCGTCGCGACTGCACTCGGCCCATGGTCTTGGCAATGTAGCGAGAGTCTCGAACTTGTAGCCCCAATATTGCATTTGCTCGGGGGAGAAAGCGTTGCCTTGCTGGCGATAACTTCTGCCTTGATTGTTATTCTCAGCAGCCTTCGCCGCCTGGTTCTCTTCTATGTATATGGTGCCATCGAAGTATGTAGCGTTCATCTCAAATTCACCAAATCCTGGAATCACAAGCTTTTAGTGAAGATATCACATGCTCAGTCCCCGTTTCTACTGACTGTCAAAAGGCGCTGACAAAATCTTGGTCATCATTCCTCGCCAGGTGAGAATGTCGGCGTCCAGCTTCGATTTGTTCCGTGCTTCATATTGCTCGATCGTGTCCAGGAGGGGGTTGAGATGCAGATTCACCGCAGTGTCGTCATATTTGATGAAGCTCTCGAAACCGGTGGAAAGATCTATGTGGCGTGACTGTGGGACCTGGAGGAGAAGGGTCAGACGGCGGCGTCGAGTGTGGCTCTGCAGGCGTGATGGGTCGAGTCGAGCATTGGCAGGGAACTTACGCCTGGAGGGTTGAAGATTGGTGGGTAGTAGTATCGAAGGCTCCTGCTGTCAAGCGGGAAGGGTTTGTGCTCGTCGTCGAAGGAGAAGTCGGTCTGGCAGCAGGTCAGCACAGCGACCTACATGAATCAGGCCTGCCATTTCTGTACTTCAAATGCCCGGCCCGGCCATGAAGGACGATGACCAAGAACTTACCACTTCCCGAGGCCGCTTGATCGCAGTTCCTTGGCCGGAGAAGGGCGTCAGGTGCGGGAAGCGGAATGACTGCATACCGTAGTCTTGCTTCAATGATCATTGCATGCGGTGTTGTTGTGCACGGGCACGTGTGTGTATGCAGACGCGACATGCACAGAGCGGCGCGCCTGAATATTATTAATAATCTGCCGAGTCAGCCCGGTCTTGGCGCTCTTCCCGATCATCTTTCTTCTGCATCGCATCCTCGCCGTTTTCCTTTTTCATGCACAACATCCGCTCCGTACAACTGCAAGATGCCTCCTAGAAGCGGCATTCGACGCCCCGCCACGATTCCACCGCCCCGCCCCGCCCCGCCCCGCCCCGCCCCGCCCCGCCCCGGAATCGTGCATGACGGTTGATTGCTCTTGCGCTGTTCAGACAGGACCCTAAGTTCCTGGGCCTGTTCCTGCATGGAATCTGGCCCGCCATGCTGCACGACATATGCCTGCAGAATATGCCCTTTTTTAGCCTGAAAAGAGAAGATGGCTGCCGACTCTCTGATGAGGAGAAATGACCAACGAGACTTCGGACAATGGCAAGCCCGAACGTGTTCACATATATTTTGCTGCCTCACACTGCAACCTGATAATGCTAACGATCCAGAACCATCATCATGTTGTCCGAAAGGCTGAGAACGGCAGCAATGGCATTGCTTGCAGCTGCATCGATGCTTACGTTGGCCAGAGCAGAGAATTCGACTTACTACAACCCCGTCTTTCCAGGATGGAATTCCGATCCCACCTGCACCCATGTTGATGGCACATTTTACTGTGCCGTATCGACTTTCGTGGCATTCCCGGGCCTGCCAGTCTACGCCAGCACTGATCTGATACATTGGAAGCTGATCAGCCATGCCTGGAACCGCGAGAGCCAACTTCCCGGCATCACCAAGGAAACCCGCGATGACTCGGGTGGCATGTATGCCCCGAACTTGCGATACCATGCCGGCAAGTTTTACTTGACTTGTGCGTATTTGAGCTCAAAACTCTTGTATGGAACCACCTTCGTAAGTCCGGATCCATACAACAATTCAGCGTGGTCAGATCCGATACAATGGTCAGCTACGAGCATAGATCCAGACTTGTTCTGGGACGACGATGGCACTGTTCATTTGATTACCGCGGGCATTAGAATTGCACAGCTTGACCTGCACACCGGAGCGGTCACTGCAACGAAAGTTCTTTGGGATGGTACTGGCGGGTCGTATCCTGAAGGACCGCACGTGTACAAGAAGCACGACTGGTTCTACCTCATGATAGCAGAAGGAGGCACGGGGCTGACTCACATGGAGACCATTGCTCGCTCTCGAAACATCTCTGGGCCATATGAGGCCTATTCCAAAAATCCAATTCTTTCCAATGCCAATACTACCGAGTACTTTCAGACCGTGGGGCACGCAGATCTCTTTCAGGACTCGAACGGCAATTGGTGGGGTGTGGCATTGTCTACAAGATCTGGTCCTGACTTGAAGATATACCCGATGGGCCGTGAAGCAGTTTTGTACCCAGTCGACTGGTCTGGAGACTGGCCGATCGCTTCACAAGTCCGTGGTATCATGACTGGCTGGGAATTACCTCACTCAAACAACAAGATCTCTGGCAACAGCGCACCATTTGAAGATGACGATGACATCGACTTCGCACCTGGATCTTCCATACCTTCCCACCTGATGACCCTTCGCTACCCACCAACCACCGACAACACCTTCAAGATCTCCCCAGGCGGATCCCACAGCGAACTTGTGATCTCTCCATCCCGCACGAACTTGACAGGAATCATCAACGACAAAATTCTAGACGGCCTATCTGGAATCGCATTCTTAGCACGAAAGCAGACTCACACCCTCTTCACTTTCACCGTCGACCTGGACTACAACCCTCAGCTCGAAGGCCAAGAAGCTGGCATCACAGCATTCATCACAAGATACCAGCACCTAGACATCAGCATCCGCCCCAAAGCCAACGCAACACCCCAACGCGAACTAGTCTTCCGCATCGAAGCCTCGGGAAAACCAGACTCCCCCTACAAATCCAGCGAACAAGCTTTCCCCATCCCTTCATCCTGGCCTCAAGGTCCAATCAGACTCCAAATCCACACCGCAAACGATACGCACTACGTCTTCTCCGCCATGCCTTCAAGCAATCCTGCCGCATCGATCATCCTTGGCACAGCTTCTGCCGAGATTCTCAGCGGCGGCATTGGGAGATTCATAGGGACGTTGGTAGGTGTCTTCGCAACTTGTAATGGCGGCGCCGGATCTGGGAATGTTTGCGAGGGAAACGGCGGTGATGCGCATTTTAGTCGATGGAGGTATTCTGGTGCAGCGCAGAAAATTTCTGATCACGAGTATGTCACGAGAGGAGTTGTGCACAGTGTGCTGTAATGGGGATTTCCATCGTGACCGGATATGTAAGAGATTAGTTTTGACCGGACTGCTTCCTTTTTCGCCAGGCGGCTTATGACCATGGTGCTACGCCTAAGCCAGTGCTATGCATGAAAGTCGTGAGTAGAGAGAGAGACGTGTCAAACAGATTTTACATTGCACAACATCGCTACAATCGCTCTTCACTCAAATTTCATCCCCCATCACATTCTCATCATCATCATCACAATCCACCATCAAACGACTCCCGGCTTAATCGCATACAAGCTTAGATAGATACACATCATCTCAGCAAAGAATAGCGCTGAGCGGAAGATCCTGATACTCCCCATACTCCTTCATAAGATCCTCCTCATCCCACTCCCTCTCAGGTTCCGTGCCCGCATAATTCCCATTCCTATCTCTTGCGAAATACCTCTTATACTCGCCCCTAGGCATCTTGATCGCTTTATACCTCTCTTCTTTCTCGGCCGAATGATCGAGGCCTGGCGCCATTCGGGTTGAGAGACGGCGGAGGAAGGAGCGTGGATGGGGACTGCGATGGTTGGTCAACGATTGTAGTAGATAGATAGAGATGGGTGGTGTGAAATTTACCGACTGGGGAGATCTTCACAGCCTTCCAGCGATCCTCTGCGGAATTTGTTGGAAAGCTTGACGGTGACGATAATGACATCTTCGTCCGTGGGTCGAGCGGTGAAGTCTCGTTCGAAAACTACACCGGCTCCGTAGCCGAGTGATCGAGTCCTGACGTTCTGGATGTTGTAGACTCGTGGATTCCTATGTGCGGCGAGAGCACTGTTTCTGCGAATGGCGGAAGATGGGATCGCTGGGACGTAGGCGGGACATGCTGAGGAAGACCTTGGTGTGCTTTCGTCCGATGAGCTGGATACGCTATCGCTGCGTTTGCCTTCGTGGAGGATGAATTCGGAGGCAGTCATCTCGGCTTGGGATTGTGGTGGTTGGAGGAGAGGAGTGCTGTTGCGGCGATACGGGTTGTTGCTATTGAGACCAGTCATCGATGGTGGGAATGGCATGTACCAGAGTTGTGCCATGGCTGGCTATATATCCTTCTTCCGTTCCGTATGACGTGATTCTTTCTCAATGCATTCCGGTTCCAATGTATCAGGCAGTCGGGGTTCGACTTTTTGTGGCAATCCCGACAGCAGGAGATCCACAGGTAAGTGAATAATTCTTGATGCGAACTTCTTTGCGATGCTGCTGGATAGACGCAGGTAGCGGGATGGGGAGGGAGAGGGAGGATTGATCGACGACGCAGGTCGAGTGTGTACAACAATTACGTCGCGTGCCGTTTCTCACCTCATCATCACCTTCAAGACAGCTAGGGGCGAGAGGAGAAGATAAGCACTTCGACCTTTCAACAAGCGCTTCCGTTGATCCTTTTCACACTCGCACTCCTGACCCTCTGCCGCGGATGGTGGTGGTGGTGGTGGTGGATGGCTTTTCGTGGCTGGACGGACCGCATTATTTCGATAGAGGCGTTGGATGTTGGTCTTTGGGTGGCATGCAACAGCTCGGAACAGGTACGTAGCTCGCAGATCGTATCGGAGGAGCACTCGGATGGCAGCTGCCGAGGAGTGGGGCTGGAATATTATGTAAACAGGCCTGATCCGGCCGTGCCGCCAGCCGCCATTGCCTGGCAACACAACACATCCAGACTGAGACTTGCCGCTGAAGGTATGCCTTACAAGGCAGTGCACCGACATGCTTCGGACATTATTAATGAAGAGCATCATGGAGCTCTGACTCTCGCACGAACGCTCGTGAATACGCTGAGTCTGATTTTCTGAGATCTGCCTGACACATCTACAACTTTGACTTGGAGCCCTGTCTGTTCAGCTGTAAAATGTCAACCTTCTCCATCCCGTACGCCTTGCACATCTGCGCCGCCTTCGCATTCTGCCATTGGATCTTGTCGAGGCATGCCTTGCCTCGTTTGTTCTCATTACGCCCCATCTGCAGCATGTGCACCTCATCCGGTCCATCGACGATTCTCATTGTTCGTCCAGATGCCCACATGTTGGCAAGAGGAGTGTCTTGAGAGACACCAGCAGCGCCATATGCCTGGATGGCATCGTCGAGCACTTGCATCAGAACTCTTGGAATGAGCACTTTCGCTTCGGCGATCTCCTTGAGGGCGAATTTCGCGTCCTTGGCATCGATCTTGCAGGCTGCTTCGAGCACCTGGAGACGTGCCGCATCGATCATGATTCGAGCATCGGCCACTCGTGAGAGCATAACGCCGTGCTCGCTAAGCTGCTTGCCGAATGGCTTCTTGGATGGGTCATTGAGGCGAGCCAGCATGTATTCCAAAGCCTTCTCGGCGGCACCGATGCTTCTCATGGCGTGGTGGATGCGACCAGGTCCGAGACGACCCTGGATGACCTCAAAACCACGCCCTTGTCCAAGAACCATGTTTTCAGCGGGTACGCGAACATTGTTGAATGTGATGTGGCCATGACCGTGTGGTGCATCGTCAAAGCCGAAGACTGACAGCATACGGTGAATGGTGATGCCTGGTGCGTCGAATGGCACAAGGATGACGGACTGCTGCTTGTATACGCTGCTGTTGTTCGGGTCGGACTTGCCCATGACGATGAATAGCTCACAGCGCTTGTCACCCGCTCCGGATGACCACCACTTCGAGCCGTTCAGCACCCATTCGTTGCCCTCCCTTCGCATCGTCAGTGCGATGTTTGTAGCATCCGATGATGCAACATCTGGCTCGGTCATGAGGAAAGCACTTCGGATCTTGCCCTCGAGAAGCGGCACGAGCCACCTGTCCTTTTGCTTCTGCGTTCCATACTTCGCAAGCACTTCCATATTTCCAGTGTCCGGAGCAGAGCAGTTGCATGCCTCGGAGGCTATACCGCTCTTGCCAAGGTACTCTGCCATAAGACCATATTCGAGATTGCTGAACCCAGCTCCCTCCTTGAAGTGGTTCGCTGGCAAGAAGAGGTTCCATAGTCCAAGCTCTCTTGCTCTCTTCTTCAGATCTTCAATCACTTGTGGATGGGCTGCGAATCGTTGCTGTACGCCTTCGCCGATCTGTTGTCTGTATACTGTGTCTGCTGGTACGCATTCCTCTTCGACGAACTTCTCGACCTGCGCCACACATTTGTCAGTCCATCGTGCTCCGGCCTCGAGCTTTCACATTACGTACCAGATCCAATGTCTTCTTCGCTCGTTCGGAGACAAAAGGTCGAGCGAGCATTGGAATTCTGTCGCTTGCGCGTGGCGTGCCAGAGCCTCCAATGGAGGTCAACAGCTCCTCGCTGGCCTCGATCTTGTATGGAACCGACATGATGCCCGTACTGTTTGCCTTCTACAGTGCTGTTGAATCAATGCCCGGGACCAGGTGAGAGACAGATGGGGAGGGCGGGCTATATGTTGAGAGTCGATGACAAGATGATAGAAAGGGAAAACGAGAAGATCGACCGAGAGGTCGTAGCAAGGTTCCTTACAGTCAAGTAATCACTGCAGCGCTGTCCGTACACGATCACTCACTGGCAAGTGAGTGGGCGGTGTTGAATGCCAGCCGAGGTCAACTCACCCGCGGCTCAGTCGGAGATCTCCAGAGTTGGCCGGGAAGCGGGTGAATATGCAATACAGTACATCCGACGGCGAAATGTTCAGGCCGCTAGAGACTGTCGAAAGTGTATCGCAGCTCGGAGTGGAAGGAACCAAACCACTTGTGGGTCCTGAAAACATCCTCGGCACACTTACACTCATATTGAGCACGAATCAGGGTCTCTCCATGGCCTGATCCCAGATGCATCATGCGCGTATGTCTGAATGTAGAAAACGAGTTCGGTGACGCAACTCCGATAATATCACAGCTACGGCTAAAGGACGGCGTGGCGGCCTAGACTTTCTCAAGCAGAACGAAATGTTGGACTGGAAACGTCGTGTATCCGTTCCTGGTTCTGACCGCCGAGAAGTATCTGGTTCTGGTTCAAAGTGCGGCTGCGAAGCTGTACAGCTCCGTCTCAACCACACCTCATAGATGCAATTGCAATTCGCCAAGTATTTACGCAGATAACATTCATGCACCAGCTGCCATCGCGGCGGCGAGTCCGCACTGCAAACGCCTCCAGCGCCAACGCTTCCTAAAACAGGACCAAGCATTATATATGTTACGCTCAAGGCTCATGCCTATTCACAAGCTCGTACTCGTTCCGTGTTCGTCTGGACCAGAACGGTATCCTCTGTCTTATTGACTGCGTCTTCCACCTAGGAACATCGGACGGCGAAAGGAAGTACCGGTTGTAGTACCACCAGCCTGCAAATAGCGCGCCACCTCCAACGATGAAGCCGATCACGGTAAGAAGGACCCAGTTGCGAGCCATCTGTGATTCTGTTAGTATTCTGCTCTGAGTAGTCCGTTGCAAGAAAGGCTCACCCAGAATATCAGCTGCACATCGTATCCGTGCCAGCTGTTGCCAAGATGGTGCGTGAAGAAGCTCCACGGATTGTTGTTGTACTCGTCTGGGAAGATGATCCGTATCCGGCCTCCATCTGCTCCATCTCCAACATTGAAGCCTTCGTCGCTGTAATGTCGCCAAATAATGCTCAAGAATAGTGGTCCGGTGCTTGCCATGACCGTGATATATGGCAGAAACCAAGTCCGGTCATAGTTCTGGAGCTCTTCGATCACGCGCTCAAAGAATGGATGATGTGGCACAGCTCCCATAGCATCGTTGCTCACACCTGTAGGCACTGTCTTGCGCACGAATGCAGGATAGCTCAGGAGTGGCTCGAGTGACCGGTTGCATCCGTCGTCCAGGTCAATGTATATTCCGCCGTAATGGTTGAGCACGAAATACCGAATGGCATCTGCTCTCTGAATGGGGAAGTGGTAGTTCTCAAAGGTTTCCAAAAACTCGGGGTATTCAGCGGCAATGAAATCCACGCTCATCTTGTCGGTCCACAGCTTGTATTCCCACTCTGGCTCTTTGTGCCTCTCTAGACAGCTTTGCTGCGCTTCTTGCCATACTTCGGGGATGCTGGTGTTGATGTATGTTTGGTGTATGATTTTGGGGATGAGTTGTGTGCGGCCATCGTCCAGTTCTGAGCCGATCGGAGGCAGTTCTTCGCGAGATATCGCATCTTCGATACCATTTATGACCAAGAGCTCAAGCAGGGTCCAGACCGAATGTACCAGGAAAGCAATGACGGCAAGATTGACGATCAGGAAAATGATTACTGCTCGTCGCATAGTGACGACTGCAAGCCAGAGCTCGAGCCAGATCTCGTGCTTAGATCTCGGCAGGCAGAGTGATGTTGACGGCCAAGCGTAAGTTTGGGGTGCAGAAAGGTAGGTAGGTAAGTAGGGAAGCGGGTTCGCATGGGGCGTGGCCTTTCGCAGCAGCTATCACGCATTCATGGCGGGTATGCGGAAGGAGAGGATGGCAACGGCGGAGGGTACGAAGAGAATTGGTGATGTCGTCGGACGGACTGCTGGAGTGAGCGGGCTGGCTGCGGATGCAGAGACGGAGGACATGGTGCGCGGCGCGGCGACACTAAATCGCAGGGGAGATTGCAACAAGGGAGGGAGGCTGAGCTCTTGGCGCCGCGCCCATCCCCATCGCTCTCGCATTTGATCTGCACATCATGTCTTCTCTGTATCAATCAAGAACCGCCCCTCGCACTCGCACTCGCACTTCTCCTTCGGCCCCCCCAACATCTTCTGTTTCCACGGCCATTATTGACGACTCAATGCCTTCCGGAGCCCTGAAAATATCCCGTCTCCACCAAGATGCATTGCCGGCGCACGATCCAGGCACGGCACGGCGTCAGCAAGATGACTCGACCGTGCAATGACATAGATCTCATGCCTCAGGCCCTACTCGCAACAGACGCCATCTCACTTGCAGCATGCAGCATGCAGCATATTCTAGACTCGACTGCATCTGCTCCACAGTCTCCGTTGCCAGGCTGCGCCCACGATCATCGAAGCATTCATCTTCCCAGACCACCCACGACCGACGCTCACGGCAATCCTGCTATACGTACACGATGCGCTGTTGTCGCCCGAATCCAGTGCCGATCATTGCAAAAGCTCTCAAGACTATAATCCAGAAGTACCTGATGACTCGGGTCGGCAGTTCAGTTCCATTGTCATTGAGGAGACGGTGCAAGGATTGAATACGTGGTACGACAACTAGGCCTTCCGCGTCAGAGAAGCGGTTTCACCGTGCGACTCTTCCCGATGATGTGAGAGAAAATGCTCTCCAGCTTCTTAATATTATTGATCAAGTGCCGAGAGGGAATACGACCTCGCTTTTCAGGATCAGTTCTCGCAAGCTGGACCAATCCAGCACCGCCCGATATGCCAAGGACAGAAACATGGCCTAGAAGAGCAAGACGAAAATGTGCCTCCCGCAAAGCGTCCAGCTCAATTTATCAACTTGTCGGACTCGCCGTGATATGACAGGTACTGATTGCGAATTCACAGAACGCTGCTGTCACTCTTTGAGCATGGCATCGCGAATGATGTCCTGTTTTGGCAGTGGGCCACGATTGTGGTTTCACTTCTCTTGTCGAATTCTAAATGAAAAGAGCTGCACAGCTCAGAAGCTGTATAGCTGTATGGATTAGTGGGCACCGCCTCTTTTTCGTGTCGCCCTCAAATTCACGTTCCCCACTCGAATCGGCAGGCGTTGCATATACTGTACCGTTATTCGTACGTTGTCGGCGTTCGTCGGCAAAAGTAGGACTTGGGTGGATTCCTTACAACTTCTGCAAAACGGATTCGACCAACCAGATCTCCCAGATCTTATACAGCAGTTCGGCGGCTTAACCACGGCCTTCGTTTAGGGGATGTGGGCATGTGGTTCCCGAAACTCTCGGCACCGGATTTGCCCACGATCCGACAGCTCTGGCCTACTTAATAAACAAGAAATATCGAGCAGATGCCGTCTGCTGCTCAATTTACCACCTGATCTGTTCATTATCATGCCCAGTTTCGAGATCCAGCACTCTGTGCTCGCAAACTTGTCTGCGAAGCAAATATTGGCTTTAACGTCCATTCTGCTGGGCATTACAATCGCGTACCAATTCGTGTATGCTCTCCTGCTTTCCCCCGTGAAAGATGTACCTGGACCATTTCTGGCAAGATTTACTAGATTATGGGAGCTTCGACAAATGCTTCGTGGTGAATTCCACGAGACAATTGTCAAACTACACAAACAGCATGGTCAGAGACTTGCACGGTCTTGAAGAGCATCATGCCAACATTTAAACAGGTCCTATCGTGCGGATCTCGCCGAATCTATACAGCCTCAACTCGCCAGCAGACCAAAAGAAAATATATAATCTTCGAGCAGACTTGTCGAAAACGCCTTATTACGACGCTGTAAGCCAGATAATCCAATGTCTTGCTCAAATACTGACAAGGACATCTAGGGAGGCCATCCCCAACGCCCCAATCTCTTTAGCACACAAGATGCATCTTTACATGCCGACCGGAAGAAACCTGTCGCGAACTTATATTCCATGTCCTCCATGGTTCACTACGAGGATGCAGTTGATCGAATGATCAAAATTTGTTTAAGGAAGTTTGCTGGGTTTGCTGAGAAGAGGAAGAAGGTCTTTGTTCCGAAATTCATGCAGGCTTATGCCTTTGATGTGATTGGGGAGATCACGATAAATCAGAATTTTGGGATGATGGAGACTGAGGCGGATGTTGATGGTATGATGGAGTTGGTGCACGCTAGTAAGTGACCAAAGCCCTCGTTCGACTCTCGGCATGTGGCCATGTCTGAATCTAACGATACCATCTCTTTTGGATCGACTCTCGGAAGACTTGCTAACCCATCGGCCCTCAAAGGCATCAGATACCTAGGCACAGTCGGCATCTTCCCGGAATTCCACAGCTGGATTTTCCGCATAGTCAGCTTCCTCCGCCTTCGCCACGCCGGAGGCCTGATCGAAAAGATTGCCAGCGACACCATAAGGAAGTTCCGCCACCCCGATCGAATGATAGAGAAAGAAGATCCCAACTCAGACCCCTTTATCTCCAAACTCCTACGGCTCGAAGCAGCTGGCAAAGCCGACTCGTCCCACCTCATGGATGCCATCGCAAGCAATATTGCAGCCGGTAGCGACACGACTGCAATCACCCTCAGCGCAGCGTTGTACTACTTGTACAGAACACCACGGGCGCTTGCCGCTTTGCGAAAGGAAATTGATGAGATGCAGAAGGCCGGCAAGATTTCTGATCCGGTCTCGTTCAAGGAGGCGCAGGACATGCCGTATTTACAGGCTGTTATTCTGGAGACTTTGAGGTTGCATCCCGCGGTGGGATATGTGCTGCCACGGAAGGTTCCTGCCGGTGGTATGGAGCTTGCTGGAAGGCATTTACCTGGGGGTGTAAGTTGTCCTTATGTGCTGTCAAAACCCCCTTACTAATTTAGAGTAGACTTGCGTTGGCGTGAGCGCATGGGCTCTGCATCGGAATCCGGAGGCATATGGTGATGACGCGAGTGAATTTCGTCCCGAGCGTTTCCTTGTTAGTGAAGACAGCAGTTCGAAGAATCGAACTGCTTCTCTTGCTAGCTCTTTTGCGGTATGTATACATTTTCCATTTGCAGCAAGGAAACTTTTTAAAGTCCCTGCTAATTCTTTCCTTCGCTAGTTTGGCGGCGGAACGAGATCTTGCATTGGGAAGAATATTTCGCTGCTGGAAATGACCAAGGCGGTGCCGCAGATTGTGCGAAAGTTCGATCTAGTCTTCGAGAGCGATGAGCCGTGGGAACTCTTTTCGACTTGGTTCGTGTGGCAGAAATATCACTGCTATATCGAGCCGAGAAAGGGTTGAGGTTGCTTGCTGTGGATAGTCCCGAATAGGCGATGCCAAAAGTTTTCGATTTGATCGCATCAGGAAACAGGGAAATTGAGATGAATTCGAACGATTTCGCAGGCATACAATCATCTTATGCAAATGCCAGACTCGGCAATCCCAGTCATTCTGTGTTCAACTCATGGCTGGTCATGATTTCGAGGCATAGCGCAATGACAGCCGGCGCGTGAAAGTTGAAGTGAGGTCAAGCAGTCTTGGCAAGGCCGGAGCGAGACCGGCACCGGGATGACGTCCAGCAACATTTCTAAGCATCAATCTCGAGCTTTTCTTTGATATTTCTAGCCCGTCTTCTGCTGAATAGAATCCGCAAAGATGTCGCTGAAAGACATCAAGCATATCGTGCTTGTGCTATCCGGGAAAGGCGGCGTCGGGAAGTCCAGCGTCACCACCCAACTCGCACTCTCCCTCTCCTTACAAGGCCATTCTGTCGGCGTGCTCGATATCGATCTCACAGGGCCCTCGATCCCACGATTCCTTGGCATAGAACGATCGCGCATCACTTCGGCTGAAGGCGGATGGTTACCGGTGCCAGTGCATGCAGCAAGAAGCGCGCGTCAAGAGCAGACAAAGGGAGAGGCGCACGGCAGCAGTCAGGCCTTGGGCAAGCTCGGCGCCATGTCGCTGGGCTTTATATTGCCAAATAGAGGCGATGCAGTCATCTGGAAGGGCCCGAAGAAGACAGGCATGATCCGGCAATTCCTGTCTACCGTGCTTTGGGGCGAGCTGGACTATCTGCTTATCGACACACCGCCGGGCACGAGCGACGAGCACATCGCTCTCGTCGAAGAATTGCTGAAGAATGCTACGCCAGAACAGCTGCCTGGCGCCGTTATCGTGACTACTCCACAGGCGATCAGTGTCAGCGATGTCAAGAAAGAGATCAACTTCTGCAAAAAGGTCGGCGTGCATGTTCTCGGCGTTGTGGAAAACATGGCAGGTTTCGTATGCCCTAACTGCTCCGAATGCACGAACATCTTCTCGAAAGGCGGAGGACAAGCGATGGCACAAGAGTTCGAAGTCCCGTTCCTCGGCAGCGTGCCTATCGATCCAATGTTCATTCGGCTTATCGAAGAAGGCAAACGCCCCAACTATCCCGAAGGCACTGTCATTGAGGGCCAAGACATGTCGAATGGAGATGACGAAAGTACTGAAGGATTGCTTGTTGATAAGTATACTGCTTGCTCTCTACACCCGCTCTTCGCCTCTATCACCAAAGACTTGACCGACAAGATCGAACGATGAAAAATCAAAACCCACTGCGGGTAACTCTCAGAATTCCCTTCAAACACCATGCTCGCCCATATCCATGCCATCCTGAGGCCGTTCAGTGGTGCCAGCCGTCGCTTTGTACAAATCTCGAGACAGAGTCCGGCCCGGTCGTGTTGCTTTCTCCAAAATGTGGTTGTCGCATCAAAGCGAAGAACAAGAAGTATAATCGTGTATTTCAGAACGAAGACGGGTGTCGCTAGGGAGATCATATGCATACGCCAAGAGCGTTGAGCACACAAGCCGTCCTGGTCGTGGCCGTGGTAGCTGTGGAAGGCATTGTTGAGGTCGAGGAAGTGATAACGCGGCTCGAGGTGCAGGAGATGAAGCCGCGGGATGAGCTGCAGTAGGAGATGGTCGTAGTAGAATCAACTGTGGTGACTGGCAGCACTGTTGTGAACTGGGAAGCCTTGGTCGTCGTCAAGGTATAGAGGGAGGTCGGCTGAGCTTGGCAATTGACAGTCCCAGCGATGGTAACGCAGACAGGAGGTAGCGAGACCGCCGAGGAGATGGCTGGCAGAGAGGCGCTGAGACTGACGTCCACGCCAACTCCGACAGACGCAGAAGCAGAGACGCCCACTCCTGGCAGCCCAATACTGGTCGTAGGTAGGACAGCAGGAACCGAAGGCGACAAGCTCGGTAGAGGCGAGACCGTAACAGTGGGCAAACCAGAAATTATGTTCGTCAAACTCAATCCCGGACTTGTCGTAGGTGCCGCACTGTTGATGTAAGAGACCGGTCTCGAGCTGACAATGGTCGGCACACCACTAGCCGTGTTCGTGCTCGTAACCGTATTGCCATTCGAATCCACAATCACAACCCTCTTTCCAACCATCACCACCGTATCCGGTTGCCCAGCTCCTTGGATCGCCGGTCCAAGATTCGCAATGAAAATGCACTGCCCTCCTTCCGCAGAAGCAGCAATACACCCCGTCAACCTCGAGCACCGATTACTGCATTCAATCGTCGGCGGCACCCCAGCCGGCACTATTCCCACAAGCTGCCTCGCAGCAACAAGATTCTCCGCCTCCACCAACTCCCTCGCCTCATCCCGTACATCTCTCCTCCCCGTCGGCGCCGTCGCCAATTCCGTCGCATTCGGAAACCCAACATCACACATAATCTGATAATTCGCGCCAAACGAATCCACATAAAACGCACCGTTCGCACCGGGACAACTCAAATCCACGGGCGCCGCTCCCTGGAACAAAGGATTCGGCATTCCAGGTCCGGTCGCGGATTTGTAGAAGCAGGTGTAGATATTCGGTTGGTAGGCGACTCCGACGCAGTCGGGGGTGGAGGCGCAGCCGTCCATGCATTCTTGGAGGTTGGGTCTCAAGGCGTTGGAGAGGTCGTAGCCTTGGAAGTGCACGGCGCATTGGATGTTGAAGGCTTGGCCCGAGGGGGCGACGTAGTTGAGGGCTTGGTCGCCGGGACAGCCGATTACGGGGGCGGCTGTTGCGGTGGGGATTAGGGTGGTGGGTGGCATGCTGGTTGATGTGGAGGGGAGGCTGAGGTTTGGTGATGGGACTGATATGCTTGGTGATGGGACTGATATGCTTGGTGATGGGACTGATATGCTTGGTGATGGGACTGATATGCTTGGTGATGGGACTGATATGCTTGGTGATGGAATGCTGGCTGAACTTGGTGGGATGCTCAACGAAGGCGTGGTGCCTGGCAGAATTCCTGTCAATGTTGGTAAATCGATGCCAATCGTCGGCAGACCCGGAAGATCAATGGTGGGGATCGAGGTAGGAAGCACCGTTGGGATGAGGTTTGTTAGGTCGGAGATGGGGATGACAGTTGCTCCAGGTGGAAGGAGTGTAGTGAGACCTAGCACGAGTTCGGTCAGATCTGAGACCGGAATGGCTGTTGGGAGCCCTCCGAGTAAAGACGAGAGATCTGGGATGATGTTCGTGACTCCGCCGAGTGGGTTTGTCGTTGGGGTTGGAAGTCCTCCGAGGAGTGACGATAGGCCAGGGAGTAGATTCGTCAGGGGATTGTCAGTTGGTGCTGGAAGAACTGTGGTCAGTCCTCCGATAACTGTAGTCAATCCAGGAATGAGGTTGGTGAGCGGATTGTTGGTAGGTGTGGGAATCTCGCCGAGAAGGGACGAGAGACCTGGCACCAGATTCGTGAGAGGGTTTTCTGTAGGAGTTGGAAGAAGTGTTGATAGTCCTCCTAGTGCCGATGTCAAGTCTGGAACCACTAAAGCAGAGGTGAAGTCTCCCACGAGACTGCTGATTGGTAGTGTTGGAAGTGGTGCCAAGCTGATGGAGAGAGATGGGATAGAAAGCGTCGGCAGAGCGGTAGGCAAGACTTCAGAGAGTTGAGACGGAATAGCCACCACAATGCTGGACAAACTATCCGGCTGAGCGATGGGAAGCAGTCCTCCCACGATGTAGCTAACTAGCCTGGCGGCAGACACGTAGCCTCGAGCAGGGACGAAGCTTTGTGCGATGCTGTTTTGCAAGTAGCAGGTGCCGTTGCCTTCGCCGTCTGCTGCACCTGTGTAGTAGAAACCTGTGCAGAAGTTGGCCCCGCCTAGAATGCTCGATTGATCGCAATGAGCGAAGCAGTCGTTGAAGGAGTTCTCAGCTACATGCTCGGAGTAAGTGTTTCCAGAAGTTGCTCCGTTGCAGTTGATCACATATGGCAGACCATTCTCAACTATGACTTGACCATTGTCTTCTGGGCATGAGTAAGATACCGGTGTCTGGGTTGGCAGGACAGATGTCGGCACCACAGCACTGACAAGGGAGGCAAGATCTGCGAGCGAAACGGTTGCGGACGGCAGGAGACTTGTGATAGGAAGATCCGTAGGCGGCACTTCGCCGAGCAGACTGGTCACACCAGGTACCAAGTTCGTGAGCTGTGAAAGAGGGATATCTGTAGGTAGACCGCCGAGGAGACTCGAGACTGCTGGCACAAGGTTGGTGATTGGTAGGTCCGTAGGCAGTGCAGTCGGCAGTCCCGAGGGCAAGACTCCTCCCAGGAGACTTGTGACACCAGGCACGATCTGAGTAAGTTGACTCAATGGAATGTTCGTAGGCAGAGAACCGACGCCCGAGAGCAAGCTGGAGATCCCTGGAACAAGCTGAGTCAAGACGCTGAGTGGAATGTCTGAAGGTAAGGCTGTTGGCAGCAATGTTGTGACCGGCAAGCTCAGCGGCGGCACAGTCAGCGATGGAACCAGATTCGTCGGCAAAGATCCAAGCACGCTAGTAAGTCCCGGAACAATATTGGTCAGATCGCTGAGCGGGATGTTGGTAGGAAGTGTGCCCACATTCGAAAGCAGACTTGACAGTCCTGGAACCAGTTGCGTCAAGACGCTCAGAGGAATGTCAGAGGGCAAGGCTGTCGGCAACAGCGTTGTGATCTGCAATCCTGAAGAAGGCAAAGAGAGCGAAGGTGCATTGGTCGGCAGAGAAATGCTAGGTACCGAGAGGCTCGGTATGGAGATGGTCGGTAAGGCTAAGCTCGGGGTTGCAATAGAAGGTATGCCGGTGATCTGTGGTGCACCGATTGATGTCGGCAAGCTTAATGCTGGGGAAGGAATGGATACGCTCGGCAAGCCGAGAGATGTCGACAGTGTCAATGGAGGAAGACTGGTTATCGGCAAGCCGAGAGCTGTGAGACTGGCGAAGATGCCTGTATAGTCGGGAGGAAACTCGTAATGAGTGACCGTCACCGAACAGGCAGCTCCACCAAAGTATCAGCAGTGTTCAGACCAGTGCATCTGTGATGGAACTTACAGCCACCAACGCCAACGCCAACGCCCGCGCTGACTGCCACGCCCAGGTCCACGCTAAGCGAAGGCAGTAGCTGTGCATGGCTGGATCCAAGGGAGAGGAGCAAGAGTCCGAGGTACTGTGTGTAAGTCGATTGGCCGAGTGCCGATGGCCAATGTTGTCTTGGTGCTCCCGAGAACATGGTGTCTGAGATTCCGAACAACGAGCCGCTCCCTGGCAACGATGAGAACTCAGAGCCGTGCCGTGTAGTTGCGGTGGTGATGTGCTGGCTTGCGTTTCCATCGCGACGCAGGCATTATGAACGCGATCGTGTTAAATTTGTTTGTGTCGAGAACAGAGGTTGGCATGAGGTTGGCGAAACAAACAAGCCGCTGAGATGCCTAATCAGCCGTCGCAATGGGACGAGATGGGCACGGCAGCTCATCTTTCGAGCGATTGAGGACCGTGCAGCAGGAAGACAGGAGGTCATGCGATATTGGCTGGAGGGAGGCAGACCATCGTCGGTGCCATTGGGAGATTGAGAGGCGGCAACTACCACCTCTAACGCCACCAGAACATGCTGAAGAGGTCAGGAGATTGCATCGAGCCGAATGTCGGCAAATCGATCCTGCTTGGGCTCTTCGAGATCCACAACTGGAGTCGGTGAATCCCCGAGGTATGAGCACAGACGTGTCTACAAACCAAAAATGGCGTCTTACTCAATATTGGAGGAATGTGAGACAGTTTTTGCAGCATCGTATGTGTGGGTTGTTAGCTGACCATGTATGCCGGCAGCCTTTGCCCACCAGTATAATCTTGCTCCAATGCCGCCAACAGATGCGTAACGAGCGAGCCTTGGACGCGTGTGACCCACTCTCGCGCTCAGCGTGCGGCAGACTTTTGATACATTGTCAACCATCGTCTCGTGCATCGTTCCGTCGCCAGGTGAAGTCGGTTTCGCGCGGCATGCCGGTCACGATCCGAAAATAGAGCCAAGCATCTGCATTCCTTCCTTCAGCCTAACCGCTTGCATCTCCAACCGCACTGGAATGTGCCACGGCAGCACCGAATCGTTGTAGGTGATCGGACCGTATCCTACCGGAGGCGACGAATGTGAGACCGACTTGCATCGGCATGCCCGAGTCACCTCTGTAATCTCATGTTTAGTGTGTGTTGCGGTTGTGCGTTTTCACGCGTCCCAGCGTGTCCCCTCGCCACTCTTTCTTCTGTCATCAACAGTGGCTGGATGATGACTTTAGAAGGGCGTCAAAGCCCGTACGATCCTACTTCTTTCTGCTTCAAAGATTCGTCCTGTTTCTTGCTGTGAGAAAAGCGACCTCCCTGATTGATAGGGTCCCCAGAAACGTGGTTGCAACCTTGTCTGCTTTTCTACGACATGATATTGTATTCCAAATCTTCTGGCAATTGCTCTTGGCATGAAAGTTGAGGCTTTGTGCCTGCGAAAGGCTCATATATCGACTGAGTACCGCCCTTCGATGATGCCAAAGCCTTGCTGCGGCGGCACAACAGTCGCCGTCCAAATGCAAAAAGAAAAAGATTGCATGATTCGCTCCGTGAAGGATTTGAACCTCCGTCTTCGGCGCCAGTCGCATTGCGTGCGAGTGCGTAGACGAGCCGAACTGTCACGTGTCAGCATACCACCGGAGCATGCCGCCATGCTTTTGTAATGCTTACATCCTTGACCACTAAGCTGCTATTAGCAAGACACGACCGAACATACTAAACGACTTTGCTAAACAAACCTGGACGAACAGAGCATGTGGGTGTGCGTCGATCCTGAGTGGTAGAAGCCTGGCCTTTTGGCCATTATATGTCTTCAATTGCTGGCATGCAAGGATTACCTGCCATCCGGAAACACCAAGCGCCGCTCTTCTTGGATGTTTTGGTATCTCATTGCTCGAGAATATGAACAGTCTCCAGGAGTTTCATCGTCCGTTGGGCTCTCTACCACGATCCTCCTCCGAAATCGTCGCAAGGTCGCCTGGTTTTAATGAGTTGTTCCTGTATATCCAAAACTGGATAAAGACAGCAAAATCAAGGAACAATGTGCCAAGACTTCCGATCAGCCAGCTCAAATTCACCAGGATATAACGAGCATAGATGGCGGGCGCCTCGCCTGGCTTGCAGCTGGATTCTTGCCAATGTCCGTGCGTGTGATGACTGCAGATCGGCTCAAAAGCGAGGATTGAGCAGACATATGTGAGGTTCCCGATGCATGCAAAGAGGAAGAATAGAGCGTTGAGACCATCAGTGGACTTGCGTCGGTAGTTGAGGAGAAGCTGTGGCACTCGGCTGCCGAGATACAGAACCGCGCAGATGTAGCCGAAGATCTGGCCCCACAAACTGAACTGCAGCGCGTCTTCCTGTTCCTCTGCCGGGTATTCAGGACGCTTATTCTCTGGCGTTGAAGGAGTGAGATAGTATCCCGCGACACCTGCAAGGACGACAAGGAGAATGGCCGTGCTGTTGAATAGAATGGCCTGTGTCCAAGTTCGGGGTGGTTGGTGGGGCTTCAATGCCTCTGTGTCTGTCGCGTCCTTTGGCTGAGAATGAATGGGCACAGCTGGCGACATGTGAGCGGCATCCAGACTCATGAGGCGCTCCCGGAATGTCGACGGGGACCTGGTGCGGTTTTCGATATCCGCAGAATTGGGTGCACGTTGATTGGGTTCGGCGTGAGCATTGGCGTGTCCATTGCTGATCAACGGAGATCTTTCGGTGGGATCGTCGCTTTCGGAGGCTGCATTTTTTATGATTACGGGGTTCGGATCTCGCAGATGGAAGCCTTGATAGTAGAAGTATTGCGCCAACAGCACGACATCGGCTAAGGTGTAGTAGACTGCGAGCACTATCATCGTAGCCAGGACGCCTTGAAGGACAGCACCCAGGATGTTGAAGACGTCGCCTGCGAGCCAAATGATGATGAATTCTGTGCACGAGTGAGTCGAAGATCTACCCTGCTAGCCACTGTGTGAGACATGAGGGGATTCAGATGGCATACGCACCGACACTGAGCCCTTCCGCGCTAGATTTTCGGAAGTTTTCGATGATCTGAGGGGAGAAGACGACGACCCAGCATGCGATACTGATTGATCCGCATATTCCCGAAATGGCTTCGATGTCGACGCCGTAGCTGCCGCTCGGGGGAAACATTGTCGGCCACGCGTGCTATACCACGTCGCCAGCCGCAGGGTTTGGACGCGTTAGGGACGGAGGAGCCGACTGTGAAGGTGTTTACGCGTCCAGCCAAGCACTTCTCGAGGGCAATGGCAATGGCAATGGCAATGGCAAGAATTGATGCTGAGAAGCCATCCCATCACCGCGGCGAGGCGAGGCGAGGCGAGTGGAGAATTTCGTACTTTAGTCATAGCCATGCACGGTCGTGGTTTGAGGCTCAAACAAGCTTTTTCATCCCAGAAATGCAAGGCCTGTGTCGATCCAGTACAGCCCGAGACTTACATCAGACTCCGAATATCACCATGTCGCTCTCCTCGCACGATAGTCTCCTCGCAATTGGGCAGACCTCGGCCTGCTCGAAGGAATTTCCAGGAAAGCCGGTCTTCCAAGCCACGATTTCGCTGTCGCCCTAACCATCTCGATGTCCTGCGCAACGTTTAACGTTACTACCAACACGCGCCAGCGCACCGGCATCGACGTCAAGTGAAGAATTTGGATCTCATCCACCATTGTGGAGGAAATAGCTTGGAAGCAAGTGAATGAAAGGATACCAAGTTCGAAATAATGATGGCATTTAGCGCTTTTGCGCGGAAGCTGGCATAACCAGCTCGCTCTCTGTTGGCTGCGTTGTGTCGGACCCGACGAACCACATCACCAATCTCTGTTTAACACCATAATTCACCCGCCCAATCAAGGCCATCCTGATTCTGGCCCATGCCATTCTTTCCCAAACGCTATCAATGCCAGAGACAAGGGAACGCTCGCTAAAATCTTCCATGGAATCAAATGTCCAAACCAGTACCGCAGTATCTGGGGAGCACAGGCTGCCTAGGACGAGGTCGAGCTGACGGAGTCTACACTCGACTCTGGCGACAGCGTCGACACCGATGCATTCGTCGATCGTCTTCGCGAAGAGGCTGTCGCCATCTCAAATTGTTGCTTGGTGTGTTGATGCATCACTCTGGAAGGGCCTGTCAGCTTCGAATATCGATGCTGGTAGCAACTGGCAACGGACTTTTGATATGAGTTGCGAGCATTCTCTGGATTGCTCAGGTCGAATTGCTGGGCAAAGTGCTCTTCGGCACCCATGGGCACGATGTAGCCATTTGACGCGTTGCTGTATTGTGTTTGGGCAGACATTGTGACAAGAAAAGGTTGTAGACTGGGGTTCGTTGATATGGACAGTGTTGGTAAGTCTTCGGGACAGGGTTTGGCCGCTTGAGAGATGTCTAAAAGTGCGAACAGCTCTCAAATAGAGGCCCAGAAGGCAAGTGGTTCACAGGTTACTATATTGACAAGGGAGGCACGATAGTACAGCGAAAGATAGCGGAGACCCTGCGTCAGCGTCCCAGACGGATCTGCAGCGAATGATGCCGTGGTGATGAGGCTGGCACATTTCGAGCTTCAAGCGATTCCTTAGCGCGTCAACGCCAGAGCCGCGACCAGCTGAGGCCCGCGCCCGCGCCCGCACGCACAACCAACCAACCAGCTTTTCGGGGCGTGACGAAGCCACCAAGCACGACCGCCGTCTTTGCAGCAGAAGCGATTCGCTGATTGGCTCGATGCACCGTCAGACGGCCTGTCCCTTTCATCGATCGTTTTGAGCGTGCCGTTCGGGCTTCTTTGGCGCAGATCGCACTAGCCAGAATGGCAGAATGACGCACTAACCCCAACTTTTGGACCCTGAATATTGCCATGCGGCTCAATCAATTTTTGGTGGTGGCGCTCGGAAGGAGGTATGACAGCATCGCATCGCCTACTCCATCAATTGTTGTTCTCTCCTGACGTTTCTCTGACGGCACAGTATCACCATCGCGGTTTGGTCAGCAATAGAAGATGGAGCACAGGCAGTCGAGCCAATGTGAGAAGCACTATGCGCAGTTCAGAAGTTCGAAGGGTCTACTGGCGCTTGGAATAGCTACAGCACATGTCGTGTATTGGAGTCCTTCCGAATGGTTGCTAACAATTTAGAATACAGGTGCTTCCGACCAACAATGATCTCAGAGCTCCACTTTGGACGGTGTCCACTGACGGGAGTTCGGTTGACACTGTCACACCAGCAACCGCTTGCGGACAGCATTGTACCTTGCTCCCACACAACTGCGCGCCACAGCATTTGCCACGTGACGTCTTTTTGCCCTCCTTCTTGAGGTCAGCTTCCCGTGTCCACTAAAGTGACGTTCTTGTACAAGGTCGTCATTGCTCACCAGTCAAGCAAATATTGAGAGCAGTGCAGGTCCATCGTGGACTAATGGGGAGCTTGATGGAGAGATGGAATGTCAACAGAGATGGCATGACATCCTTCTGGTCCGTCAAGTCTTGGGCACGACTGAAAGCCCTTTCCGCCAGGCCCTTGAATATCTGGACTGGACAATGAGCGAGGACGCTCGGCGTGATTGAACAAGCGAGCAGGCCCTCTTTTCGACATTTTCCAACCAATGTTTCCATTCACGCAGGACATCCCAACGAAAACAATGCCTCCCATGCCACGTTTCAAGGTCCGCGATAGTCGGATGCGAGTGTTCGTCAGAGGCTCACGATGAGCAGGTCGACGCTGGGCTAGACAGGGGGCCAGATTGCGCGACCAAGCACTGTCTAGCAATGGCTCGCCGTTCTTTGCTCGGTCAGTGTAGCCAAGGATTGCACGCAGAACTCCTCGACTGGGCTCCTGTCATCTGAGCGTCACTGATACAGCTGTAGCACAGCGCTGACGCCAAACCCCCCTCGATGTTCGCAGGTGGGCAGAGGGACCTTGTAAGGGATGCTGCATGTTGTCTGCCGCTAAGTGCAGGGCCGCAGCGGAGCTCCATCGGAACATCGAAGATGTTGTGGAGGTCGTCCGGCGTGCGCTGAAGATGAACGCATCAATCCACATACAATCTGGATGTCGTTCTCCTGGCGTCATCGTTCTCCTCGGCCTCGATGATATGAGAACTGTCTCTCGGTGACGTTTCTGTGCTGCTATAGATCGTGTTGGTGAAGCAATCAGACCTGCACTTTGTACCTGGTAGGTGATCGTCGCGATGACGGTGGCCTATGTCACGGCACTTCTGACTTCAGGCCGTGACGAAGTAAAGTGTCTAACGACATTTCTGCTTGAGGATAGTATTTGCACTCATGCCTTCAGCTCTTCCCTTCTACCGAGATCTCCCAACGTTCGAAGTGGTATGTACTGGGTGTGGGAGACGATGAGCAGATATGTCCTTTGTTAATTCCGTTTGAATAATTTCCCGCATTTGTGAGACTGGAAATCCATCGACTTATCTCCCACACAGGAGCATTGCCCGTCAAACCTCGTCAGCATTTTCAACTCATTGTGGTGACCTCTGTGCAAGCCCTACAGCTTGTTTCGACAACTTTGGTATCATCGTCGTCGTTACCATAACCCTAAGGTAACCCTAGAGATCCGAAGCATGTGACGAAGCATGTTTAGGCTGCAGCCGCAATTTTCGGCTGCAACTGCCAAGGAAAGGGCTCCGCAGAGTGGATAATCGAGCGAGGACAATGGAACCCGACCACCGCCGAGACTTCACCTGCAAAAGCTCGACAACATGAGCAACACCGCCGCCATAACACCTAGCAGACACCCTCTGCTTCCACAGAAAGACCATGGATAAGCTGACGGACAAGATCGCGGCCTTGCCGCCGGGCGCAAACTACTGCTCCCTCGAATTCTTCCCGCCGAAAACCCAGCAAGGCTTTTCCAACCTCAATGCCCGTCTATCACGAATGGCGCACAGCTTGCGCCCACTCTTTGTCAATGTGACATGGGGCGCCGGCGGGAGCACGTCTGCGAAGTCTCTGGCGCTGGCGGAGCTCACGCAAAGAGAACTGGGCTTGACCACGTGCCTTCATTTGACATGTACGAATATGTCTCGCAAGCTCATCGACGAAGCGCTAGCGCAAGCCAAGGTTTTGGGGATCAGGAATATTCTAGCTTTGCGTGGCGATCCGCCTAGAAGTGAAGAGTACAGGGACGACAATGACGCAGACGCTGCAGAGGATGATAGCAACAAGGACTTCACGTGGGCTGTAGACCTGGTGCGGTACATTCGCAAGCAGTACGGTGACTACTTCTGCGTTGGTGTTGCAGGATATCCAGAAGGTCATTCAGATCAGTCACATCCACAACACCAATCGGTCGAGCACGATCTGCCGTATCTCGTTGAGAAGACCAAAGCAGGAGCAGACTTCATCATGACACAGCTCTTCTATGATGTCGATGCATACGAGAAATACGAGAATACTTTGCGGGAGCATGAGTCTGGAGTATTCAAGACCATTCCAATCATCCCTGGCTTGATGCCAGTTCAAAGCTACCAGATCCTGCGCAGAACTGCGAAATTGAGCCACGCCGCGATACCTAGCGATGTGTCTGCGAGATTTGAAGCAGTCAAGCGTGACGATGAGGCAGTCAAGAAGGTGGGCGTAGATGTTATCAGTGAGATCGTGGAGAAGATGAAGGGCATTGGCAATCTGCCGCGGGCGCGAGGATTTCACTTCTACACTCTCAATCTCGAAAAGGTGGTTGCGCAGATTCTGGAGCGCTGCAATCTCATACCGCCCAGCACACCTGAAGTGATCTCTCATGGATCCTCTGGAGATGACCATGCTGTTGCGGTCGAAGAAAGTGACGACTTCGTGCTAGTCGAGAATGCAAAGAAGAGGGATCATCGGCGCAAGTCGTCCATGGTCAACTCACAACCTCGCAATCGCATCATTGTCTCACATACGCGCGCATCAAGCACGAGTAGCAACCGTGCGTCAAGTACGTCGGCTTTTGAAGCTCGAGATGACGAAGCCGGCGTACCCAAGGAGAAGATCAACAGCCGCGCGAACACTCTCGCCATTTCCGAAGGCGAGGGTGCTCTTGGTCGAGAGGCGACTTGGGATGACTTCCCGAACGGACGCTGGGGAGACGCCAGATCACCGGCTTATGGTCAGATCGATGGTTATGGTGTCAGTCTTCACGTCAGCGCACCAGATGCGAAGCGGTTATGGGGTGAGCCTATGAAGCCAGAGGATGTCTCGATGAGCTTCAGGCGACACCTCGAAGGAGAAATTGACTCAATGCCGTGGTCCGAGGAGAGTTTGCAACCAGAGACACTTACAATCAAGAACGAGCTGCTTCAGCTTATCAACAAGGGCTGGTGGACTGTCGCATCACAGCCCGCAGTGAATGGAGTCCGATCGACAGACCCAGTATTCGGCTGGGGTCCCAAGAATGGCTTTGTCTTCCAAAAGCCATTTGTGGAGTTCTTCATTCCAGCCGCAGAATGGAAGAAGCTTCAGTTCAAACTTGAAGAACACCCCCAGATCACTTTCTTCGCCGGTAATGCGCAAGGTGACTTCGTGAGCTCGGACGAGGACAGTGTCAATCCTGTCACATGGGGTACGTTCACCGGCAAAGAGATCATTACACCCACTATAATTGAGGCTGTATCATTCAAGGCTTGGTGCGAAGAGGCGTTCGGCATTTGGGCAGAGTGGCAGAGAATTTACAAGCCTGGATCGGAGAGCAGCAAACTTTTGGAGCGCATTAGAAAGGACTATTGGCTGGTCAGCGTTATTCATCATGGCTTCCTGGAGAAGGGCGCATTGTGGAACGATTTGCTTGAGGGATGAGAGGTGACGAGCATGGGAAACGACAAATGCATAGCGATGGAGTAGGACTTGTTGCTCGTGTTTCATGCTCATAGCGGGACTGAGGTCATCATACATGATCGCGACGCACAGTTGGTTGAAGCTGACAACCAACACTTTAGATCTTCCGGCATTGCTGCTACCCTTTGCTTTTGTGGAACACCTCGAACACTCCAAGTAAGGATCGAAATCATCAAGATAAGCCATGCGTAGCGCTACCTCTTCAAACGGATTAACGCCGCATTATAACATGTCAACCCATGACAGCCGAGATGCAATGAGCTCGATATGATCTGCGTTGCACGCCAGTTGCATTTTTTTAGGGTCCTATGTTCGTGGCATTACGCGCTGCCGATTCCTCATGCAGACAGTCGAGAAGTGTCTGCACTTCTCAAGTTTCAGCCTTGCTCGCGGCAAAATACGAGCGCCCACGCGCGGCGAATCCTGCCTTCAAGGCATATATAGAGATCAGAGGACAAGTCCAGTATCAAGAGATCAAACGCGTCTATCCATCGCAGAGTGAAGCTCGCTCTCGAATCTTTCACCATATCAATTTCACCACACAAGCACAGTCATGAGTTCCGCCCGTACATCTAAGCCTTCCTCCTACTCAACACCAAATTCCGAAGACAACAAGAAGAAATTTCTTTCGACCGTTATCCAAGCTCTATCACGGTACCAGCGACATTCCCACCACTAACTTCCACCTTCTCCCCCTTTCCACCACCCTCAAACCTGACTCTGACTTCCAAAACCTCTTCCGGAAACAGCGTCACATAATTATCCTCCCAAAACACAGGACCAATCTCCCGCCCTGCATCATCCACAAGGGTCAATCGAATGAAAAAAGCAGGGAAACGGCTCCGGTTTCGTAAAGTCACAGTATACGCATTCTCCGAAGTACCACTCCCGTTCACCGCATTCGCATAAGTCACCAAACTCGCAGTCGGCATTTTCCAAAGCGCGGAATAATCCACGTACTTGTTGACCGGGGTGTAGTACCAAGTCGAAGCGTCCCAATCCAGCTCGTCGAGACCAGATGTGAGCCAGTAGACATTTCGACTGAGACTTTTACTACCCGAGTCTTCAAGCGTGAGGCGGAGAAATGCTACATCTTGAATTTTCTCGATTCCCGAGACTTTTCCAATGGATTTGCTGGTGTTCGGGGTCGTTTGGATTCGGAAGGCTGTTTTCGAGATCGTTTTCCCGGCCGGATCGATGAGTTCGGATTGTACTGTTCGATCGCCTGTCGGATTCTGGGAGCGATTGATGAGGTAGATTTCTTTCTTCGTGTAATCGTAAGCTATGTGTTCGGTTCTGCTTCCGACTTTTGTGCCGAAGTATGAGCCGGCTGGATGGAGGTAGTAGTCGAATTGGTCTAGATGACAGGTCAGCTTGTTCCAAAGCACGAAGGAGAATCGTGGCTTACTCCAATGTAGACTTGGCCAAGCATTGTTCAACATCCAGTAGATCGCTCCAGTTGCTGGCCTTTCGTTTTCCCAATAAGCCGCATAACCCTCGAATTGAGATTTTGTCGCTTCGTAGTCCATCATTTGTGCTTTGAGGAGGTAGTCATCCAGATTCTTGGGGGCGCCGTAGCGGGACCAGAGAGCAGTGTTGTAGATTGAACGATTATGAAATTGTGAGTCTGATGTGGACATGTGGTAAAGGCCTTTGTTGGGATGTTGCCATAGATCGTCCATGTCAGCTTTGGATAAGAACTTCTGTAGGCTACCTTTCTCTGGTGTGCCGACTCCTGCTCCTAGCTCTGAGCCGAAGCCAAAAGCTGCGCCGAGTTGATCGTTGTACCACTATTTCGATGTCAGCGGGTATCTCAGAGTCAGGAGCGTGAACGTGCATAGTTTGGAGGGACCCAGTCATATGGTCCATCCATCTTCAGGCCAGAAGGGCCAAGAACCTCGGGATATCCACGTTTCGCAGCCGAAGCAATGATTGGATTCTGCCAGCCCCAATCTTTCAATGCTTTGACGTAGATAGCAGCAGCTTTGTCGTTTGGCCAGTAGTCGCTCCCAACTAGATATGCAAGCATGCTCGGGTGACTCTGTAGCATCGCAGCCTCATGTCTCATCGAAGTGTTCGCAGTCTGATAATCGTTCGAGTTCCAAGGAACCGCAACTCCCGCAACGTCATCGTTGTAGCTCCACGCTTCCCATTTATCGCAGCATTCCCACCCAGCCATGATCATGAGACCCATGCGGTCAGCAACGTCGTAGAGCTCTGGCTGTTCCATTTTGCCTTCGAGGCGGATTGTGTTCATGCCCATATCGAGAACATACCGTGCTTGAGTCGTGAAACGTTCCAGATCCCATCTCAAGAAGATGTCAGGAGCATAGCCGCCACCAAGGACCTGGAACGGCATACCATTGACTTCAAAGATTGTGTCGTTGTGCTCGTTGACGTGCGAGGAGACATGTCTGATGCCAAACATGCGGTTCTCAGATCTGTCAGAGATGGCATTGTTGACGTGAGCCGTGACTTGTGCTTTGTATAGTGGTTGCTCACCCCACTGCTTGGGCCACCAAATCTGCGGACTCTGAAGTGATGTAGTTAGGATGACCGTTTTTGCATCACCACTCGCCAGACTAAATGGCTGCGAAAGCTGGATAGAATCCTTGCCAGGACTTGTGATGACTCCGGTTAAAGTACCGGAGACTTGCTTGCTTTCCAGATTCTGCAGATCTGTCTTGATCGTGATCTTGACGCTCTTTACACCAGGTTTGTTGAAGTCCGTCAATATTCGTGGAGGCTGCAGTGCAACGGGACCAGTCTGTTTAATATAAACCTCTCGCCAGACACCAGTGCCATTATCAGGAGGATACGGATTCCAATCAACGAAACCAAGCGCGAAGTCTTTGTTGTAGTCTGCAGGATAAGTTTTGATCACTAGCGCGTTCGAGGTGTTGACCAGCTTCGTGACGTCGTACGTCTTCCCGCCATAAGCTCCAGCTTGGACCACTTTGTCCGCAATCTGTTTGCCATTGAGCCAGATATCTGCTTTGGAAGTGATGCCATTGGTCTGCAGGAAGAAATGCTTGCCCGTATCTGGCCTGAGTGTGAACTCGTTCCGGTAAAGCCAGGGCACAGTATATGGCTTAGGAGACACTTTGCTCTCCAAATCATCCGAGAAGAAGAGATCGGTGGTGTTATAGAGGCCTGCCTGCACCAGCCCGCCCATGATAGTTCCCTTCGAGCCGATTTTATGCCATGACGAGGAGTCGAATCCTGGTCTCGAGCTATCGCTGAGAGCCTCGCTTACTTGAGCTGTTGACTGGAGTGCCCATCCTGGAATTGCTGCTGAAATGCCTGACCCATCGACAAGTGGTTGAGCGCCTGGTGCAATGTTTGCTCCCGCCAAGCCCCAGAATGCGAGGTTCAAGAAGTAATTCATGTGGCCCCGACTCACTGTGCACTTCAGCAAAGAGGCAGAGCAGAAAAGACCGATCACATTGAAGTCAATAGGCACCTTTAGCAGAAGGTTTCAAATGGCAGTTGCGCACCGTGCACGCGGCAGTGGCACGCACTAGCGCCTCAACATATGAATAAACTCCGTGCAGTTATCCGTGCGTAAAGGATTAAGTGAATAAAAGCACAGGTAACTGCACGAGCTCGTGTAGTTAACCGTATACGCTTATATAATCGCAAATACGCTAATTAGCCCCTACGCTAGGCCGTTAGTAGTTAAGTAAAGGAGTGTGCTAAGCGCTTAGCGTAGTAGCTTAAACCCTGCTCTCGGCTTCTATTAAATTCCTCTACCGCTAGTATAGTACCTATTATATACGAGCTACTATATACCCCCTACCCGTATATATAATAGCAGAGAGTTTAGCAAGAGGTATATAAAGGTCGCCGGACGGCTACTAAGGGTTATATAGGTCTAGTAGCCTATATGCAATTACTCTAAGAGCCGTTATAGGAGGAGTTACGGAGATCTCGGAAGAGAGCGATATAATTAGAACTAGGTCTATACCTCGAGAGAGGTATATATTTAGGCTTCCGAGAATACGTAGAGCATCCGGAAGCTTAGATTTGTTAGCAAATACCTCCTATTTAAAGCTTCTTAGCATTATAGCCGTTCCTATTACCCTAAGACCTACCCTACTACCTATTACCGTACTTCTCGACCTAAACTATAGCTTCTCGCGGAGCGATCTATACCCTCGCTTAGGTCCTTCCTTCTATACGCTACTAGCTATAGTCCGCGACTATTATAGTTAACCTACGCTATATAGTCTAACTATATTACTCGATAGTCTAATAACCTATCGCTTAGTAGCTAATTAGGTCTACGAAGTAAATATACTAATCGTTTCTACGCTAGTCGAAGAGCCTATCCGGTAGCCTATCTAGTAGCCTGTCTAGTAGCCTGTCTAGCTGCCTGCTTCTACGCCTGTTTCTACGCTAATATCTACGCTAATTAAGGAGCCTATTTCTACGCTAAATAGCACTCTAATTAATAGTTAGACCGATAGTTAAACTTTAGTTAATATAGGTCCTTCTTAAGACGACCTTATTGCCGCTACTATTACTAAAGAATATAGCAATACTCGACTTAATAGTAATAGCTATATCTCGGCGGCTAGTAAGCTTACCCTTGCTAAGGTTAGCGCTACTATAGCCTATAAGCGAGTAACTAGCAAAGTACGTAACTAGAATACTAGCTTTAAGTCTATTATTACTGCTACTTAGCTAACTAATAAGCCTCTTATTAGCGATCTAGTAAGGGCTTATTATACTATAGTTAAGCGCCGAGTAGTTACGAGAAGGCCTCTTAACGGAGCTTCCGGAGTTGTCGTAGTAGAGACCCTTTAAGATTAGCTTCTCGATAAGGCTACGGAGATACTGTTTCGACTAGATAAAGTGTAGCGCGAGAAGGTATTAAATGCGAAGGAATTGAAGGCATTTAATAGTCCTACCGAGAATATACGTAATACTATACTATCGACACTCTCTTAGCGTAGCAATAGTAGTTAGGCTCCGGCTCTAGTAGTAACGGCTCTAGTAGCGGCTCTAGTAGTATTAAATCTAGCTATTCTAATAACGCCTATTTAACGAGTAGAAGTTATCGACTTATCGACGCTATCTACGGTCGATAGTAATACTACTTAGCTTACTAAGCGTCGTCGTTTAGACTTCGAGTCTAAACGGCTCTAGCGTAGATTATAGGTATAAGGAGCTATACTAAAAGAGATACTGTCGCCTATGTTTAATACGCTAAGAATACTAGCTAAGGGCCGTAGCTTAAGACGTAGAATTAGCTCGCTATTAGAGTCTTTAAGTGTCTCTATTATTAGCGCCGTTAGCGAGGCGCCGAGTATACTAAGTCCTACTAGCCGTACGAGAGATACAAGCGACTTATCCGCTGCAATAAGCGCCGTAGTAAGAGACGTTAAGCTAAAGATAGTACGTTAAATTAATGCTATCTAGTCTAGTATCTAGGCCCTATAAGTAACGATAACCGCTTCGTTGCTATTAAGACCCTTATCTTTATTATAAATAGAGCTTCCTTCTAACGATATTATAGACAGTTAAGCGGACTTACTAGACTACGATAACGATAGCGACGGCTTCGTAGACCTTAATACTATCGATAAGGATATATTCTCGTAGATAATTTAATCTCTTAGGGTTAGGGTTAGGGTTAGGGTTAGGGTTAGGGTAAGGGTAAGGGTTAAGCTTAGGGTATTGCAATTATCGTATTCTTGTTGTCGAGAATGTTGTAATTACTTAGTCGATATCTTCTTTTATAAGTGCCTATTCGAAATCGTAGCTTCGTTCGGTACGAGAGCGCTAAGACCCTCTATATCTAGTAAAATCGTAAAGTTAGAGCTCGAACGGCGAACCCGTATCGACGGCTCTAAGAGACTCGTAAAATAGGGTAGGTATTATAGTATATAGCTCGAAGTAATACGGAAAGCCGAGATTTCATCGCTTAGTAAGCGGGCTTCGACCTTCTACGACTCGCTATATAATAACGTATTACTCGTTTTCGCTCGTTTTTAGATAATAAGACGCGCCGTATACTAAAGAATATAGCGTACGTAAGAATATATAAAATTAGTAATACTATTATTATATTTAAAGTCGCAAAGTATCTCGTATAATATACTATACGCTAGTACGGATATACCCGCGTCTACTACTTTTCTATATCTTCTATCTCTATCTCCTAATTTAATCTTCTCTCGTTATATTAACAACCTTAATCTCGTCCGTCTTATAGTCCGGTATAACCGTCTAACTATATCTAAACGAAGCGCCGCTATCGAATACCTCGTCGCCTACTTAAAAGCCCGCTCCGAAGTGCCGACTATAGCGTAGAAGGTCGTCGTCGCTAGTTAGAGCTATAGGCATTATAGGTAGGGATAGTAGATTAGCGAGATATTCGCGCGTACTTAGAGGCTTTACCTTATATAGTCGACTAATCTTATTCTCGCTATAATAACAAGTAAGGCAATTAGTAAGTAATATAGTAACGATATATATCGCTCCGACTAGTATTAACTCGACTCGGAGCCTATAGAAGTACTTTATTAACTCGAAGTTGTTAATAACCTCTACGAAGCCCTATTCGACTAACTAGCGGATAGTACTTATCTCCTTTATAGCCGTAGCCTCGTCGGTATTACGAAACTCGCTATTTATAGTCTTCTAGCTTCCTATAACCCTATCGGCGATATTATATACTTAATTACTATATAAGAATACCCGCTCTTCGAATAGTCGATATAGCTATCTAAGCGGCTCGAAATATAACTTCTAGACCTTATTAAATCCACTCTCTAGTATTAACGTTATATCGCCGTAGGAGCTAGGTGCTAGGCTATATAGCAATATTATACTATCCGGAAGGACAATGCCTTAATATTTAAGCCTATAGAAGTGCTTATATCTATTATAGAACGGCCGCTAGTTATAGGTCGGTCTATAGCACTTCCGTAGGGTACTATCGATATATTCGAAGACGTACTCTATATCGATTAATCTAGCAACTATAATAGCTATTCGCCGTAGGTAGGCTTTACTTAATCGATTAAAGTCCTATACTAATCGCTCCTTCTAACGTCTTACTATTTAAGTATAGGCGGCATTAAATATAAGAGATACCTAACCCTTACTACGACTAAATATCTAACATAGGTTACGCTAATAACCTAGATTACTAAGCCGTCTATAAACGATATATAGCACTATTGCTAGATTGCAACGTATGCGCTACGGCAACTTAATAGACCTAATATCTAGCAATTTAGTTAACTCGATTACTTGTTGCTTACTAAAGCGGAAGTCGCCCTCGAAATTAGCCTTAGGGTATATCTCTAGTAACTATTGCTTATCTCTTAGATACTCGCGTAGCAACTTATATAGCCTATTACTACAAGCCTATCTATACTAGTATTTACGCTCGCTCTTACCCTCTCGGCGAATAGCTAGATCTAGTAGATTATCGACCTCGGAAGCTAATACTGCCGTAGTCGTTGCTAATATTCTACTATAGATAGCGATTATATCCTTATTAAGTTTACTATTAGTTAAGAAGCCGTCTAAGTCGTATTCTGCTATAGTATACCGTTGTAATAGACATCTAACTACACTACTAATTATAGTAAGGTCTAAGACCCCGGGCGCTTCTTAGCACCTCCGTTGCTTACTAAGCAATTATTCCGTAGACGCTACTAAACCCTTAGCTAAACCTCAATTTAACCGTTATAATAGTTATTCACTTGCCGCCGCTAGAACGGCGCTATTCGCGGCTTCTTACATATGCTAAGCGGCTGGAAACCTTGTGCTAAAGGTGCCTAATAGAAGACATTGAGGATAGTTTGAGTGCCAGACACCAAAGCTGCACGCCTGATCCGCCAATGTCACGGTTGCATCTTCCCCGTTCGGGCAAGACGAACCTTGAAAGCGCCACTTGCAGCAGCCAAGCTCCCAGATGACATTCCACGGCCTGCTCGGCGTAGGGCAGGCCAAAAGATGTCAGATTGCACCGTGCTAATGTCGCGATATGGCTTGGCATCTGCTTGTCAGAGAGCTTACGGAGCTGGATAAGAACCTCGCAGTTCTATTTCCGTGGCAATTTTTGTCTCCATCAACTCGCCTTCCAAAAGCCTCCCTTGTGCCAGTCGATTGATCGATTTCCCCGGAGTAAAATGCACAGCTTCTTTGTATCGAGGTGGTCCTCCTTGCTGCCTAGAGATGTGGATGGCAGCATTTCGATCGCAGCGCGCGGTCCCATCCCAATAACATTCATTGCGCATGAGCAATGTCACTGAAACTGTCAAGGATCATCGGCGTAGAAGGCTTCCCAATCGATCTGGACTAGCTTGCCGTAGTTTGTCTGAAAGGCCTGTCATTTCAATGTCAGTTTACCCTCGCAGGTATGTGTGTCTCGCTGCTCGCTGGCTAATGTACCCGAAACTGCAGGTTAGCAATTGCATAGATATTGACTCTTCACAACATCCACTGCAGCATGCGATGCCAAAACAGCAGCCCCGTCAGATTTCTTGAGTCTCGTGAAAATGTCGCAAGGCATGTCTTGAGCCCCTGGCTTCGTGTACGGCGAGAGGAGATTCGGCATCTCGTCCAAGTAGAAAACTGTACAAATCTGTTGAGTGAGGCTATTGTAGCATAGCAGAGCATGCCGACTGCACCAGTGCTCTGCATTGTAACTCCTGTTGTTGCTTCAACCTGCGCCAGCCTCTCCCCCACCAGCCGCCTGTGGCATTCCCATCTATATTGACACACCCTTCTTCATCATCTTGCGCCCACCTTACGCAGACTCTGGGTACATAGCCTCCTTGAGGTTAATGCCGAGCTCTTCCCGGATGCCAGACAGTTCTTGAAGGTACTCATCGTACTGGCCCTTGTTCTCCACTTTCGCCTTGATGCCTGGTGTATATGTTAGCCTGAAGCGTTTCTCCCCCGCTACCTGTGATAGACCATACCCTCAAATATTCTCACAGCGGTCGGGAAGTCGTTGACTCGCCTCGCGGCACGGAGAGCGGCAGCAATGACGGATGGGGAGGGCACGAGGTCGTAGGCAAATGCATTGTTTAGGTTTCGCTGCAATTCGAAGACATCCTGGACACCGTCGAACTCCTTCTCGTACCTGCATCAGAGTCGCGTGTTAGCAGGCAATCGTGTGATCGGCGTGAATGAGGCAGTTTGAGGCCATTCTGGCTCATTCTGGCTCCCGCAAGGCATTGGCGACCGGGGGAGCTCGTGGGTGGGGGCATCGCACCTGGCAGTGAACTCCTCAAAGCTTTCTTCATGCGTATCGTGGCCTGAGAGTCTTCTGCTGGCGGTCGAGAAAGCAGAGGTTGCCGGCTTGAACTGGGTCTGCGAGAGCTGGACAGCGCGCATCGGCCGCGCACAGCGCAGCGTATTGCTCATTCGGCTCGCACGAGCGATGTGAGCAAACACGGCGGAGGACATTGTGGGTGTGGAGCGGAGAATTGGGATCGGTGGTGCTGGTGGTGACGATGAATTGCTGCGCTGTGGAGTGTCCTCCGATGCTATCGAGCTTTGCAGGAGAAGCACGCCAAGACTCAATACGCTGCGTCTGCCGCGGTAGAGCCGGGTGATGACCACGCCGTCGATGCTTTTGACCGGCGAACAGGTGAGACGTCTCCTGATACCAAAATACGAGATTCGGATGATTTGCCCAGGCCTGGACGACCGCGGCCTGCCATATTTCGACCTCAATGCTTCTCCAGCTCTTTGCTCAGCTTTTCCCCGGCCAATCATAAATGACATCACTCGCGCGACAGCGACATCTTCTTGCTGCACTGCCATTGACGATTCACGATGCGCTGCTGTTCGTTGATCTGGCCCACGAACGTTATGGACAAGAGAGTGGTGTCAGAGATGGTGGAACCACTCTTGATCACCACCAAGGCTGCTGGCCTTGCGAAGTAACCGATTACTAGGGTGGGTAATGAACGAGCATGTACATCACCAATCGCTTGCCACCTCGCTATCCTGAAGTCGTGCCCGATCCAGCGGAAGATCCACTACCTACAGCATTCGCGCCACCCTGATCAGGCACATTCGGCCCAGTATACGTACAAGCCGCGGCAGCGGCCCCAGCACTGCCAGCAGAACTACCTCCACCAGGACCATTGTTGACCCCAATCCCAGCCGAACCTCCCACGCAATTGCCAAGAACAGCGTTATTGATGGCTATGCGTACTCGTGATCATTCAGTAACACATGAAGCCATCCTATATGAGGACGCCTCATTGCTTTCAGACGCGGACTGGTCACTGCATGCATTCGCAGGATATATCAACACATGCATATGCAGCTGAAGTTCTTCAGCTTCACGACAGGCGCGATTGACATCGACCAAAGACCTTTCTGAAGACCGTCGTTCGTACATGTGAAATTGATGATGAAGCTCCGTAGAAATCTGTGAGGGTGGTTTGGCTAAGAAGTCGAAGCTCATTCGACCTTTGAGATGGAACCTTGGAAGTTCTTCAAGCTTTCTCGTGAACTTGTTCTTGCAAAGTTCAGGCATTTGTTTAACTTCGTTTTCACTGCTCGGATTAGGAGCATATTTTTTGACGACTTCTTTGAGCGATCATTGCGATCAAACCCGACGGATGAAGCCCAAAATGTTGCTATGCACTCGAAGTCCGAATCGAGTGTTGTGAAAATGCTTGGCATTGTATACACCCGAACTCGTTGCAAGTCGAGTATAGGACATGAAACGTAGAGCTGATACTCTGGATCAATGCTATCCGATAGTTGGTTGTATGCTCCTCATGTTAGCCGTCAAGAACAATATAATCCTCGAAACTCGACCAGATGCGGAAATGTCCGTGCACTATGGCATGCACCTCGACCCGCAAGCAATTTCGGCTTTCATGTGAGTCATATTCAAAGAACAAGCACTCTTTTAAACGCTTCACTGTTGTTCACTTCTCATCCAATAAGCACACGAGCTTCGTGGCGCAGCGGAAGCGCGTGAGTTGCTCTTCCTAGAAAGCATCATATATACCTTCCAAATTCTAACATCCTCTTAGGCCGGGCTCATAACCCGGAGGACCTCGGATCGAAACCGAGCGAAGCTACTACCTTTTTGGTCTTTTAACGGTCTTCGAAAGTATCATGATTTTTTGCGTGTGACCAACCAGCTGTATCATGCTTCCATCCCAAGACGTTGGTCGTCGAGCGCATGCCGAATATCCTCCTTGGTCATTCATGGAGATAGGCTCGAGCACGATTCCGTATTGCAGGTTCTGACTTTTGCATGTTCAACAATGAGTTGAAGCTTGGAATAATGATAGCTCCACTCAACATGCTTCAGATGAAGACTGGGGCAAGATCCAGCCTGGGGCATTAATCATCGAAATCTCCATCGCCCAGTCTTCTACATTCGATCTTCGTTGCCAGAGTACCCCATGCTCTTCCGCCACCAGTGAAGGACGCCGGTGGTTTCCATACGGATAGCCATGTCTTTGACCGAATCGATCTCCTCCAGAACTCCGTTAGGTAGAGGTGTCTTCTTAGCGTCGGATTCTCGAACGACTTCAGCTGGACGAGCCACAAGCTGAAAGTCCTTATATCGAAGCCTCTGGAGAGTAGGCATCAGCTAGGAACCAGACTGGGAAATTCCGTCGGCTGACTGCTTACCTGTGCTGACGCCACCCAGCTTTCCACTCCGTCCTTCAAGCCTTCGACATACATGATTCCAGGCGCGCCACCGCTCCGCAAGAGAGCGTAGACATTGTCATTGGCAGCTGCTTGTCTGAGCTTTGAGACCTTCTTGCGAGATGTTATGTGGTGCGTCCGGATCAGAGCATTCCAGCTTCGTCCCGCTGCGGACATTCACTCCGCCCAATTCACAATTCAATATTGAAGTTTGTGATGAAACATGTGGAGTTGGTCGGTCCTGGAGCAGGCGTTGAGGCAGACCTTGGCCAGAAAACCTCATGGTTCGGTTCCTCGGCAAGCGCCATAATTGTTAGTTCTGCAACGGTCTTGACTCCTCGCACGACAGCAATGCTGTTCTGTACTACAACAAAGCCATAGCACGCATGGACATGATTCATCTCCATACCGACAAGAGGTGCCGACAAATCATGATTCCATTTGAAACCCCGTGCTGACTGATGATTCTGACTGATCGCTACGATACCTTCAGCTTCCCCAAAGACGATCGACAAGCAGCTGCAAGAAGCAAACTCAGACGATCCAAGGAGCAGCAGGGCCCGAACTCAGGATTTTACGGCCTACCCAAATGGTCCATCGCTACGACACACGTCAAGCGAGCTTATATCAGACGCTTCCTTCGGCTCATCTAGCACGCTCTTCAGACGCGTCGACAGCCTATGAACTGCAAAGATGGAGGATCTCTGTGTGGTACAGTATATGCACTGTAGCGGATCCCGTCAGCTGAACTCTGAAACTCAAGATGGCGGCATGCACCGGGCGGATTTAAGATGTAGGATGAGAATATATATACGCGTCGACGGTAGGTGCATGCTTCTCCTACCATATTGCACCTGTCTCCCTCTCTCTCGTCTCATAGTACATCATGGGCTTCCCAATCCCAGCCGAGAAGATCGAATACCGCCACTACATCGACGGTGCCTTCGCCGAATCGTCAGATGGGGGCAAGTTCGAGCTCAAGTCTCCGTACAACCATCAAAAGATCACAGACATCTGCGAAGCCTCGGTAGAAGATACAAACCGTGCTGTTGCCGCTGCGAAAGCTGCGTTTCCAGCATGGTCGGCGAAAAGTCCAGCAGAGCGTGGTGCTTTGCTGAAAGCATTGGCTGCCAAGGTCAGAGCTGCGGGCACAGAGCTGGCTCAGCTAAATGCTATGGACATGGGTAGACCAGTCAGTCAGTCCTGTTGGACGGAAGAAGATTCACTATGGTGCTGATCAGCTTCAGGTCGCCTCATACTTTGATGCTCATTTCGCATCTACGTTGTTCGAGCATTATGCCGAGTCAGGATATGAAGCCAAAGGCACGACAAGCTTGAACACGCCTGGCTTCATTAACATGACCTTCAGGTAGACTGCCCTGTCTCAGAGCTGATTGTTAGCTTCTAAAACGTGAACAGACAACCCATCGGCCCAGTCGCAGCTATCATTCCTTGGAACGTCCCGGTCATATCTTTTGCCATGAAGGTGGGCCCAGCAGTTGCCACCGGATGCACAATAGTGCTCAAAAGTTCAGAGAAGGCGCCACTTACCGTGCGTATCACGATCAAAGGTTATCAAAGCTCTTGACTGAGACAGTACTAGGCTGCACGCATTGCTCAATTTGTGCATGAAGTTGGCTTCCCACCAGGCGTCATCAACGTCTTGTCCGGCCACGGCACGCCTTCTGGCGCGACGCTTGCATCTCATATGGACATTCGCATGGTCAACTTTACAGGCTCAACATTCACCGGCCGCAAGATCCAAGCCATGGCTGCATCTTCCAACCTCAAGAAAGTCGTGCTCGAGCTTGGCGGGAAATCGCCCGCAATCATTTTCCCAGATGCCGACATCACGAAAGCGGTGGCAGAAACAAGTGCTAGCATCATGATGATCATGGGCCAAGCATGTATCGCGAACTCAAGGATTTACGTGCATGAATCTGTCGCGGAGCAGTTCAAGAAGGCGTTCGTGATAATGTGGAAGAACTATAAGAAAGGCGATCCGCTTCTGCCGGAGACTCAACAAGGTCCACAAGCAGATGAGATTCAGCGAGAACGAGTCAAATCTTAACTCGAAGCTGGAAAGGCTGGCAGTGGCAAGCTCTTGACTGGTGGCGAAGTCGCCGAGGGAAATTTCATCGAGCCGACCATTTTCGAAGATGTCGATGAGAATGACAAGACGCAGAAAGAGGAGGTCTTTGGACCGTTTGTCAACATCAATACTTTTAAGACTGAGGCGGAAGTTTTGGAGAAGGCGAACGCGACCGAATATGGGCTGTACGCCTCAGTCTATACGAAGGACATCAGTCGTGCAATGCGCTTCGCCAAGGGCTTTGAGTCTGGTACCGTGGGCATTAATTGCACTAGCCCGGCCATGGCTTTTGACATGCCATTTGGCGGGTATAAGGGCAGTGGTCAGGGCCGTGAAGGGTTTGGAAACAGTACAGAGGAGCACTTGGAGATCAAGACTGTGCTCATCAAGCTGGATGAGAATTCTGAGGGCATGATCTAGAAGCGAGAGCATTTAGATGATGTTCTCGCGCAATAGAGGTCCTACTTGCTTCCTGCTGGCTTCTAGATTGTGCTGATCCCAGAAGTGGTGGAAGGTGATGTCAGAACCTTCGCTCGTGCTTGAGCACTTTGCGTCTTTCAAGTCCAACTTGCCAGCATTGCTCACGAATTTCTCCGCAGCTTTCCTACCCCCGGCATCGAATGTTGTAAGATGCAATTGTCGATGGAAGCCAGAGTCATCGTTGTATGCTGTCATAACAGCGAATATACTCAGCTTCCGCTCTTTGGCCCATGCTTTGATGGATTCCGACAAATCCTCGTCTCTGCTTTCCAGATACTGTATAGATTGAACGACACTGCTGATCCCAAGCGTCAAATCCCCTTCTTGCCACTGCTTGTAATCCTTCCTCAAGATATCTCGCAGTGACAGCTCATCTATATTTGCCTTCGCAGTATTAATTTCATTGAAGAACCGGTCTCTATCGTAGTCTTTGCCATATTTATGTGAGATATTGATCTTGGCTTCAAGAAATCTCACGGCTTTCTTATCGTGATCTGTGACTTTGTGCTCGGCTTTCATGTTGATACTGTCAATGAGAATAGCCCCAAGGGCCAATTTCGCAACTTGTGCGTCCCATGTTGATGCGTATGGAAAGTCGTCGACCAGTCTGCCGTCCTCTTGTGCTGCTCCAATCGTCGAGGAAACCATTGAGCCCAGATCTTGCCAAGCGTCTCGCAGATAATTGACTACAAGACTATTACAACTTGCAGATTTGGTGATGACTCTCGGCTCGGCTTTCTCCGGCACTGTCTTCTCGTCCTCGTGGTGATCGATGACTCCTTTCACAACAGGTCTGTATAGCTCGCCAAGCTTTCCTTGTAAGGCATTGTGGTCGACGAGTGTCCAGTCAGTCTTGTCCTTCGGTAATGGCTCTGAGCCGAGATCGTCCAAAGTGATGAGCTCTGACGGCTTGACGTCTGCGTGCTTGAGCAATGCTGTGAGTTCGGGTCGCAGAGCAAGATCGCAGGCCGGGATATTGGCGACAGGTATCCAGAGCTTCCCATATCGTCTCGATTCTGCTTTGCTAGACTGTACGTAGCCGTATACTATTGCACATGTGATAGAGTCCAGATCTGCAGATTCATTGCCGATGACGAACGATGTGTGCGCTTGCTCTTTGATTGCCTTCTGCAGACTTCGTTTCGCTGTCACGAGAAATGTACGCACCGACATCCGAGACATGCTGGCGGCCACAAGATGTCAGATGTCGGTGTATTGGTCGTCGACAAGAACTTCATCGAATCATCGATGATGTATGGATGGGATTGTTCATGCCTAAGGCTTGCAGATGTTAGAGTTCCGCTAGTTCTAGCTTACGCACAGACTTCTCTCCGCGCCTTCTAGTAGATACGACACTTAACTTGCACTTCACTCCATCACATCACTCTTCTCGAATCTCACGGTCCTGACCTCGAAGCTGAAGATCACAACTTCGGCCGCTGGCCCATTATTTGAGTTGCAAAGACTATCTTCAGAAGCGCTTAACAAACTCCCCCCCAAGCGAAGGAAGCAAACGCCAAATCATGGCGGCGCAGGCTGCAGAGCGTGGTAGGAAGGCGCTGGCAGCCAGCAACCCAGAATTGGCGATAAAGGAATATACTACCGCTATCAACGAGTCACCGACATCTCCGGACTTCTATATTCAACGTTCGACAGCACACCTGCGAGCCAACCAACTCGAGGCCGCTCTCAGCGATGCCGAGCATGCTGTTCTCAATGGCATCAAGCGTGCTAAGAAGGAAGCCGTTACCGAAGCTCACCTTGCTCGTGGCAAGGCACTCTACAAGCTCGGTCGCATCGCTGACGCTCAATTCGTTCTTGAGATCGTGAAGCGGCGAGATGAGAAGAACAAGCAGGTCGACATGTGGCTGAACAAGTGCTTGCTCGACATCAAGAAACTTGCCGAGGATGATCCTAAGCGCACTGTATCAGTGAGCGAAATTCCAGAGCAGCCATTAGCACAGTCTGGTGCTTCGACTTCCGGAACCACATCTCAAACACAACCAGCCCCATCAGCCACATCTCAGCAAACTCCTGCTGGTAAGATTCGCCACGAATGGTACCAAAGCATGGATCGTGTCTTCATAACTATTCTTGCCAAAGGTATATCAAAGGACAAGGCAACTTGCGAATTCTCCGATCGGTCTGTGAGTGTCAACTTTCCGCTGGAAGCTCATGGATCTTCCTTCGATTTCCACCTCGAACCTCTGTTTGGTGCCATCAACACTGAGAAGAGCGAAATGCGCGTGCTGCCAACCAAGGTCGAAGTCAACTTGATGAAGGCGCAATCAGGTGTGAAGTGGTCCAAACTCGAATCAGACAAGCCACTTTCGACGACAGAGAAGGCCGATACCCCGGTTGGCGAAGATACTGCCATGGCAGATGCAGCAGTCAAGGAAGCAGTACTGAATCCTACTCCTGCTCCAAAAGGACCGGCGTATCCAACATCATCGAAGTCAGGACCCAAGAATTGGGATAAGATTGGCGAAGCCGCGGAGGAAGATGTAAGTCAACACTGACGTCTCGATATACAGATAACGAATCTTCGCTAACTTTCTACAATCAGATCGGAGGTGATGAAACCAATTACTTCTTCAAGAGGCTTTACGCCGGTGCATCACCAGAAGTCCAGCGTGCGATGATGAAGTCGTATCAGGAATCGAATGGCACGGCACTCAGCACGAACTGGGAGGAAGTCTCCAAGGGCAGAGTCGAAACAGTACCTCCGGATGGAATGGAGGCGAAGCCGTATCCTAAGTGAAGTAAGACTTTCACGCAGTGATGATAGCACTGCATGCGGACTTATGCTGCGTTCTGAGCGGAGCGATCACAAATTGAATGAAACTCGTTACGGCAAATCCCCGCGTACTCGACATAATGACTGATCGAGCGAGGAACGCTCTGACTGTAGACTCTCGTTCGAAGACCGTAGCGCTACATGCATATAGATCGTAATCTTACACCGCTCGCCCTCGAAATCCCGGACAATGCTGTTGTCTATGCCACCACGCTATGCAGAGTTGGGTAATCGTAACTTATACAGATGATAATCGTAGTTCTTGCCTCCGGCAGGTTTTGTCCAACCTGGAACGCGGCTGTGTTCTGCTTCAGTCGAAGAAACTGGAGATGGCATCCATCAACCCACCAGCCCCTTCACCGTCTCCACCGCTCTCAGCTCCAGAACTAGGCGGTGGTCCATCTCCGGGTCCTCCCCCTCCCCATGGATCATCGTCTTCGCCCCAGACATCCTGGCCACTCTGTTCACCAGGACTGCCGCCTTGCTGTGGGTATTGTCCATCAGCAGAAAAGGGCTCATTGGCCTGTGGACTAGCATCGTCCCCACCCCTGGAGCCATAAGCACCTCTTTGCATAGCTTCATAACCTGCCATCGTGCCAGCTCCGGCTATCGCGCCTTCACCAGCACCTGCAGCACCCGCGGCTCGTCCGGCAGCGCCGACAGCTCCAGAAGCGCCTTCGATCGCTCCAGCACCGGCGGCACCTGCTTCACCTGCTCCAGCGGCACCTCCGCCCATCGGCCAGAATATGGGCATAAACCCACCACTACCGGCATGTGAGTGTCTCGAGAAGTAGTCGAAGTCAATGCTGACCGCTGTTGCTAACATCACGGCTCTTTGATCCAACGTCATCGCTGTAGCTTCTCTTTCATATCTCGCGACCTCTTCTCCGCCAGCGGTCTCCAAGGCAGAACTTTGCGCCGCGCTGTCCATCCTCAAGGCATAGACACCAGTGTCTGTGAAGATCTCCCTCGCGAGACCAGCGAAGTTGCGATTCACGCTGCCGATTGTGTTCTGCGATTCGTCGCGTAGGGTGAAATCCCACGAAAGGAAAGGTTCGTTGACGTGAGCGAACTGTACCATGCCGGCTTCGATTGCGTTCTCATTTGTCCCCGACTCAGTGACGGTCAGCGCTTTCGTGTCGTTCGTCGCTTTCTCGCCGGATTCGAGGCGTGGCGTGCCATGGTCGCGTGCGGGCTCGAGCGGTCGGTAGCTTTTGAGATTGTACTTCCTCCGCAAAGGCGCCCATTGCTGCTGTGCTTCGCCAATGATACGCATCTCCTCCAGCTTCAATGGAGAGACTTGTGCTTGCTGACCCGGGTTTACTACGGAGTTGGCAGAAAGGCCCTGCAGATCTGTAGATGTTGCCAATTCGCCATAGCCACCTTCAGGGACTGGATCGTAGATACGAATTCTGCTATTGATCCACGCAAAAGGCCGATGTATGCGCAAGACTTCTCTCTCGTTCCGGTCGAAGATGTATGTGGTAAAGCTTCGATGTGTCCTTGCGAACTGTCTCGCCATTGCCCTCCCGAAGCCGTGATCCTGCTCTGCAATGTAGCCCATAGTCTGGCCTTGCCCGTCCATGATGATGTATCGATTTGCCTGCTCGAATCCCATCAGAAGATTCATCACCTCTATCTGTCGCTGTATGACCAGGCTGCTGTTGCCAAGGATTGATAGTGCTGGGTGGTCTGGAGGGAGGACGCCATTAGGATCGTGCGGTATACGGACTTCGGCGACCAAATCGGAAGTGTCTGACTGCGCAAGAGTGGCGGCGAGTTGGGTATTGGGACCTGGAGATGTCTGATGCGGCGCCGGTTGTTGAGGTTCCTGTGGCGGAGGCTGCGATTCTGGTTGTGATTGCGGTTCGCGTCGTAATAGCTTCCTCTCGTCATTTAGCTGTTTCATGCGCTGCAGCATTTCCCGGTACGTTTCCACCTCTTTCTCATGGTAGACGCCATTCTGGTTCTCTTCCTTCTTCTTCTTGTTCTTGGGAATCTCGCCCCAATCTCTCGTTCTTCGAGTTGCCATCCATCGTCGAGGCTGGACCCTTCGCACTCGACCTCCACGAATCACATGATTTGCACTTCTGGGTAGTCTGAGCATCCACCTCGCTGTCGACATCGTGAAAGGCGGGGCGGGTCAATGTGGCTTGAAAGCAGAAGTCTACCGCGCGTTCACTGTTTCGGCGGACAAGTCGGCCCGAACCTTGGCGGCATTTTCACATGGTGTAGCATGCATTCTTCATGCACCGGGGCTCACTTCTTACCACCGAGGTGAAGGAACACATTCTTTCACTGCAAGACTCATGTCCCGGGACGAAAGTAGACAACGACCAACTCACATCAGTCGGAAGCGGAAATCGGAAAGGAGAATCTGAGGCTGTCATCGCAACATGTCTGCAACGACGGCTCAATCTGCAAGCGGAGCGGTGACTACTCCAGAAAAACGACAACCGAACAGTCCGCGAAGGCCAAATTACAACCTCATCCATCGCAAACCGCTTCCTTTGGAAACGTATCCTCTCCCGGCCTTCCATCCAACGAATCCAATATCACTTCTGCGACTGGCCTACACATTTCTGTCACACTTGCTGGCGCCACCTTCATCGCATCCGACCAGTCGCTACATAGGCTACTTCTCTCTAGAAACCAGATCCGTACATGTGACAGATCCTCAACATGCTCGAGCACTATGGGAGATGGGATTTTTCGGCAAGGGCACTCTTAGTCGGAGTGAGCCCAGCTGGGTTGACCGAGAGAAGGCACGGCTGAAAGCGCAGAATGCTGGACCCGGGACTGCGGAGGAGGCGACGAACTTAAGACGGCAGAGGAGGAGGCTGTTCAAGCTAGAGCGAGATCGAGCCGAGAAAGAAAGGGTGCAGACGCAGAGATTGGTCGAGCAGGGCAAGCTGGATCCGAAGGTGCTGCAGGAAGGTGATGCGCTATTGACGACTGCAGCTATTGCCGAGGCGAGAGTGAATGCAGCGATGCCGCAGAATGGGGCGCCTCTCGAAGCACGCCCAGCGAGTGTTGAGCCGGATTCCAACGACGAGGCTGAGGAAGTGCCGGAGCCAGACGTGGAGAACCAGGAACACCTGCAACTCACTCTCGAAGAAGCCTTCTTTTTGACCTATGCACTTGGAGTACTTCAAGTCCGATCAAGTGCTCCAGCATTGTCGCCTACGATAGAGACAGCATACGATACTCGACAGCTCATGCAGTATTTCGCAGCACAAGGCTCTTTCCCACCAAAGACGATTCCGTACAAGCCTGCGCCGGACGACCGATTCTTACTCAATTATGTCGTCTACCATCACTTCCGCTCGTTAGGTTGGGTTGTGCGGCCTGGAGTCAAGTTCAGCGCGGACTACATGTTGTATCTGCGAGGTCCCGTATTCAGCCATGCTGAGTTTGCTGTCATCATCTTTCCTGCTTACACAAACGCCTACTGGAGCACCGATGAGGGCAAGGCTGCGAGACGAGTAAAGGAGCAACATGACTGGTGGTGGCTGCATTGCGTGAATAGGGTACAGAGTGCCGTGCTGAAGACGCTGGTGATGTGCTACGTCGATGTGCCAGCGCCGGTGGACGGGGAAGTCGAGGACATTGGAGCGTTCTTGAAGGGCTACAAGGTGCGAGAGTTTATCATCAAGCGATGGGTCGCGAATCGACAGCGAGATTAGGAGCAAAAATTGTGATGAGATCGGATCGAGATCCAGATCCTCTGGAGCAGATTGGATGATTGCTGGCAAGCCCAACATTGGGCTGAAATATGCTTGCATTACCGCATGTTGCCGCATAGCTTCAACAATACTACATCCAACTCTCATGGACCACTTCCAAGCGCAACTTACCAATTACATCCATGCCGTGCTCACCATGC